GGCTTTAAGAACATGGAGTTGTTGTTTCGTAAACCCTGTTCGCTGTTGTGCTTGCTGAGTCCCTTGTGCACTCTGAATGGAAGAGTTACTGAGTGGACCAGCATCAGATGGAGCTGCTAAATTTGGAGTCGGTGCATTCAGTTGCCTAGGCTGCTGCATCTGCAAATGTTCAGAAGAACCTAAACTTTTTTTTGTAGACGCGTTCTGATCCAAAAAATGTGTCTCATTTGCAGACGTCTGCAGGGAATTTCCTGAGGGTATCCCATTTGTAGGCTGAACTGAATGTCGAGGATACACTGGGTTATCTCTCCCTTGGTTGGAGAAGGGATTCATAGCAGGGTTCACCATTCTGGGACTGGAAGTCGACGCAAATGAGCTGGTAGGTATTGCCTGTCTGGGCTTAGCTGATCCTGACTGCCCAGAGGTGTCGCTAGCAGAGTTGGTACGAGGTGAATTCTCACCTGGAACAGCTGAAGATGAAGGCGGCTGGCTAGAGATTGGAATAGATGGTGCTTGTGAAGCCACATTCCCTTCATTACCTTTCTGTTGGACAACCATTCTTGACTGAAGAATCTGCGTCATTTGGCTGGCATTGGCAGGATGTGAGAGATCAATATTACGCTCACGCGCCCATGCCTGCATCGCCTGCCACTGTTGTGCAAATGCGAGCTGGTTGGTTCCTATGTTATTACCACCCTGTGGTGCCTGCATAGGCCTTATCATATTTCCAGGCATTAGTTGCCCCGGTACCATCTGCTGAGGATGAGGTTTTGATTCGTTCCTCTGTTGAGAAGCTGATTCCATCTGCCTTTCACCGCGGCCAAACTGTTCTGCCGATGGCTTAGACGATGAGGGCTGAGCCTGATTAGAAGCCTGCATCGGAACCATGTCTTGCATATTCAGCATTCCCATTCTACCTTGCTGCTGTGCTTTTTGATGTTGTGCCTGTAAAGCATACTGAATATACGCCTGCTGCATTGGATTAAAACCTTGCTGGCCCTCTTGTTTAGTACCCTGTTGTTGTTGTTGTTGAGGACCTTCAAAGAATTGTCTAGACTGCTGAGGCAGCTGCATAGAGCCCTGCGAAGAAGCAAAGTTGCCACCTCCCATCATTCCCTGAGGGTGATAAGCAAACATGCTTTCATTTCCCTCTGCGTTTCTCAACTGCTGTTGCTGCTGCCATAATAGAAGCATAATGATAATTAGTAGGCAATCAAATGAAGGACTATCCAACGACTTACAGCAACTATTCGTGTGTAAATGAACAATGCCATAACTCAACATAATTAGGCAGCTTTCAATTTAAAGAAATTGGAGGACTTTCCTTTTCCACAGCTCAAATTGAAATTTAACAAACATTGGCAACTGCAAAGAGCACACATTTCAGCTGAAATTCGGAATCATTTACCTGCCTAGACGCCAACTGCTGCTGCTGCTGCTGCTGTTGCTGTTGCTGCTGTTGTTGAACAGAGGAAGAAGAAGAAGATGGAGACGCAGCAGATGACGTGGACGGGGTCCGACCAGCCGGACCCATGCCCGGATTCCGGGCGGGCCCTCCGCCACTGCCTCCAGATTGCATGCAATTCGCTGAAGAATCTGACAGTCACTACACTCGAACCAATCAAAACCCAATTCAAAGGTGGAAAAGTAGGAAGAAGAAGAAGACGACAAAACTTCAAAAACCCTACCCAGAATTAAAAATCCCTCCAAAAAAATTCAGACGGAAGGCACCGGAAGTTGAATAAACCTCGAATAGCAGCAACGTTCGAAACTTTAGAAAGCGCACACCGACGACAGTCGTTGCCACACTCGTTTGCGCAAGTTTCTCTCTCTAGATTTGCATCGATTTTGGGGTAATCTCAGGGGGAAACGGAACTCGCGGGATGCAACGGTATAAACCAGATCCCTGTGGGGGCTTTTCGATAAAAAAGGGAGGGAAACGAAATCCACGGAATCGATGATCGATTCCTCTTCAGAAATTCACGCGATCAGAAATTTCTCGCAGTCAAACCCTAGCTGGTTACTTCCCTTTTTTTTTTCTTTTTCTTTTGGCTTTTTTTTTTTGGAGGGGTATTAATCTGAATTTCTCATTTTTATGTTTTTTAACACTTTATTTTATTTTGATTGCTGGGCCCCACGCCTCGGTACAGTTGGAACACGGGAAATGCGTTTCACGAGACGACCTCGGTTTTCACGATTATTACGTAACTGCCCCCTTCAATGTTTAATACTTGCACAAATAACGATGGGACACGATTGCATTAGCACTGCAATAAAAATAAAATATCAATCGTTTTATTTGCTTCCTAAATGAAATGACTTTTATTTTTCTCATGTTATATTTCAAAGTTTTATTTGGTAAGAAGATTAAGAATAGTAAAATGATATTTAATTTTGGGTAAATTTAGTCAATATACATAGATAATCTGACAATTAAATATATGATTAAAATAGTTATTAATTAGATCCATACAAATACATATAGGAAAAACATACATATCTACCCATATGGAATAAAACAAAAGAAGTGACATCATGTAAAAAATTATAAGATCTTTTATTCTTTATTTTATTTAAATAAGATTTTGAGAGAAGAAAATATATTTTTTTATAAAAAGTTATAGAACATTTAAATTATTACGATGTTAACAAATACCAACAAATGGTATAACATTCAAATCATTACTGCTAACATCTAAATAATTACTTGCTAACATTACCTATTAACTAAACTATTGAAATCATGTTAACATTCAAATCATTATATGTTAACATTTAAACAATTACATGCTAACATTCAAATCATTACTTGCTAACAAATTTATGAACAACAAAATGTAAATAATATATCATGACTTTTGTTAGTAAGGTAACATAGTCTTTGTTAACAAGATAAGTGATGTTTGTTAGCAAAGAACATGATGTTTATTAGCAAAATAAGGTTTTTTGTTAGTAAAGTAACTACAAACTTATTAGCAAAAGGATATAATATTTGTTGATAAGATAACTTAATACTTGTTGACAACAATATGTAGTAGTTATAGCTAGGTGTCATATAAGTTTTAGCAAACTATAAAATATTTGTTAGCGAGTTAACAAAACACTTGTTAGCAATGTAGTGGTGTATTATTTGCTCTTTGCTAAACCCTAAACCCAAAATCCTAAAATCTAACAGTAAACCCTTTAAATCTAAACCCTAAATCCAAAATCTAAACCCTAGTTTATGATTAGTGAACCCAAACATATATATTAAAATTAGGAAAAAGTGTAAACCCAAAACCCTAAAATCTAACATTGAACCTTTAAATCTAAACCCTAAATCCAAAATCTAAACTCTAGTTTATGATTAGTGAACCCAAACATATATATTAAAATTATGAAAAAGTGTATTTTTGAAAATTTATACACTATTTCGTCCAAAAAAAAAAAAAAATTATACACTATAAGACGAATGTTATTTGTTATCGAATTAACTTTTATCTGTTAACAATGTATTATGTTCTTTGTTACTCACATAACATAGTGTTTGTTAGCAAGTTTATGTAATGTTTGCTAACATGGTGTGATGTGTTAGTATATTTTCTGGATTTTAGTTTTACATATTAAAAAGGAAAACAAAGTTAAATAAAAAAATTCAATTGAAATCTTGATAATTTCGCCTGCTGTGTAGGTCCCACTCCTCTATGTTCAGCTACACCAACGAAAGAAGAAACTCATCCTATAAGGGTATTGGTGACTTTCTAATATGAACAGAACAACTAAAAAGCTGTCAGAAACCCCATTTAATTACCAAAGTATTGGTGTATATCCATTGCAATTTCTCTTTAATTTTTTTGGAAACAAATTGAAACCAGTATCAAAACAAACACATGAAGGCCAAAAACATACAAATATGAACAGTTTAACATAATATGTACTACTTTTTTTTGTTTGATAAAAAATTATATTGTACTACTACAGTAGATTTCATGTTATCACGCAAACACATAAGAGTTACAAATCTATATGTTATAACGGGTTTGAAGTATGAATAGTTTATGTTAGGAAAAAAGCTCTTTTAAAAATTAGTCTATGGCAACTAAAAGATTATTTTCAATGAAAATAACTATGTCTCATGAAGATTTGAAAGATCCTGATAGTCTAATGACATGATTATAAGTTCAAGAATCGTATAATTATAATCTAATAAGTATTGTAGTAAAACAACTATTTTAGGATAAGAGTCAATTTTTACTGGGTAGTAGTATATGTGGCCTTAAACCATATAAATACGATTTGCTGAAAGCTTTTATTCAGGTGGATTGTGTTTATTTTATGCTGGATTTTTCTTTTTACTTAATAAAAGCAGTTTAGGATATGTTACACACTTACACTCGTGTATCTTCGAATACTGAAGTGCCACTATAGTTAGGCAATTTGTTTATTGCATTTCTAACGTTTTCGTATCGAACCTCGAGTCTCAAAAGTCAAGCTTGGAATTTTGAACTCATGGATAGAAGGATACGAACGTTATCACATTGTAAATGTCAACTCAACTAATCCTTTTATCTTTTCGTTGTTTGAGTTGAGATTTGAATCTCTTCGATGAGATTGATAAAGATTTTTTAGTTTAACTTATCAAAGTCGTGATCTTCGATTGCAGAAAATATAAAAGTAACTTCGGAGACCACAAACGTGAAAAATGTGTCACTTTCGTCTTACGGCTTTTCCATGCTTGTCAATTGTCATATTCAGGTACACTACTCGGCACGCAGTGCTTTTATGAGATAATAAAACGGCGAGCAGTTTTGTGTGAGCAGGTTCAGTTTATATCGTTTATTAAATTTTCCCAAAAAAAGTGCAAAAAAATCACGTCACATATCACATAATGGAGATACGGTTCTACCTATGCCATGATAGGGAATGGATAGATAAGACTCGAGCCAATTGTTCAGCAGCCATGGTATAAACTTAAAATAAAGTCTTACAAGAATCCAACATCAACAAAGAGGAGCTTAATTTTACATTGTAGTCTCCATTGGGAGTTGTCCGCATGCATATATTCTACAGTCTTTCTTGGGAGCAGACGGACCGTAAGAGAAACTGGGCTGAGACTCAATTACCCTCACAAGCTTCATACCTTGGATTACTTGTCCAAACACAACATACTTGTATTTTAACCTCGGTACCTTTTTGGTGGAAATGAACAACCGGTTTTTGCCAATCATGCTCAAGATTCCAGGTCCAGTATGCTTCACTGTAAATCAAGGAAAACCAAAAGGCCTTATTAGATCAATGCCACGATTTTTTTTTGTGTCTTTGTTAATAATAATACTCACAGACGGAGTTTTCGGCTTCAATGTCGAAATTTCTAGCATAAGCATCAAGATACTTCATGAATACAGCGTCCTACATATCGATAAGAGTGACACTTCAGAAAGAAATGTTACATAACAAACAGACTTGCAATTGCAAACAAAAGAAAAACTTACGTTTTCCGGGAGGTCTATAACAGCTTGGATCGAACAACCCTTGTCAACAAGAAACGGAGCACCCTTGTACGAGTGATTCTCATCACCTGAAGAAACCATTATCCAAATATTAACAAGTCCACACTTTAAAACACTATCTGAAAGATAGAGAGAGAAAGAGAGATCGTTACCAGTACACATGGCTCGGAAGTGGTCAGCGATTTCAGGCACAGCTTCACCAAAGAGACCCATGACAATTCTCCCAACCTTTTTACCTCCAATCTCAACGTCAAAGTAGACCTTGTTTGTCACTTTAGCCTGAGGAGGTTCTAGCTCTTCGTCCTCACCGGCCAAGATCCGACGTTCCACTTCTAGTGATGTCTCCTGGTGAAGGTCAGATTCAGTCTCTATAACGGCTCCCCCATCACACAGTACTTTCCAACGCCATATGGACTCAGCAGTAGAAAGCATCCCTTTTGTCGCCAGTCTTGCATCAGGAAGCAACTCCTCTAGTGGGTAGTAATCATCAGGCACTACCAACGAAATAATATTATCTCTTTTGTCTATCTCTTGAAGAACATAGAGGAAGTCTGAGTCTAATTGTTCTGGGAAGCCTTTTGCAATGATTAAAAAGTTACAAAACCTCCTAAAGCCGCTAACTGTAGGATAGTTGCATGCCCAGTGAAGCATGTCCCTTAACATCTCGTAACCTCTCTTACGTCTATCAAGTCCTTCGCTTGCGATCGACATGTTGGCTGACCGAAAGGAATAAACCTCATCATCACTTAACTCGCCTCCATAAACATTGATTGACAACTTGCCACTACAACCCTCTCTGCGAAGAGCGTTTTTGATATTCCAACGAAGCACACTCAGTTCAGGATCAACAGGGACTGGGAAATCCACCACGTCCCATAAGACATATGTGTCAAACTCTGCGAGGAGACACAACACATAAACAGATGAGATGATATCTAATCTGGGTTTTATATATATAACAATCAAGAGATATAGATCATACCTTCGTTGACAACGGTTGTCCAGTCGTCATCATCTGCTTGGCCCGCCAAAGTAAAACAATAAGGAAACTAGGGTTAAACAATCTGGACATAAACAAACAATCTATCTCGACCAAACAGGTAAAGAGATCTTACCGCTGAAATCTCTGGACTCGGTTTCCAGGGACATCGAGATAATTAGGGTTAGGTTTCGTTTTTCGGAATATCTATTATGCTAATGATCTTTTGAATTCAAAATTTAAAAGCAGAAGATAATGGACTGTGGTATGTGTGCTCGCTATACAATCAAACAAATTACAAAGCTGTTATGATCCAAAGCTTTATCCCTAGATCTTGTAGTTGCTCCTTGATAAGCTATATATGATGAATGAAAGAGATATCAAAGAGATTAGCTAAGCTAAACTCTCTTTGAAACTTTTAAGGCTAATTCTTGGAAGTTGATTTCTTATTGATTATAAAAGGTCCTTATATTTTTTTGGTGAATATAAAAGGTCCTTATATAGATCCTCATACAAACAGACTTAACATAATTAAAAAGAAAACTATCAAAACCTTAATCTAATTGTAAAAAGGAAAACCATTAGAAACCCCAAAATCATTGATCGTATCATAATTCTGCGGGAAATTTACAAAGCCCAAGGAGAAGGAGGGGAAACATGTTGGTCAGTTTTGAGGTTTTGTTTCTTTCTTATCCTCACTCTCAATGGTGATAATAAGAAGAAGAAGAAGAAGAGTTAGGACTCGTATCTTCTATCCATCTCCTCACTGGTGATAACAACTTTCCTCCGTCTCTTATCTTCATATAATTTCAACACAGAAGGACACATATTCATTTCAAACACTAGTGCGAGTAATGTCATAACAACCACTTGTGGTTTCTTACTGATCAGCAGCGGCTGTGCCTTGGAGCTTAAGGCAACTAGGACAAGTAGCAGGCTTACTACCGATCGCCTCTCCGCCAGCTGCTAGGCTTTTCCAGGACCATGTCAAAGTTGCACAGCAACTTATCTCCCCTGGTCCGTTTTCAGGCCATCCCAAGAGAACGTTCCAACCTCTTTTCCGCAATGCGTCAACGGTGCTATATCGGACAAACTTTGTAATGACCATCAAATTTGATTTCTCATTTTCAACGGCCCAACCCCACATGTCATATCTCATAGCCTCATGTCTCGCACGACCCTTTCCTCTGCCTCCTCCTGGTACGTGCCCGAGCTTGATTCCAGCAAACGCCAAGTCATGATTCTGGATCCGATTCGTCTCATCGTCAACGTAAGCCGTGATTGAGGCCGGACCATGATAACCAGCCTTCTCTAGGGACGATTTGATGTTTCTCCAAACCATTTCACCATTGAGACCTTTAGGGACGGGACAATATTCCTTGTCCCAGAACACAGCTGTCTTAGCCGCTGCCATAGGTTTTACCAAAACGCATCATTCATAAACTAAAACATAACAACAAAAAACAAGTCTCGCCAATAAAAAACAACAAAAATGAAAACTTCAACAAAAATGACAATTATAGATATACACTGATCGACCAGATGAAATCTAATCAAGATATTCACAACTACTATAACATTTCAATAGGATTCTCTAGTATAAACTTACCGGAGAAATCGTTGTTGCTCATGGTGGCTTTAGACGCAGACTTGATATCTTCCTCACACGTAGGACAAGGATGATCACCACCACAGCGAACATGGCGGCCGAAGAGCGACTGTAGGGATGGACACACTTGTCCTCCTAGAGCTATTAGATCAGCTGAATCGTGGCGGGAGAGGGGATCTCCTCCGTCTAAGAGGGTTTCCCAATACCATACTTTGTTAACCCTGGGTACTGGCGTATCGTTGACATCGCAGTTACTAGGCAGTAGTAAGACAACATAGTAATGTGAATAATACAAACATTCAAGAAATTCCTGGAAATCTGTGTCTTCGGTGATGAATTTAGTAATGACCATCAAATTTGTTGGTTTGCCCTTGAGTCGATGATGATGGTCTATCTTCCAAAGACCAAGGTCCAGCCTCATTCTGTTAAATCTCCTCTCGTAATCCCCTGGATATGCATATAATTCTTAGCTAAAGACAGATGATGATATAACTAGTAAGCAAGCAAAACATAACAAATACTATTAATTACCAATGGGTACGAAGGTGAATCCGGCATCCTTGTAGCGAGCCAACTCTTCATCCGGTTTCTCCTCACCGTAAGCCGTGATTGACACGTCACCACCACGACAACCAATCTTCTCACGAGCTGCTTCGATTTTCGAACGAAGCTCATCCAAACTGTCCACTGGGAAATCCTCCACGTCCCAGTAAACGCTTGTGTCAGCATCTACAATAGGGACATTAGGGTTAAACGAATCATAAACAAACAAACAATCAATCAATTTCGAACAAGAGATATAGATCTTACTCTCGTTGTCAAAGCTTGTGTCTTCATCATCTGCTTGGTCAGAGAACGCCGCGTTAAACAATAAGGAAATCAGGGTAACATGCAATCAGATCGATAAAATGTAATCTGGACAAAAACAACAGGTAAAGGGATCTTCTTACCGCTGAAATCTCTGCACTCGGTTTCCAGGGACATCGAGGAAAGTAGGGTTTGATCTGCCAAAGTGGTTTATCGAATGGACGATCGTTGTTACGATTTAAGTTGAGATTTGAATCTCTTTTATAAAGATCACAAACGTGAAAAGTTAATGGAAAATATGACGTTTTCGTCTTACGGCACTACTCGGCACGCAGTTCTTTTAATGAAAGAATTAAACGGCACGCAGTTTAGAGCGAGCAGATCAGTTTATGTCGTTAATTTAATTTTTCTCAAAAAAATGCAAAAAATCACGTCACATATGATTGAAATTCTGTGACGCAACTGATTTAGAAATGCAGTTGCCGTATCAGTGTATCACTTCGTTCATATCTGATTCCTGAAGAAAAAAGTTGCAAAAACCATGGAGAAGATATTTCGTTCTTCTTCTTTAGTTCTACTTTTTGGCCTCATTCTTCTTCTGATCTCGAATTTTCACGGAGTCGTCCAGCTCGCGGAAGCAGGGCAGCGACGGATGGAGATCACCGACGATCTAGAAGACGTCGAAGACAACGAAGAAGACGGTTCATGGAAAGAGTGGGGGAATAAAGCACCGACGCCGGAATTCGATCCGCCTCCGGATTTCTCAGGCATGGGATTCGAACAGATCCAAGCGGAAATGGCCAAACGGACTTTTGGACCGGTCGTCGGTTTCGTTAAGCTCCGGTTAGGCGTCCTCCGTACTAAGGTAACAAAAAAAAAAGCATTAAAATCTCCCTCTCTCACTCTCTCATTCTCCGATTGCAATGGCTCCATAAACTGGTAGTCTCAGGGCAGTTGAAGTTACTGTTTAGAATTCTCTGTTTCTTTTCATGCGATTGAATAGTGATTTGTTTGTTTGATTGAATCAGGATATGGTAGTGGACATTGCTATGAAATGGACAAAAGTTCTGAGAACAGGAGGGATCGGAGTAAGATTTATGGCCGTAGATCGAAGCACGGTGATGTTCAATATGCAAAATGGCAAGGAAGTGACTGAGGTAAAAGCCATAGACACACGCATAAGAATAATGCTAAAACATTGTTTAACGGATTATATGAGATCTAACATTTCACTAAATTCTCTTTGTTGATGGATCTTGAATCAGCTAAGGGAGTTCGTGCTAAACCAGGAAGAGGCTTATGAGGTTAAGATAGGGAAACAAGAGTTTAGGAGACCTGGTGATCCTCCACTTGAAGACGTCGTTAACAAACTTCAAGCTGAGCAAAGCAAGGACGGTGCAGATAGTAACAAGAAGGATGAATTATAGGTCATAGAACCACTTTTAGAAGCTTTTATATTTCTGGACGAGAGAGAGCTGAATCTTAGCTACAATATCTTTGACATGTTTGGTTGCGTAGAATACAAATAAAAGAGGAAGCTTGTTTTCTTTTGTCCGATGAGTATATACACTCATTTAAGCTTATTGCTAAACGTGGAGAGCTCAATAACCTGAATCCTGGGAATGCTTGCTGCCTCTGCTCTCTCTTTCTCTGTGTTGTATCCCCAGTTTCCTGTTTCAAAGATAATGTTCTATCAGATTACCATAGCAAAGGAGAACCTAAAAAGGAGATGTTATGTGAGAGAGAAGTATACAACCTAGGTATAAATTCCATTTGTCTAATTCAGTCTCTTTGATGACATTCTTCAGCGTTGCGAGTCTGTCTTCCACGAAACTGGCCAAATTAAACAACCAACTGAGATTTGCAAGCAAACTAATGGTTACTCAAAAAAGTCATGAACGAGAGACTTACTGCAGCGTCAAGCCCTGGTGTTCTGGTTTATTCTGAAGTAGCTTTAGCACTTCCACCTTTGGCCTAATCAGATATCAGAACCAAAAAAAGGGTAGGTTAAGGGTAAAATTTGGATAGGAAACAAGATAAAGTTCATTGGTGGACCTTATACTGATACTGACCCTGAACCCAAACCATAAACCCTTTTTGATGGTAAGACTACGCCTGCTATTTCACGCAGCAACGCTTCTGCAAACCGGCCCTGCAAAAATACTAGCGAAGTTCAGTTCATAATGACAACAGATAGTTTTGAACTGGATTTGAATCAATTATTAAACTTTGTTATACGAATCAGTCAGATACAACCATCACATTGTGGTTACACGGAGAACAAAAGTGCACCTGTTTCGTGGTAACAATGTATATCTTTGAGCTGGCAAATTTCAGTGCATCTGACACTCCCGGATAGAATCTGCGAATGTAGTGGACTTGTGTCAAAGCTATACATGATTCTATACTTCATTTTCTACGATTTGATCTCTGAGACAATACCTATTAGCACCAATCCAAGTCGTCAAGTCCTTGCTAATCCAATCATCTCTAACTTTGCCAAACAAATCGACCAAAGCATCTTTGTCCTCATCCCAAGCTTCCATGATCACCGGCTTAATCTTTCCCCAGTTCTCCAATATTCCATCAACATTCAATCCATCTGCAACCTTAATAAACAAGTGCAATCATCATCAACAATACGAAAAGGATATTTTGATCAAAACTAATTAAGTCTAGCGAAGAATGTTCTGATGAGCATTCACACTCACTGAAGATTTCCGAATAGATGGCATCTTCGTCTCCAATAACAACCGCACAAGTAGAAGATTTTCGTAGCCAGTTTCCACCACAGGTCTCACCTACAAACACCAACAAAATTTGAAGCTTCACATTCTCTCAAAATCAGAGCTACACAATATCTCACTCTAAAACCAATTCAGCTACCAACACCAATTCTTAAACTTTAATAAACAGTGAGGAGGAAAAGAAGAATTTACGATATGCATCTGATCGACAATCCATTCCTCTAAAGCGGAATCAACTCCTTCGAACACACCAGGCCATCTCACCTTCGCAGCCTATAAACACGGAACAATCAACAAATGCTCAAAAAAAACTGGGCAATAGTAACCCAGAACTTCAAACGTAAGCTCCAATTTTCAAAATCAAATCAGAGTCAGAGAAACAGTTTGCCAAAACATAATCCAGGAGTTTCTCTAAAACCAAACGGAGATTTAGAGTGTATAGAGAGAAATGGATTGACCTTAACAGCAGAGAGAGAGCTTTCTCCGCAGCTATCACAGAGAACTCCATCGAAGTCCAAAGCATAGAGATCTCCCATTCTCCTTCTCCTTCTTCTTCTCCGCCAGTTTCAAGCATCTGCTTGCCACACATTTGTTTAGAGACGAAGTTTAACTCATACTCTGAGAGCCAATGATAACAGTCCACATGTCATGACGTTTTAAATTAAAATCGCAAATGTTTCCGCGTTTTGTCGCGTTTGCGGTAGTCCACACGCGTTGGGGCTGTGCACCGCACGCATATATATGTGAACTTGTGATTATCATCGGTGGCGTACCCCATTGGATTACCGACTGCAGCCGGTCTCACCGTCTATTCATCCGACCTCGAAACCGGAATCGCCGGTATCAATAATTGCTGATCTTCTTCCCTCTTCTCTTCTTCTCTCTTTCCAGATTCTCGATAGTAATCTCATCATCAATCTCCAGATCCCATTCAATAAGGTATTTGCTGACGAACGATTCTTCCCTGTGAAAACTTGTTTCCTTCCTCAATTGTTGTTGTTTTGTGTTTTCCGCGAGCTTGATGATTGTCCATATATTGTTTCGCCATAGCTCGATTTTGAATTCGATAAGCTAGCTCTGGAAATAGATTGCGTTGTCTTTAGATTGTATCTTCTGCTATTGATTGGACGAAGTAGCTATGAAAGGAATCGGTAATTCTCGATTGATTGGTTCCAATCCTTGATGAAGAACATACTCTGCAATTTTTCTTATCTTTTTGGAAACGAGAATGTCTCCTCAAATGTTGATTAACCAAAAGCAGTTTCCTTTCCAGATTTTAGGGTGATTGGAGATTATCCGGCTGAGGATGGCTAACAATGAGGATCATCGTCCTCCTCCTCGTGGGAATGAATGGGAAGTCGTGTCGCTAACTTCATCAGCCTACGCTGCAGCTCCTGGTCCGTATAACGTTGAATCAAGAGATGCTCGGAAGTACGATGCTTACTACGGAGGAGCAGAGACTTCACGTGATTTGTTCATGTCTGACCATTTTGTATTCCCACCTAGCGAGCATGAGAATCTACCCATTGATGAACCCTTACTTGAAGAAGAGCAACAAAGAAAAGATGGCGAAGTTGTGATGCTTCAAGGTCAGGGATTGTCTGATAAGTTAATAAGAAGCACTCGGTTTCAGGATGAACAGAGTATCTATGGTGAATCAGCCGTGTATGATGATGATACTATGCCAAATGAGTATGCAGAGGGGGACTTGGAGGATCTCCGTTCTGATACAGCTACAAACCCACTTAGACTTGAGAAGGACGCTAAGAAACCAACACAGAACCTTCCCTGTGAAGCTTGGTGGAGAAGGAGAGCTGTTTCTATGTATTCACGCACAAGAGAAGCGAATGCGATTTGGTCCTTATTCTTTGCAGCTGCTGTCACAGGACTCGTCGTTCTTGGTCAACGCTGGCAACAAGAAAGATGGCAGGTTCTGCAACTCAAGTGGCAATCAAGCATCAGCAGCGAGGTACTAATCTAAACTTTTGCCAAGAATTGTTATGCTTGATAAATGGTAATCAGCTAAAGCCATTTTATTGACGGCTCTTGTTTGTTTGTTTGCTTGCTTGCTCTCACGCAGAAGTTGAGCAGACTACTTGAACCTCTCTCACGCTTGAAAGACGTGATTGTGAGAAGTAACCCACAAGCTTCTCTCGTAAGAAGTGGCTCCTCCAGTGAGGTCTAGAGACGAAGTATGAGACAAAAAGGCTAATGTAGCGTTCGTTCGACAATCTCACACGAGCACATGTACATACAAACTTGGTCTTGAGTTGCATATGTGTGCTTGAATGTCTAAAGCTTTTACTTCTTTTTTAAGCCTCTGTTGCTTCAGTATTGTGTACCATTGGAAGGGAGGAGATCCACATTGCCTTCTTATAAAACTTTCTCTTTAGGTGTTGTGTTAGTATTGAAATATATATACACATATACTCTTTTTTCTTTTTATGATTGATTATTTTTATTCACTTTCATTGAATGATTACTATAAGAGTCCATACGTTCTGGTCTGTAAATAGAAATGACGGAATCGTACCAAAAAAAACTGTGAATTGCAATTGTTATAATCTACTTGAAGTTAGCGAAAGGTCTGACTTTCTTTTACTTATGCAGTGAGGCTATCGTAATAGCGACATTACATAAACTACCATAGAATATACTAATTGCCATTTCACAAATTTGGTGAAATGCTGAAATCGCATAACCATTTTATGACTGCCAAAGAGAATCATGGTTACAGCGATACAAAAACGGGGTTTACCATACGTCATGTCACCATAGTCGAATTGGAATCTAAACATTAAAATCTGCTTCTCGGTATTAAACGAATCAGTAATGGTATGACTATGAATGATTAAAGTATTAATGTGGTTGAGTGTTGTCTGGTGGATTACCAATTAATTACCATGTGAATGAGTGACGGAAACGAACTATATTAATGATTCCATTCATTAGTTTAGCTAACTTTTCATTATGGTTTTTTATTTCTCTATTTACGGTCTTAAATGCAAAATGAGACAAGTAAATGACCAATTTTATGTGGGACAACCCACGGAATCTAAAAATTTCTGTTTTTCTTAATTACTAGTTCTACACGTGATCGGCTAAGTTTGTTCGAATAAATTTAGTCATATAAAGTCATAGCTGTCTAGAATTCTTTCTTCTTTTTTTGTAAATAGTGAATTGGATATTCTTGATGTACCTAATCTAACTATTTAATTGTTAATATTTTATGTAACTTCCCCGTACGCAACTGTAAGTTTTCAAATCATTATTAAATTAATTTACAACAAAAAAAAAATTATTTATTTGTCGTTGATGGGAAGGTAACCTAATACTCCGTAATAACATAACTCATATTCTCCGTCGATTTGTCTTTTATTTGCTGATTCAATCACACACACAAAAGTATACGAGCGTAGGAAGTAGGAACTACGTATAAGTATTTGACAAACATAAATGGTAACTGAAAACCAACTGTCGATCAAGTTCAATTAAATAAGCTAAAAACATCGAACTGATATACTCCAGTTTTTCATGTTTGCGTTTTTTGGTATTTAAAATCGAAATCGCCGTACGTAATACAGCTGGCAACAGGAATATAAAATAGTTGGATTTGGTTCAACATATTTCGACGTATCAAAGATCGAACCGGATAATCTGCAACTCTTGGTTTGAAATTCGAATAAGTTGACTTTCGTTCGTCAGTGCATTTATATGCGTTAATAACAAAAGTCAAAACTCTTTATAATTATCCACCATATGGTTTATATAGTCTCGTTAATTCTCTCTGTTTTTTTTTTATTGAAGTTTTTCTTCTGTGATTCGTTTATCTTTGGGGACGATTTTTTTCTCTGTGATTTAGGCTCCAATATTGAACTATGATATGACCTTTTTTTTGCTTTTTTTTTTTCTTTCTATTCTTCAGATACTATAAATTAGTAAATTTATAAAAAAACAGTCCTCCACACGTGAAAATTTAGAAATGGGATTGTGTGTTTATCTCTGCCCATGTAGTCATGTACATATCACGAGTTTTCTCGTATGGTTATGTATTGGTTCTTACATTTGATTTATCATGATCATATATTAAGAGAGGGGACGCATACATTCTATTGAATACCATCAACTGTTTTAAATATATTGAGAAAAAGTCACCAAACCCATGCATAGCCATTGTGTAGTTGAGCTAAATTTTCTTCGGTGAGTTTGTTCACCCAAAACTTAGCAATCTAAAATCTAAAACTCTAATTTACATGAAAAAAGTGGGACGAGGAAATTTCATTTTCTATCATAATTTGACATAAGAAAATAATATGTGGCCCTAAATAATTTATTCACATATTTGAGTAATCAACTGATAAAAATTGTAAAATCAAGAAATCACTGTTATTTTGCCGTTATACAGTCTGCTGTTCTAATGACCATGACTAACAATACATCAATGATCAAACCATCATTTACCTTGAACCAACACCGAATTACAAAACCATAACCGATACCTTAAAACACATGCAATTAATAGCCACGAGAACACTAAAGTGAGGACTGAGGAGGCAACATCCCATGCTTACTTTGTGACTTCTTTTACACGACTTTTCAGCAATTTAAAATATCATTTTTCCTACTTACCTCTTTCTTTGGGGTTTCGTATTAAATTGTATATAAATGGTTCATGCTCGGACATTGAAAAACTGTGGGTCATTTTAGTCATAGATCTCCATCTCTCTGTATATATCTTTCTCCCTCTTCCTAGGCTCCTCAACTAAACGTCTTTAATGCTCTCTCTTCCTATTGTTTTACCACCTCATAGACTTGGAAATAAACCATTCCATTTTTTCAAAACCTATTTTTCGTATTTTGTATTTATATAATTGAGAACATATCAAGTCTCCAACCACCTAGCTACCAGCCTAGTGCAGGAACATTAATGGCGGTGCACACCATCTCATGCGATCTCACATCCCCTAAAGTTCTCCACTCTTTAAGTTTATGAGAGATCCTATAGAGAGAGAGAATCATAGAGAGTGAGTGAGTGAGAGAGAAAGATCTAGAGAGAAAATCCATCGAAGGAAAAACAGTCTGTCTTCCATAATTGCTCTCTTTCTATAAATCTTTCTCTCTTGTGCGTTCTTACATGTCTTCTTCGTCTAATTAACTTCACTCTTTTACGGAAATTTCTCATTCTCACCACCCGTGCTGTCGCTATTTCCGTCAAGGGTCTCAACTTTTGTGCCTAAACGTCAGTTTTCAAAGGAAAATCATGGATATATCCACTGCTCTAATCATTCTTTCAGCCATTACGGCGTATTTTTTATGGCTCACATTCATATCTCGTTGTCTTAAAGGTCCACGTGTCTGGCCCTTATTGGGAAGTCTCCCTGGTCTAATCGAGAACTGCGAGCGAATGCACGATTGGATCTCCGACAACCTCCGAGCTTGCTCCGGTACTTACCAGACATGCATCTGCGCGATTCCGTTTCTAGCTAAGAAACAAGGTCTCGTGACGGTCACGTGCGATCCAAGAAACCTTGAGCACATTCTCAAGATTCGCTTTGATAATTACCCTAAAGGTCCGACGTGGCAAGCCGTTTTCCATGATCTTCTCGGTCAAGGGATCTTTAATTCTGATGGTGACACGTGGCTTTTCCAGCGTAAGACCGCCGCTTTGGAGTTCACCACAAGGACTCTCCGTCAAGCCATGGCTCGCTGGGTCAACCGAGCGATCAAGCTTCGTTTTCTGCCTATTCTAGAAACGGCTCGGCTCGGCTCTGAGCCGATCGATCTACAAGATTTGCTTCTTCGGCTCACGTTTGATAACATTTGCGGCTTGACTTTTGGGAAAGATCCGCGGACTTGTGCGGCGGGGCTTCCCGTGAACACGTTCGCGGTGGCTTTTGATCGAGCCACGGAGGCTTCGCTGCAGCGGTTTATATTGCCGGAGATATTATGGAAGTTCAAGAGAATGCTCGGTCTCGGCTTAGAAGTCAGCTTGACTCGAAGCTTAGTCCAAGTGGACAATTATTTGTCGGAGATTATTAAGACACGTAAGCAAGATTTAATGACGCAGCATAGTAACGATGGGACCCAGCACGACGATCTCTTATCGCGGTTCATCAAGAAGAAGGAATCTTACTCCGACGAGGTCCTCCAGCGCGTGGCGCTCAACTTCATCCTAGCTGGTCGTGACACGTCATCCGTCGCGCTGAGCTGGTTTTTCTGGTTGATTACGCAGCACCCAATCATAGAGGATAAAATCCTCCGAGAGATCTGTACCGTCCTGATCGAGACACGTGGCGATGACATGGCGTCGTGGACGGATGAGCCGCTCTCGTGTGAGGAGCTTGATCGATTGGTTTATCTCAAGGCGGCGTTATCGGAGACGCTGAGGCTGTATCCATCGGTGCCGGAGGATTCAAAGCGCGCCGTGAAGGACGATGTCTTGCCGGACGGGACTTTTGTGCCGGCGGGGTCTTCGGTGACGTATTCGATTTACTCGGCGGGGAGAATGAGATCGACTTGGGGAGATGATTGTTTGGAATTCAAACCAGAGAGATGGATATCGCAATCGGACGGTGGGAGATTCATCAATCATGATCCGTTTAAATTCGTGGCGTTCAATGCCGGTCCTAGGATCTGCTTGGGTAAGGATCTGGCTTATCTGCAAATGAAGTCGATTGCGGCGGCGGTGTTGCTCCGCCACAGTCTGACGGTGGTAACGGGGCATAAGGTAGAGCAGAAGATGTCGTTAACTCTATTCATGAAGTACGGTCTTCTGGTTAACGTCCACAGACGGGATCTAACGGCGATCGCGGCGGATCTGCGGGTGAAGACAGATTGTAAATCTAACGCCGTCAGTGACGGGGTTGGTAACGGTGTTACAAGGTAGGTAGGGTAGGTGAAACCAATCGCATCTATCATTGAATGTGGAATAGAAAGTGGCACTCGCCTTTGGGCGCGTGGTGGATACGGGGTTCTTTGGCCAACACAGCAGCACGTCAGATGTCGTTGACTGATTGGCTGGCTGCATAATTCAATAGAGGTAATTTTGCAAAGTGCGTTGTTACTCTTTTTTGTTTTCTTCCTTTTATCTGCCTTCGTATTCAGACGGTAAAATTTGATTTCATTATTTTGTAAGCATCCGTCAATTTGATTTAATAAATCTTATATGAATCATTTTCAAATAAGGTTTTATCTTAAGGTTAAAGAATGTCACATCGTTTGGAAATTTGATCGCGATGTGGCACATTTTGTTTTTCTTAATTCTAACTCTTATTGGCAACCCATGAATAACCGGATAGGCTCTATGTTTGACGATTTTTTACTAGTTACATGAATCATTTGATATTCACAAATTCGTTAATTCGTAATTATATCCACATGAGTCGTTTTCTTGGATTTGGGCCAATTTTGTCGGATGTCATTTTGTATAATTAGTGTTGTTTGGCATGATTCACTTGTAATGGCCTTCATTTTCTTGTAGCATAACATGATGCATTAAATATGTTTGGTCCACTTTGTTTCGAGACAAATGTCTGCTCCAGAGGTGCCTAGAATTATCCAATTGTAGAAATTGTTGATAAGTAGAGAAGAGAGATTACAAATCATTCTGGGGAATTTGTTTGTTTTACTTTTACATAAGGAGTCTCCAATAGGCAAAGAAGAGGAACAACAAACACATAGACACACGTTTCACACAGGTAGAAGATTCACAAAAGAAAAGCAAACTAAGAGAACAAAAGCCTGATATTTAATTTAAGAGCAACTCAATCAGCTTCTGGACTTGTTGAATGGGATGGCTCTGATGACAATCACATGGTACAGAGCAGCAAGTGCAGCACCAATGAATGGTCCAACCCAAAAGACCCACTGGATAAAAAAAGAAGAAACAAAGATAGTTATTTGATTGGTTGAAATCGATTGTGATTATGTAAATTTTGGCGAGTAGTGAAAAAACTCACATGGTCGTCCCAAGCGTTGTCCTTGTTGAAGATGATTGCAGCTCCAAGACTCCTAGCTGGGTTGATGCCAGTTCCGGTGATGGGGATGGTTGCTAAGTGGACCAAGAACACAGCGAATCCGATAGGGAGTGGTGCAAGAATCTGCAAATTTTGGTTCAAATTTCAAACCAATTAAGCATTTTTCATCCGATGCAACACCACCACCCAAACTTTGATGATTGTGGTTTCAACTTACGGGAACATGAGAGTCACGAGCGTTTCTCTTGGCATCGGTGGCGGAGAAGACCGTGTAAACAAGAACAAAAGTTCCAATAATCTCAGCTCCGAGACCACTTCCTTTGGTGTAGCCAGGAGCTACGGTGTTAGCTCCACCGCCCAGAGCTTGGTATTGCTTTGGTTGGAAACCCTTGACCACACCGGCTCCACAGATAGCTCCTAAGCACTGCATCACTATGTAGTACACAGCTCTTGTGAGCGAAAGCTTCCTGGCTAAGAACAATCCGAAGGTAACAGCTGGGTTGATGTGTCCACCTGAGAGTTTATAACAATTCACAAATCCGATTAGAACATCTGCAAATCGAATGATTCCACGCACAACTAATATCTCATTTCTCTCGAATTGGATTACCCTAAAGCCCTAAACCAGCATACGATCTATCTAGATAACGAAGAAATTCGAAATCGGAGACTGAAATCGGTAGATCTGAGAAACCGGAAGGTGGTTGGACTTACCGGAGATACCAGCGGTGCAGTAGACGAGAGCGAAGATCATACCACCGAAAGCCCAAGCGATTCCTTGGATTCCGACGGAAGCACACATGTTAGGTGCCCTCTTCACGCCCATAACGGTCAAAACAGTGATGTATAGGAACAGAAACGTCGCGATGAACTCAGCGATTCCGGCTCTCCAGAAGGACCACGAAGCAAGCTCGCCTGGCTCGAACAACGGCGCAGGTGGTGGCTCCTTGTAGTCCTTGTCGCTCTGAGCCGATGTTCCGATCGGTTGCCTCTCCGGGAATTTGTTAGCTCCGACTCTAACATCTTCTTCTTTGCCTTCCATCTCCGACTTCCTTTTCTCTCTCTCTCTAGAGCTTTTTTGGTTTTCTCTGTGAGTGGGTTTGATGTGTTGCAGCGAAGCAGAGAGTGGTAGTTTTTATAGTGACGAAACTCGATGTTGGAAGATAATGCCAACAAAATGGAGATAGAATTTAAATTAAAAATAATAATTAATTAACTGCATGATATATAATTAACGTTATCATCTTTGTTGCTGATAATACTAATTATTGATTAATCATAATTAAAGTTTGTGGACAGAGTTTCAAATTTCGCTTTGCAGCTATTTTGTTTTCTCTAATCAAATGTGTGGACATTTTGTTTGGAGTTTTATCTTCACGGATGTTTTTCCATATTCTAGAATTTGACAAAAATAAAATACTGGAAAACATTATCAAAAAATATATAAATGAAAAGGAGGAGAATTTGTGGTCGAGATAAACCGCCGGTTTATTTGGACCGCTGTCAGGATAAGCACATGGACTCACCACACCTAAAATCCGTAGGGACACCTCATCTAACCAATAATCTACAGCATTTTTACTAATTATGCAACGTTATAGTTCTGGTTTATATTTTGTTGACCGAAAGCAACAAAAAAAATTGGCAATGATTGATGACAACCAGTAAAACGAATTTTTCTATTATCATTTTTTAATAGAAATCTAATACCTTCTATATCTAAATGTGAATTTTGTATGTTCTGTAATCTTGCGATTATCTTCACCAATTTAGCAATTAGACTATTCTGTCATTGAAATAACTAAATCATGATCTCTCAAATCATAATTCATATATATATCTATACATAGGACAGCCAAACTTGGGTGTGTCTATAATGCAAACTTTACTGCACCAACTACGCTAGACATGGAATAATTCATTGCCTATATACATTATACATATCATATAACTTGAAACTATACATACATATACACACGGCATCGACCATGAATGGGTAAATGCATAACGAGTGGTGCGTTTTAACGAAACAAGAAGATTGGGTTGTGTGTAATATTCGGCTGCATTCCACTATTTGCCAAAAAGGAAAGACAACGTTTAAGCTAAAAGAAAAAAAGGACTGAACAATCATGGTTGCTTCGTTGTTTTGTTGTCTTTTTAGCGTGAAACTATGTCCTACACACGTGCTGGTTTCTTCTTCTCCCGTATGCCAAATTTCGCTTTATTTTACTGGCCAAACTCCATTAACCAACCAATCCAAAGACATATCTGATGAAATGGGCGCCATATACCAAATTTTCATGGTAAAATTTCTTCTTTTAACGGTGTATAGATATTAGATCATATATGGTGCATGCAAAAGCTACTTTTTCAGTGACAACACAACACTAATGAGTTTTATTTTATTCCAAACCATTTAATGAAGTTAGACTCGACGTGAAGATATCATACCAGCTTATATGTGGTACCGTATTTTTTATTTTATTTGTTAGTATGAGTTTGAGTTTTGGTCGGTATAAACCGTAGATAATAATAATACTTTCATTCTACAAGTTTTTGCCATTCACGCAGTAAAATTCGTAATACATATTCTATACCAAATACCATTTGCCACCTATATATGTATTCGAAAAAGAACAAACATTTTTCTTACAATAATACTCAACGTGTTTTCTAGCTTCTACATAGTTTCTACTGTTGTTGTTTCATAGGATTTATACGTTTGCAAACTATTTTATTATTTTGTTGGTACTGATCTAAGCCATGGCTTCTAACGTTTACGAAAATAAAAACAATGGAAGGTCGTATAAGTCGTAATTTGTATGGACTTTGGTATGAGAATAAAAAATCCCAGGATTCCAAGCCGTCCAATCCATGGATAAGAGGACACGTGGCTCAACCTTACGTATACAAAACCGACCAAGCCACCCAAACACTTGTCACCTTCAGTCCAATTTTAATCATTTTTTGTTACTCTTTATATTTCTTTCTTCTGGGTGTGCCATTATTGCATGCCCACTCCCATTATTCCCGTTGCGTTACTGTCCCCACCTCCACCTCTCTTGGACTTATTTAATTTCGAGAACCTTTTTTCGTTTGAACAAAATTTCGAGAACTTTCGTCTCCATTTTCTTTTAAACAATTTTTGTTTCAAAAAACATTATACACACCATCAAATTTACAATAAGATTATTTTCGCATCAATATTAAACGATATACATAAGCTAGGCAACTACAATTCCTGAAGCTCAACAACATAATTTTTTTTGTTCGGCAAAAAATTTTAATAGTCAGATAGTAGTTTTAACGAACTTCTTTTATAGTGAAGGAAATTATTTTCGTCACGTAGGATCTGTGAGTGTGTGAACTGAGTTCCTCAAATTTGCATTCATTTTCATTTACCAAAAGTTTCGAAACCATACATATGTAACGCGTATCTATAAATTGATTCGAGCCATTTTAAGTATGGGCCATATTGCGGCTACATGAGGCCCGTAACTGTAACGGGGCCCATATCTTAGTCCACAAGCCCCTTTCGTTCCATCGGCGGCTCCAGCTTTAATTCGAGGAAAACAATTTCTGCCAATGGTGTGGCGGCGAATGAACCTCAGGTGGTGTAATTCTCGAGCCACTCTCGCTAGCCCACCGGCAAGAACCACAAACCAACCTTAGTTTTAGTTTTCACGTAACGATGTCGTTTCGTTTTTACCACCACAAGCCACGAGCGTACAGGGCTGTGACACCTGGATATGATCAGTCCTCTCATTTTCTTGTTTTCTGCCTTCTCATCTGAATTAAAATAAAATTAATTTCTAAATTTAGTCCGCTTTCTCTCTCTCTACGTTTCTCTCTCTTATCCGCTCCACGTCGCTTGGCCGCCGCCCGCCGTCGTTTTCCACCGCCAGATTAAAATCTCTCCGCCGCCAGTTTTACCTCCATTTCTCAATTTCTGTTATAAGGTACGACGCGATTGTTCGCGTAATCGACTCTTCTTCTTTCGGTTCGGAAGAGCTTCTCGGTGGTTGCGTGATTGTATTGTATCTCTACGCGTTTTGCCTGTTTGTTTGTGTTATTGGTATAATGCGTAATACTTGCATATCCCAACGTATACGGCTGTTTCTTCTCTGTTTCCTCTTTTCATTTCCTCCCTTCCTTCTTATTGGATCAAATTTTGATAACTCTTATTTCGCTTTCCCGATTTACGATTCCATTTTGTGCTTAATTTCCTGTTTAGGGTTTTACTTTTGATTTCTATTTTAATTGGATTCAGATTTTTCCTGCTTGCTCGTCAGAAACCGTTAGAGAAATGCTTTTCTAGCATTAAAGGGAGATGATCATTTTTTTATCTATTTGTTGCCAGAAAGGGATTTTGCTAAACCAATTCCTTGAATTGAGAGGTTGCATTTTGCTTACCTTTCTGAGTGAGTTTCACTTTTGGTGAAGAATAAAGGATCAAAACGATTATGTTATGAAACTGTTTGTTCATAATTATTTTTTGCCGGAGTGGTTAATCTCTGTTTTATTTGTTTTCCCTTCTCTTACTAGTTTGGTGGATGGAGTAGGTCGATACTGCTCATAGACCTGGAGTTTTTGACCTGAAGAGCTTCAGGATTTTAAGAAAAACAGAGGCTTTGTAACTTATGGTGTCTAGTACTTATTGGAGCTAAAGGTGCAATAACAACTTGATTTAAGGAGTCTCATAGTGGTAGACTGGGTCATTATCAATGTCAGAAGGTGATTTGGCCGTCATGAAACCAGAGGTAAAGTTTCATTCTTCTTCTGTTAACCATAACATCTCAGTTTAGCTACTTTTTGTTGCCTTTAAAACTAGTCACATGGATGCCACCTTCACCTCTAATGGAAAAGGACCACTATTCATATGCTTTTACTAGTATTGTTTTAGATTGTGACGTGATGGTTAGAGGGTTGTTAGATATTGTGACATTCTTAGTAGTAAATATAGTGTTTTGACAAACGAGTTCAGTATTCCAAAGGACTTGTTGATACATGGAATTTTACAAGTTAGCGTAGTTGTTAATATTTTCTTTAGTCGTATAGATTTATATGAATGACTTAATATATTTTGCATTTTGCACCTTGCTCCAAGCTAAATTGGCTTTTTGCTATGCCATGATGAAGTCCTACATCTGGCTTCAAACTGCTGATGGTTCAATTCAGCAAGTGGAACAAGAGGTTGCGATGTTCTGTCCCATGATATGTCAGGAGGTAATACACAAGGGTGTTGGATCTTCTAAAAATCATGCAATATCGCTTCCACAGCGAGTAAATCCAGCTATGTTCAGCTTGATTCTTGATTACTGCAGATTTCATCAATTGCCTGGACGTTCAAATAAGGTTTGTGCGACACTTTTAATATTTGTTTTCCATACTCCATCTGGCCTCTTTCAATACATCTATTTATCCACTCTTTAGGAACGAAAAACTTATGATGAAAAATTCATCCGAATGGACACAAAGAGGCTATGTGAGTTGACCTCAGCTGCTGACAGTTTGCAGCTGAAGCCTTTGGTTGATCTTACTAGTCGCGCACTTGCACGAATCATTGAAGGAAAAACTCCTGAGGAGATACGAGAGATATTTCATTTGCCTGATGACCTAACTGAGGTTTGTACTGCTTAATATCATCTCTTCTTAGGATATGTGTCCTCCATCTGCTTCTCTTTGTTTGACCGCTCTTTGATAATTTTTATCCAGGAGGAGAAATTAGAGCCTCTGAAGAACACAATGGATGATCCACGGATTCGACTACTGAATAGATTGTACGCAAAGAAAAGAAAGGAGCTGAAAGAAAGAGAGAGATTGAAGGTCTGTTTATCAAGTTACATTTTACTTGTTTTGAATGAATGTAATTTGTAGCTTTATGAATGAAGTTGAGCGTATGTTGGTCTATAAGATTGAACTATTTCACTAGCTTATGAAGTTTGGGTTTTCCATGTCTTAGAATGTTGAGGTTGAAGAACACGTGGACCAACGTTCTGTGGATGACCTGTTATCATTTATTAACGGCAGAGGTACTTTCCTTTGATCTCTTTCCTGGTTTTCCAAATTCATAAATATCCGTCCGTTCTCGTCTGTTTCTTCTTTGGCTTCTGCTCGGAGTTATCTATTTAACATTGTACTACCACATTTTAGTTTAGTTTGGAATTTTTGCATCTGTCGATGGTGATTGGCTATTTGCTTTTTACTCAATGCCTGAGATAAAATACTCATCGTCTAGTGCTGGTTATCTGTTTGAGCTACATATCTGCCAATTTCATGCATATGAAAGATACTTCTTGCTTGTGCTTCTATGGATGAAAATATAAAGATTGTTTGATGAATGAATCGTGATCGATGTTTGGTGTCCTTGATTGAGATATTTGGTGTGTGAATTTGTGTTTGTGTTGCATCTTAGTCTTCTCCTTTCTCTATTCCACTTCCTTTTGAAGGCCTCATTGGAAGTAAGGAAAATTCTGTTTCACAGATCCCAAGGTGGCAAAGATGTCAAAGGGAAAAAAGAAGAACAAGAAAAAGAAGGACCAAAAGATTGTTTCTTCAGATGAAAAAGAAGGACCAGAAGACTTTGATGACAAGGTTTCAAACTAGTTTCTCTGTGTTTTTGCTCTCCACGCGGTTGGCATTTGTCAAGTTAATGAATTTGTTCCTTTCTGCTTAGGAATCGCATTCAAAACAACAAGAAGTGGAAGAGACTGGGTCTAGCATGAGAGAGGTACCCAATTTACCTAGTAGGGAAGATGACATCTTTACGCCAAAGACCGAGTCTGAAGATGGAGAGATAGATGATGAAATCGATCCAGCCATGAAGGAAATGCTTGATAGGTAAGACTCTTGTTAATTCAGCAACAATTCTCTTTCTTTTCAGAACCAGGATAGTTCTTATATTGTGAAAACAATGTTATATACAGAGAGGTAGAAGATTTTGCTCGGAGATTGAACTCAAATTGGGTACGATCGCTAGGACAAGAAAGAAGGCCTGTTCACTTTTCCATAAATGGCAACGGGACTACAAGACGGCATATAGGTATGCGAATCTTTACTTTTGTCGTAATGTGTTAGAGCTGAAACTGATGGGGGTACGGTTTGGATTTGAAGGTCAATCTCCAGGACACAATTGAAGCTGAAAACGCCACTCAGTGGCTATATAACAGTTTTGGTCAAGAATGTGAGCAAATAGAGGGAATGGTTTTACTAGTCACTGGCGTTTGATGTGTGTCCTCCTGTAACATTTTGTTTTTTATTTCTCATCCCCACGTCTGTTTTATTTTGTCTTTCATTCTGAGGTAGAATGCAGTTTTGATTTTTGATTTTTTTTCTCCTAACCTTCTAGTGGTCGATATTTTCATTTGTAAAAACCACTTTGAGCATTTTCGTTGGTGGGTCTAATTTAGAATCCAGTTCTATGTAAGTTTCTTGTTTCACGTTGTGTTATACAAATTCAGAATGAAAATAATGAAGACATGTTCAACTGTGTTAGCACCAGAACTCACACAAATGTTTTTTGATACATAAATACAACTATTTCAGTTTATTTGCAGTTTCTGTCTCTCTGTAACTCAGGAAACAAAGCTCTGTAACTCTCGTCAAGTCACTCACAATGCTCATGGTCTTGGATTGCGAGCTTCTGCCATAGCTTGGTGGAGTTGATGAGGAAGTTTATCATGTTCAGTCCCATTCCGCTGCACTGATGAAAGTGACCATCAACAAGATGAAATGCAATTATAGAAACGGCAGTGTCTTTTGTGATTTTCTACTTACAGAACTGCACAACACATACCGGGAAAGCTTGAGAAGATGAGTCATTCGGTTCCTCTTGAACTTGGCTTAGTGAGACTTCAGATATGCTGGATTCTCCTTCCTTTTGTGCATTCAAACTTGCTACCTCTTCAAGTGGATTGGTGCTTATTTGTGGCAACACAAGGCGCTGAAACTCAGACAAGAGCGTAGAGAGGGCTCGAACTTCATCCATTCTAGCTTCCCTATAAAACGATCAGCAAACAAGAAGCATCCATCATCATATTCAATGTTACAAAGAAAGAAAAAGAAAAGGTGTTTTGACTGAAACCTTGTATGAATAAGGTTTCCTTTGCAGGTGAAGTGAATTTGACAAGTAGCAGGCGCTTGTTGGCACACAAAGTTTGCTTTCTTGGACTTGAGATCTTCCATGTTCCTTGCAAATACAGAGTTAGCAACACGGTGAGCGATCAAGTTTCCAAAAAAGATATGGCCATGTGTATATAATCAGAGTGAGATTCTACATGGAATAGTGTTTATCTGCAGCTGCTCCCATAACAAACTTCCTGATCCTATGCTGATATATCATTTCCACAATCCCTTTCTCAATCGAGTCCATTTCAAAACACAGTTTCTCTGCCTGGACCTAGACACAGATCACCAATCTCTTTTAGAAATGGAAAAAAAAGAATAACATAGTGACAAACAGAGTCACATACCCCTATCTTGAGGCATATACTAAGGTACTCTTGTAGAATCTTTTCTGTTTTGGTCGTTTCTTTTCCTCTGTATGCTCTCACTAATTCCTCATCTGCCGTGGAAGCTTCGAATTTGGTACCCACTTTGCATCAAAAGTGAGCATAAGAGTTTTTAAAAAAGTCAAATACCTTTAAAATAATGTACAGTGCAAGAGAGGGTTGCTTAAGGTAGATACTCACAGACAGGAATCGTTGGAGATGGCTGGTGGATATGAACGATGCAGATTTTGTTTCCTTTGAAGTTTTGTAATGCCCATATGAGATTTGATGTGTTCTTCCATACGTTTCTCCCAACTGCCACGTAGATTTTCGCCTCAAGTATCCGCAAAGTGGCTGTTTCCTCCTCCATAGCTGCTTGGAAGAAGAATGGAAAAATGGAGAATTTGGGGAAAATGTTAAAAGAGATTTGTCTCTTGTTGATATCAGCATATGCTCGTTTACTTGGACAAGAAGCGCTCCAATGGCTGTGCACATCTCACCATTCTTGTGTGTTCCTTCGAATTGAAACGAATATTCGACCAATCTATACATATAATAATATGGAACAAGACTTGATCAATGGTTTTTTATTTTTTTTTATACCAAAGATTGATTCATCATCTCCAATAGGTTTAGTACCAAGAAGAACAAATCGGTTTAGTACCAAGAAGAAGACGTCTAGTACAAATTTCGATTGTTAGCCTAAAGCTTTGAAAACGAATAACTAGTCTAATTGCCATAACAAGACAAACTGCTACTGGAGAGGAACTGGAGGAAGCCAGTGAGGAACCCAGCAAGGTCGAGGATTAGGTAAATGAGGGAAACCTGGGAGAGACTTGGGTTCGAAGGAACGTGGGGTTCTTGAGGCGATGTCGTAGACGCCATAGCCTTCACCATAACCATCACCGGCGAAATAGATTGAATTCGGTATTAGTCCCGGGAATGAGCTGGCCTCGACACAAAAAGGCTCGTTATCTCCGATGAATATGCAGAGATCACCAATGTCCTCTGTGTAACACATGTTCACCATATCTTCCTCCTCTCTAAACACCATGAACCGCTTTGTGCCGCTACAATCGAACCATAAGGTCTGGAGATCAGGGCTTCGAACATACCTGCCAAAAGCCACAAAAAGAAGAAAGAAACAAAAGAACATGTTAATATGAGATTATAACACTGAAACCGCAAGCAGAACAAGCAGAACCACGGTACCATTTGACTAGGAAACGTTGTCCTGAGGAAGACTCGACAAGGTCATGTGTTCTGTAACAAGAATCAAGAAGCTGCAACTCGGAATGCGAGAACTGAGGAAGGTTGTGAAACCGCAGCTCAATAAACTGAGGAATGGTTGATCGGATACCACCCCAAGACCACAAGTGGTGGCCACCAGTGCTAACCATGTAGAACTTTTGATCTCTCTTGGAATACATGAGCTTGGATTCTTCAAAATGGTCGAATACTTGTTGAGAGACAAGGAGGAGGTGTCCCTTGTCTGTGTCTCGACCGGGGGTGTATATACTCACCGGACGTCCCGCGAACTTGACGCAGATAACGCAGTCTTGCTCTTGAGGAGAAGACGTCATTGCCACGCCACTTACCACTTCAGTTTGACAGCCGATTATATTAGGCCGAGGGTACAGAGGGATTATCTTAGGGTTTGATTTGGAGCTCGAGGGGTTGCAGAAGTCGCTGACTAGTATGGAACGTCCGTCGTAGGTGAAAACTCCCCACCCATGAGAACTTCCCACTAGCGCAGACGAAACCAACTCTTTGGGAAGTGGCTTATCACCGACGGTGAAATAATCTTCCTTGGCCGGATCAAACATTCGGAGCTCCGTCATTGCACCTGCGGATTCTTTACCACTGGAGGTGACTCGGTACATCAAGTAAGGGTTGGTGGATGTGGTAGAGGAAAACATCCGAATGGTACTGTGGCATCTCTGTGGGGAAGGGTAACAAGTGGACATCAAGAAGAAGAAAACAGAAATTATAAAGAAAAATAGAGAGAGATTCAAGAGATTTACCAGAGAAAGTTTGCGGAGGAGAGAGGGCTTGGAAGAGAGGCTGAGAAGCAGAGACGACATAGCTTGCTTGGTCTGTTCCTTCTTGACTCTCGATCTGAGACCACCACAGAGAAAAAGAAAAAGGGTTTTCAATAATGTCCCTCTCTCCCTCACCCCTTTCTTCCTCTGTTTCCCACGTTTCTTTACTTTTTATTTTTTTCCTTAAATGTGAATCTTGTGACAATAGGAAACAAAATTATCTTTTGATCAAATTGGTACAGAAAGATTCTTTAACTATGCACCAAGTATTTTCTTTTTCCTTTCTAACCCCATTCAATAGTCCACATTTACTGTTTTTACCAGCGCAACTCAACCACTTCAATGTTTTGATTTCACAATTTTATAAAACTATTATTAATTCTAAGAGAAAAAAAAGATAGTACAATTGAAAACCAAAGAAAAATTATCCAGCCATGACATGTATAATGTATGTATGGGGAATTATGTCGGAAAAAAAGGTTTTCAATTATATGTCTCTCTCCCTCACTTTCTTTTGTCCCCTGTTTCCACGTTCTCACGTTTCCTTGTTTCCATTTTTTTGTAGATTTTGTGATCAAATTTGTACACAAGATTCTTTACTATGCCACACGTATTTTTATTCTCCTCTGTCACCACCTCCTCAGTAATTATCATATCGAATACCCCACACCCACCACACCACTTCAGTGTTTTAGATTTCAGAATTTTATAGTTTTACTAAATTATTTATTTAAACAACAGAGAGAGAGAGAGAGTTAACAGTCAGCTGGAATTTGAAAACAAAAAAACAACAACAAATTATGTATTTGTGTATGCACGTTTCATAATTAGGAGAGTGCCAGGTTTTGTATTTATCTCGGTAAATTGTCATACATTAAACTCTTGGTAGCTTAAGCCACCTTTTGAATTGAACAAATATTAAATTTGTGGCTGATGTACAACTTTTTGGAGAGAATTGTTTTTGGTGGGGGAATTGTATGTCTGATTTGCAAATTGTATTTTTTTTTTCCTTTTTTCACCCTGTTACACCACCCACATTTTCCGCACCAACTACATCAATGTTTTAGATCTCACAATTTATAAGTTTACCAAATTATTTATATAAAGACAAAAGAAAAATGACTTTTTTTTAACAAAAAGAAATATGATGTACCAACACAAACTTCAAGCATTAGATTTTAGATTTGATTTGATTTTAAGAAAGATGAAATTTAAAAACCCTTACATTAATTGCATAAACTAAAGAGTTTCCCCCATTGCACCCTCCTTACATTAATTGCATAAAAGCTTCCTTATTCCACGATTACCTTAATTAACTGCATAATTAAAACACGTTTCTTTGTCACCTTGTTCTCTTGCAACCTCGTCCTTCTTCTTCAAGCTGACTCCTCGGCAACCTTGTGAACACTTCCGCCATACTCCACAGTCAAGGAGCACCTTCCATCCTGTGTTTCTATGCTTGTTAAGACGCAACTTATTACTTTCTCCTCAACAATAGCTGGCCCGTTCTTCTGCGGTTTGGTCACGGTCTCCCTGTGGATGTAGCCCATCTCAACAAAGAAACTCTTGTTGTGATCCTGCCCAGTGGTCATTTCTCCAACTCCTCCAAATCTGGCGAGCTTATCCTTCACAGCGTCGGCTCCGTCGAGATACAATTTGGTTCTCCGGCCATTCTCTTTCGCCTCACGGACTGCACCTTCAAAATTATCCAATCTTGTGTCCAAATTTGATCACAAAAAAAAAAAAAAAAATGGAAAAAAGGAATCGTGAGAACGTGAAAACCTTTTTTTTTTCCGATACATACATGTCATGGTTGGATAATTTTTCTTTGGTTTTCGATGGTACTCTCTTTTTTTTCTCTCTTAGAATTAGTAATAGTTTTTTTTTTTTTTTTTGACAGCAATTAGTAATAGTTTTATAAAAGAGAAAATTATAACATTGAAGTGGTTGTGCTGGTAGAAACAGTAAATGTAAAGTATTCAATGAGGTTAGAAAGGAAAAAGAAAATACTTGGTGCATAGTTAAAGAATCTTTCTGTACCAGTTTGATCAAAAGATAATTTTGTTTCCTATTGTCACAAGATTCACATTTAAGGAAAAAAAATAAAAAGTAAAGAAACGTGGGAAACAGAGGAAGAAAGGGGAGAGAGGAAGAGAGAGACATTATTGAAAACCCTTTTTATTTTTCTTTGTGGTGGTCTTAGATCGAGAGTCAAGAAGGAACAGAGCAAGCAAGCAAGCTATGTCGTCTCTGCTTCTCAGGCTCTCTTCCAAGCCCTCTCTCCTCCGCAAAATTTCTCTGGTAAATCTCCTGAATCTCTCTCTCTCTCTCTAGTTTTTGTATAATCTATGTTTCTTCTTCTTCTGATGTCTACTTGTTACCCTTCCCCACAGAGATGCCACAATACCGTTAGGATGTTCTCATCCTCCACCACCACCAACCCTTACTTGGTGCATTGTGTCGCCCATTTTGAAAGTTCTCCGGAGGATGTTGATGTAAGAAGCGAGATCCACTATTTTGACCCGGTCAAGGAAGATGAAGCTATTGTGCGAGACAAGGTATGTCCCCTGGAGTTTCGTAAGGCGTGTTGTCTGGTCGGAATGTCACATGGTTGGGGAGTTTTCAAGGTCCAGTGTGATGATTATAAAGATAGAGCTGTATATGTTAGCGACTACTGCAACCCTCATGGCTCCAAACCATACCCCAAAGTCATTCCTTTGCATTCCATTGGTAGAGGAACTGCTCCCCAAATGCATGCCGTCACAAACGCCGCAATGACTTGTTCACCTGATCAAAGCACTGATTTTGCAGTGGCTGTCAATACTTTAGGAGTTATGATCAATTTCTTTAGGCCTAAAGACTCCGTTTCGGTCATCTTTGATGCCCCTTTCCGCTATTTTGATCTCTCAAAGGTTATGTATTCAAAGAGAGATGATAAGTTCTACAGTGCTAGTACTGGAGGCGACTTCTTGATTTCTTGGGATTCTTCCTTCGAGGAGCGCAACATCAGCTCCAAGTGGCATGAGCTGCGGTTTACCAACCTTCCTGAGTTGACCCAGTCCGAGTGGGAGATCTTGGACTCGTGTTCCAAGACTGTGCAGCTTGTGGAGTCTCCCTCACGGCAACGTTTCTTGATCAAGTGGTACGCTCAGAACCACAAACCAGGGGAGCATATGACATTCTTGTGCCGCGGAACAAAGCGTTTCATGGTGTTTAGAGAGGAAGAAGAAACAGGGGTCATGTCTTACACAGAGGACATAGGAGATCTCTGCATATTCCTAGGCAATAGTGAGCCCTTCTGTGTCAAGGCAAGCTCATTCCCTGGCCTAAACCCTAACTCCATCTATTTTGCAGGCGATGGTTGTGGTGTCTACGATATCGCTACTAGAAAACCACGTTCCTTCCGTACCAAGTCTACGTTAGACTTCTCTACTGTATCACTCCTCCCTTACTGGATCCCTCCAATGTCTCTCTAGCTATAGTTATTTTTAGTTGTTGTTATCATTCGTGTTTACATGACTTGACATGGAAAAGAAAGAAGATTATGAGGTTCCATTTATTAAGCATCACAACCATTTCACTTCATTTGCAGTTTCTCTTCATTTCTTCAGCTCATTCTCTGTTTCTTTCCTACGTTTTAGCTCAATTGAAACTTGCCCACTCTTTCTGGATTTTATTTCATCAATGGTGTTGAAGCCACTCCTGAATTGCAGAACGAAGATCATGGTTAGCGATTAGGCTGGTGTGTGAAAGCTTGACATTGGTCATTGGTGAAGTATCGTGTTCACTGTCCAGCCATGCTCTTATAGCCTCTGCTTCGTATGTGAAACCATCTGCAGCTACGTGTGGATTCTGCATCACTTCCTTTAAAAGTTTCGAAAACAAAAAAAAAACAGAGGAAAAACAGAGTTACTCTCTATTTGTCTCTTTCTTTCTTTCTTTGTGACTTGAAAATTTATTACAAGTACAGTGTAAGTAAAGCCACGCGCAAGAACCTGAATAGCCCATTGAGGAACTAGCGCTGAGCTTTCATCATATGTTACTATGTGCAAATCTCTTAGTAATTAAGCACATAAAAATTGAATGGCGATTTAGATTAGTAAGATACAGCCGTACGTAAGAAATTACATAACAATATAGTATTATGTAATTAGGAAAAAAAAGGTGCTTCCGACACAAGTGATTTTCGTTTTTTCTAAAAAACATTGTTGCTTCCGACACAAGCTTACTTCAAACAAGCAAAACTAATACTTCATATATAGGTCTAACCTCACATTAGTTTGACCGCAAGAAAATTAAAGAAACCTTACATTGATATTTTATTTTATATATAGGTCTAAACCTTACATTAGTTGACCCTACAAAATTAATACCTTACACTATTTAAATGATTCCTTATCATCTTCTTCTTCTTGCAACCTCTCTACGATTCTTCTTCTTCACGCAGCCACCTCTGCAATCTTGTGGGTCTTGCCATGGTATTTTACTGTAAGTGATTACCTCTCATCCCTCACTTCACTCTTCACTTCACAGTCAGTGGCTTCCTCTACCGTTAACTCTTCCCCGGTCTCCAGACTCCAGCTTCGTCTTCACCATCCGTTTGTGGATGTAGCCCATACTGGCAAACTGGATTCTGTTTAGGTCCAAGCCAAGAACCAATTCTTCTTCTACCCTGAGGCGTGACTTGATGTATTTTGCGGCATGTACGTACATGTACATGTGACAATGTTGGTCACACGAATGCGTAAGAATTCCTTGTAGCCGATTAGCTGTTTGCAAGAGAGTTTAAGGTTAGATTTTAGGGTTTTTGAGTTTATAGTTTTTTTATTCAAATGAAATTTCTCCAAATAATATTTACAGGTGAAATATGATTATCGTTATATTTTTATTTGCAATAATCATAATATTTTACTGATTATCATTGCGTTTGAACGTGACTTCATTGTTGCAAAAAAACATAAATGATTGAAAATGTTTTTGATATCTGTGCAAAACTTTTGCAAAACATAAGTTTTTTTCGTGCACTATCCAAAATTGTTAGTAATAATAAACATAATAAAAACAGCATAACTCCATAAATCGTTTATTATTGAAAAATGATTATGGTTAGATTAATGTCAGCAATAACCATAACATTTTGATGATTATCGTTTAAACGTGACTCCATCATTTATTTTTGTTACGATGTCCTAACGTTGGATTTGAAGAAACATGCATAAAATTCTCCTATATTGAACATCGTTTATTCTATACGAGTTGATTTTCTTCTTGAGAAAACAATGAAAAGTGGAGAACGTGAAAACATATCACAAAAGAAAAGTGTGAGGGAGAGACATAATTGAAAGAGAACCTTGTTTTGCTACTATAATGTTAATAATATTTTATATTTTATTTCTTTATTAGCTGCTTTCAACGAAATAAACAACAATTGTCTTTATTTTCAGCTTCATAATGCTTAATCGCCTCATTTTTTTTTTTTTTCCGATCTGTCAGCTTTTAATTTGATTTGGGGATACATTCCATCATCTTCAGCTATGGTTGAGCATGTGGCACTTTTATTTTCTTTTGTTGATTCGATGATGTATATTTTTGGTGATAATTATATTTTTCATATGCCTAAAATACTCATCTTCTAGTGCTGCTTATCTGCCATTTTTTTTTTCATGCATATGCAACAAGTACATTTATAGATTGTTTGATGAGTAAATCATGATCGAAATTCTTTAAAAAGAAGAACAAAATTCTTGATTTGAAAGAAAACAGTACCAAGATGAAGACGTCTAGTACAAATTGCGATTGTTAGCCTAAACTTTGAAAACCAATAATTAATTGTTGATAACAACACAACTAGAGAGGAACTGGAGGAAAGATATCTTCCTAAACAAAATCAACAGTTGCAAGTTAGAAGTCTTAGTTCCTATACTTTGCCGACATGACTCTGGAATTGCTCAGTGACAGTGAGGCTAATCTTTCTCCATATTCATCATAACGGAGGAACAAAGTAGTGGCAGTTCTTTTCATACAGAACATATATATATACACACATACAATTATACAAATCTCACCAGCCTCTGTTTTTTTTTTTTCTTTTCTTTTTCTTTCATTGCTGACAAATATGGAGGACTTACACTATACTTGATAAAGTAGACAATATGCTATCAATGGAGAGATGGTATGTATGCGTATAATGGAGAAAAAAAACTATCTTTCAATCTTTCATAAGAGATTAACAGTGGTTGAGGGTTAAAAGGATTTTCTTTCATCAATGGTGTTGAAGCCACTCCTGAATTGCAGAACGAAGAGCATGGTTAGCGATTAGGCTGGTGTGGGAAAGCTTGACATTGGTCATTGGTGAAGTATCGTGTTCACTGTCTAGCCACGCTCTTATAGCCTCTGCTTCGTATGTGAAACCATCTGCAGCTACGTGTGGATCCTGCATCACTTCCTGTAAAAGTTTCCAAAACAGAACATAGTAAAACAGGTTTAGTCTCCCAACTGCAATTTTTTAAAATACAAGTCTTGTGAGACTGTTATGGATTAGTTACCTGGAAAATGGGACAGATGAAGTATGGAGGGGCTATGCGGTGCTCGTTACGGCCGAGATGGAAAGATGAAGATCCTCCGCTAGAAGCCCTCATAGGTTCAAGCACCCTCCATACTTCAGTCGCAAGGTCCGGACGATTCTCACTGACATTCTCACAGCATCTCAATGCCAAGCGTGCAAGCTGCTCCGCCTGAACAAAGGGCCAGTCACCTGCTAAAGGGTCCAAAAGGTTGTTCAACGCTCCAGAATCAAGGGCATACTTCACTTCGTTTGCTATCCGCAACGCAGGTCTCCCTGTCAACAAGCGTAACAGTATAATCCCAAACGAGTAAACATCTGACTTCGGTGTTAGCTCTCCACTACTGGAGGCTTCTGGATCCAAGTAAGCAACTGTTCCTGTGACATCGGTTGGCACACTTTTGCTTCCATCAGGATGAAGTAGCGAGCAGGTTCCAAAGTCACTTAACTTGCTAACGAGATTGGCGTCGAGAAGAATATTTGCTGGCTTCAAATCACCATGTACTAAGCTATGAGCTTTATTGGAGTGAAGAAAGACGAGTGCTGCGCATATCTCAGTGGCAATGCGTACACGGTTTTGCCATGACAAGGGTGGAGAGTTGTCCTTGCAATTAAGCCTGTCTTCAAGGCTTCCATCGGAAAGATACTCGTAGACAAGACTCCACCCCTCTGGACAAGCTCCAATTAGTGTGATGATATTTGGATGCCTCATTTTGCTCAACACATCAACCTGTAACGCAGCAAGAATAAGTCAGAGCTACTCCACAATGTTTCAGAATTTACTAATAATATGTTAAGAAATTACCTCTTGTTGATATTCCAGAGGGCCTTGAGAACTGTTAGGATTCAACATTTTTATAGCCACTTGAGTATGACGCAGTAAACCAATGTAGATGCTTCCATATCCACCTTCCCCAATCTTCAGTGTCGAATCAAAGTGATTAGTTGCTTCATCAATCTCGGAGAAAGAGAAATCCGTGAAGTACTGAGGTAACTGTAAATTAGAGGTCTCTGCGTGACTCCTCAACTTCTCGGCTTCTCTGAGGGCTCTGTCACGTTCTGTCTGCAACTCCTCTCGTTCATCCCTCAACTTTTGCAACAACTTCACAGCTATGTCAAGCTTCTGGTTTAGCTTCTCCATCGCACCATCAGATTCTGCTATTTGGTTCTCAAACATCTTTTTCTGATCCATTGCACTTTGGAGCTCATCCATTACTACTTCTTGCTCTCTTTTTATCGTTACGAATCTCTCTTTCTCTTTCGCTACTGCTACCTCAGTATCTTTCCTACGCTTCAACTCCTCAGAATAGGCACTTTCTGATTGTTTCGCCTGTAGTCATTAGCAATAATAATATCAGAATAGTAACTAGAAGCATCACCACAAGCCTACTAGTCTCTTTTTGAGTGCTAAGGAAACTCACCCTTCTGATTGCATCAAGTGCGTTTCTTTCAGCTTTCTGACGCCTAAGAGTCTCCATAGAAGCTTCTCGTTTTGAACTGTGAGCCTCTGACGTAGCTTGACGGATTTTATCGTGAAATGAATCATCCACCCCATCCTGCAATGATGAGCAAAGTTCCATTAGGAATACGAAATCAAACTGCATTGCGTTTTTGCCATTAGGAACTACATTGACTTACCGGCAAACTGGAGGGAGACGAGTGGCCAGAGTTCTGTTCAACTGTTCTCATAACTGTTGCACTCCCCGTTACTCCACTGCCATCAAATTCTCTCTCCCCATCATCAGTATTTGACGAGCCACTTGACACCCTCTCGCTGTGTTCAGTTGAACTTTCATTGCTAGCAAACTGTTGAAATGAATCTGTGCTCTGTACTCGAGATATATGCTGATGCTCAGACTCCGGCGTAGAGAAAGTTTGAAGGATATCGCTTGCACTTATCGAAGGCCGCGGAGATGCATATTCTGATTCAGTGTCATCCGTCGCAGCTTCTCTACAATGTTATCACATTAGATATTAGTAACAAGCAGTCACAGATCCATCATCATCATCACTTATACATCCCTGACTCGTACAATTCATAGTGAAATCTAAGGAGCCAAACCTTGTATGTATTAAGTATCCTTTACAAGTAAACCAAATTTGACAAAGAGATGGTGCTTCTCGGCGTACGAAGATAGCTTTCCTGGACTTGAGTTCCGTCATTTTCCTGCAAGTAATGATAGAGAAAGCCAAAACTTAAGATATCAAGAGTGAGACATCAGAGAGCTCTATGACTTGATGATTCCCAAACCTTGAATGGTGTCTGTCTGATGCTGCTCCCATGACAAGCTTCCTGATTCCCAGCTCCGAGATGAGTTGCACAATTCCTTCCTCGATGGATTCCATTTCAATAAACATCTTTTCTGCTCTCACCTAAAACCATAATTGACACCATTATTCTCTATCTAATGAATCTATTATCAAAAGGCCACTATGGTTATGATGAAGAGCCATATACATACCCCTCTCTGCTGACATATACGAAGGTACTCGTCAAGGATCATATGTACTTTCTCTCTTTCTTTCTCCCTGAAAACTCTGACTTCTTCCTCCTTCACAGAACTTACCGGAAATTTGGCTCCCACTACATTAACCAGAAGATCAAATCAATGGCCATAAAGTGTTTCCACAGAGTAACAAACGAGGTGGTGGTGATGGACTGGTACTTACTAACTGGAATCATTTGGGAAGGTTGGTGAACATGAATGATGCAAATCTTCTTCCCTCCAGTGTTCTGCAATGCCCAAATGAGTGTAGACTTGCTCTTGGCCACGTGTTTGTCCACAGCAACGAAGATTTTCTCTTCGATCAGCCTCGAAACAGGTTCCTCCATGATACTGCTCCTGCTTGACCTTGATCCTGGGCTACCAATTCCGTGAAATCTCATGGATCCAGCTCTTTCCCCCATTGCTGGAATCGGAGTCACCAAAGCCATCTCTCCAGTTGCTCCACAATCGTCTCAATCTTAACAAATTAGCGAATTTTTATCAGATCACGAATCAACTAACAAAAGCAAGTTTCAGAATTTCAAAAGGGAAAGTTTCTAACCAGACTGGAAATTGACTACGGAGAGCGAAACAGACACTCCAATCTTAGTGAAGCACTTGACTCCGCGCAGAGAAGTCTACAGATAAGGAGGAAGAAGAAGAAGAGTTTAATATCGATTTCGCAACGAATTGAACAAAATGATACAGAAATTGAGATTTTCTCGGAAATTTACCAGCAGAGAAAGACTATTCTGACTGGAAAAAATAAAAAGATCAATTGAAATTGAAAAGAAGAGACAAAAGGTCTGCAGATGATTCGATTGCTATTTTTACATACCAAAAGGAAGCTTCTTGGGGAATTGTGTGCCTGGTGCTCAAATGTGACGTGGTCGAACACATGAGAGTTTAAGAGAAGAGCGAGACATATCCGCTGTGGTCAAGCACACAGTAGTGCTTATATACTGAAATTCTTGGGCTGGTCAAACTTAACCGATTTACGACACGTGGACAAGAAAATGAGATTAAATGAAAGAAGTACAGATGAGATTGGTACACCAACTCGTAGACTAATATTACCCGTCGTCATTATTCCGACTTGTTCACCTTTTTATTCCCGCCAGTGAAAAAACATTGCTAATTTCGGTTCGGACCGTCTCCGTAAGAAAAAAAGGTGATTTTATTACATAAGAAAAACTAGTTTTGAGACACTTTTTTTGTTATGTAATAAAATCATTTTTATGTAATTAAACTAGTTTTTGTTATGTAATAAAAACTATTTTTTGTTGTGTAATAAAAAAAGTGATTTTATTACATAACAAAAAAAGTGTCTCAAAACTAGTTTTTGTTATGTAATAAAACTAGTTTTTGTTATGTAATAAAAACTATTTTTTTTGTGTAATAAAAACTACTTTTTGCTATGTAATAAAACTAGTTTTTGTTTTGTAATAAAAAGGTGATTTTATTACATAACAAAACTAGTTTTGAGACACTTTTTTGTTATGTAATACAAACTATTTTTTGCTATGTAATAAAACTAGTTTTTGTTATGTAATAAAAAAGTTTCTCAAAAATGATTTTATTACATACAACAAAAACTAGTTTTGAGAAATTATTTCAAGTTGAAACTTTTTATTTTTTAGAAAGAGTCGTAGTTCAAACTTGAAATCCAATTCATTCAAGACTCCAAAATATTAATAAAGATGAAAACGTATTTGCAAGTTTTTTTCCTGATAATTTTAGAACTAGTTGAATTGTTAATCTGGCGTGTGTGGTTGTACCATGTTATATAATGTTGAATATTAGGAATATTCCTCATAATGCCCGATTCACTTGTCATTTTCATCTGAATTATATATTTTCTCGGGGCCGTAATAGAATTTGATCTCTTATTGAATATTACGTTGATGTGTAATTGACAGGCTTTAAAAATAAAGAAAAGGTTGTCTCGTGATATGAAGACAGGCGAAGCACATCCACAATATCACTAGATTATCAACTAACCAAATTATTTGATTGGGGGGAGAAAACAAATTAATACTATTATCTTTATCGTGGACTGTTTCAACTTAGGATATACGATTTGGGAATTTAGCATCTCTTTGTTCATTCGTCGAGAGCTTCATCTCAATCTGCAATCTGAAATTGGTTGTGCACGTTTGATCCTATTAGGCAAATAACGTTAACTGTGACTAGTCTTCACGATGACCGGGATCAACATATATTTCCTCTTATTTTCTAACAATCATCGTTATATTCATATCTTTCTTTCTTAAAAAAAAATTGCATTTGTATGGGCCTTAGTGTATCCAATTTAAGCCCGGTTTTACGTCCGAATCAAAAGTTTTACCTTAAAAACTTGAAATGTATCAAGGACGTATCAACATTTTCAATTTGAATGCTTTGTAGCACACAAAAAACGACAGTGTTCCTCCATGACTCCATCCCCCGTTACACACAAGCAATTTCGGTATTTAGTTTTTATCTCTTCTTTTCCGAATGTGTTGATACATTAAAGTTTCTTTGATTTGATGTGACTCTTTTTTTTAGTTGCCATTATAGTGTTCGATTTCTTCGTTAAAAAAAAAATAATGGGATAAGTATACTTTCAGCCTAAATTTTGTATACAAGCTTAATTTGGAGTTTAGAATAAAGTAATAAAAGCTACTTAAGTTTGTACTTTGTACTGATGTCCATGTTGCTTTACCACCCTGATTCAAGCCTAACAATAAGAAAAGCATGTATGTATTAAATTAACTAGCTGTTTATCAGGTTATTTAAAGCATCACCGAATGATTCTTTATATACAAAATCTAGATCAATCATGCCAAGTTTTAAGAGAGAGTCATGCTCATCAGCTCATGCATATCGTTATTTTTTTACGCTATCATCGTCATGATGATTAGTTATGTTACTAAAACCCTTAACTAATTGATGTTGTGACTAGATAGAGTTGTAATATGGCAACCGCACCATGCTTAATTGTTTTATAAGATTACTCTAAAACTATATATTTTCTGTTAGGTAGATGATAAAGAAAGAATTATATATAACATGCCAAAAATATAGACTATATAGTCTAAAAAGTCAAAAAACGAATCATGCATTTACCTACACATGACGGCATGACGCTACCATGCACATAGTTTTGTAAGCTTTCTAACTTGCTATTTCTATCCTTTTAAATTATAACTTAAGTAATTAAAAGTCTTAATTCGGCGATGGTACCTAAGAACGAACAAGAACAACGAAACATTTGCTTACACACAGCCTCGGGTCATGGGGGCCAATGCTGAAAGCGATGCACAAAAGGCCCATCAAATCTTCACATGCACTTTAGGACAAGAGAGACGAAGAGGGCTGTGTGACCTGTGGGAGAAGAATCCTAAGAAACCATATGTGCTTCGTATTCTCCACAAATTGTAGTCCTTTCCTCTGTTGTCATAGGTTGAGTACATACAAGAAAAACGTTGTCGTTTTCTTGATTTTGTTTGTTTGGTCTTCATTGCGCACATTTGTTAACGCCGGTTTGTCTTTTATCTTGGTGCTACTATGAGAGAAGCAGCTGGTCCATAAATTAGGGCTTCTCTATACGGCTACTTCAAGGTTTTTAGTGTATTCAAACCGAAACGATTTAAATTAAATTGAGTTATAAATAGGTTTAATTAAGGCTCATTAGTAGGCAAATGCAATGATAATCTAATGATGATATATATAGTCCGAACAGATAAAAATGATAAATAGAGTGACTAGACTGTTTTATTTTTCATTTAATATTGGACTTGATACAATCATAAAATGGACATCACAACTACTGAATTGGTGCATGCATGACGACGAAAGGATATAAAACCATTTATCTGCATATATTGTGTAAGAACTAAGAATTACTTTTATTTATATGGATGCACACACGTATCCTAATTCGCAAAGGGAACAGAGTAGGTGTGGTCCAAACAAGGATCAACATCGTTGTTGTATATCATAATGATAACAATATACAAATGTCCAAATACTCATAAATGGAATTTGTCAATTGCGAGCGACTCCTTGGCACTATTCATTTTTATTTTCAACCTTTATCAAATATTTTGTAGCCATATATTTCACCTCATACTTAAAACCAGATAAAACGATAGGAAAAAAATATTAATAAAAGCCATCAAACTTACACGATCGTTTTTGATAGCTCGTACTCCATACTCCATAGTGATTTTTGTTATTCGTTTTTGATAGCTCGTACTCCATACGCCATAGTGATTTCACTTTTTTTTACCAACCACACACGATTATCCTTTTTGGCAAATAGTCACTCTATTGTCCACATTTATAACCCCTTTTTGACAATTACATTGAAAAAGGTCAAAAACTCACTAATCTAGTTCATTTTCAGTATGATTCTTTAATTTAGTTTCATGTATCACGAGCGTGCTCTCGACGTTTATTACGGATTGAAGTATTTATTAAACCAAAAAAAAAAAAGTATTTATTAAACCATAGTTTTATTGGGACTTAACACTGACTTCATAAATAACGGTGAGTCAGACCAAAACACTACACAAAAATAAACAAATAAATAAACTAACGGCATGATATTAACGAGTTTGCCCTTCCCGACACACTTGTCGCCGTACAGTACTCTCTCGGACAACTTGGCTCTCGGAGGACCATTTACCTACCGACTCCGAGACCATTCCTCATACCATTCATTCATTTACTCACCACATTTACTCTCCCTCTCTCTCCACATTCATTCCTACATATGTGTTGTAGTTACAGTCACATAATGTACTACAATGATTTGTATCCACATTTTTGGCAAAAAAACGAACACTTACCACTTATTCCTTTTCCTATATTGTCATTATACTCAGTATTAGATTACTAAACAAGCAAATGTGATTATTATTATTTTAATTATTTTTTATAGTTTCTGTGTGGGGAAATGAACAAGACAAGAAATTGATTTGTCTTCTAATTATTTTGTTATCTATTATATGAAATTTGATCGGATTCATTGTTTTAGTAATCTGGGATTTGTCGTTTGTAAAGTATAAACTCTTGTAAATTGATGCCAATTGTCCATTTTTTAAACAAAAATCTGTCTTTTTTTGTTACTTTTTTTAATTGAGTATATTTCTGGTGAGAAGTGGGTCTCCTAAATGACACACTTTGCTAAACATCTACCCTCGTGCTTCGAGCTTCGTTACCTCTCGTGAGCTTATTATATTAACCGAAAATAAGCCGCAATTTATGCGTAGAGAAGATTCTCCAGAAAACCAAAAAATCTGCAAATATTTTTCTTTTCTTTTCAGGTTTATTTCATAACAATGGTGGTCGAACTTGGAGTTGGATTGAGTAGACTAAAGAATTACCAATAGTTTATTTCTTCATCTGCATTATTGATTTTTCTCCTTCTTGCAAGCATTGGATCAGATTCTAAAGGTAAAAATATCTATGGTTTGTTTTTCTCCTTTTCGTTGGGATCAACACTGCATGAATCATATAAAGACTAGTTTTTATTCAGAAAAGGTTATTCTTTGATTGTAGTCACAGTTTTGGTATCTATTTTCATAATTACTCTTCTTGTAGATTGTAGTCACTGTTCTGAAAGAGGAGAAAACAGAAGAAGAGCATGGAGAGAGAGATTTGTAGGAGACATCTTTCAAGAGAAGGGACAGGATGTGTTTGGGTGTTTATGAACATGTTTGATTTCAGACATGGTGGATCTAACCAGAAGCTGTTGATGGACAAGAAACGTGGAAGCAAAAGAATCATAGGTTTTTCTTTTTTTCCTTTTCCTTCTGTGTCAATTGTCACACACATGGTTAAGAAAATGTGTTTGAAGCAATCACTTTGTTGTAATGTACAACAATGCAGGTATTGAGGCTAATAAGGTTGAGAAGCAGCTTACTTGTGACTGTGAGGTCTTGGTTAAGTTTTTTGTTGGATTTTGAGAATCAAATGGTTTTGAGGAATCAAAGACTGATGTTGAACAATGTTTGTGTTTATGGTCTCAGGAGAGTGAAGGTGGAATTCAGAGTGTGAAGAAGCTCATTGAAGAGGAGATTGATGACAAGAGTCGGCAGAAGTGTGATTTTGAATGCAGAGGAAAGACAAAGGCCAAAACCAGCAAGAGGAGAAGCAGAACCAGTGAGGATCTCAATATTTTGAGTGCTGGTGGTGATGATGATCATGCAGAGAAAACAGTTGATCAGTGTCCAAGAACTTCTCATGATTCGAACAATGATGATGATGATTCCGAAGAGAAGTTCAGCGAGTTGATAAAGCGTTTGATAGCTCAAAAAGACAGCGAGACATTTCAGGTCTTGGATTCTAAAGAAGAATCATTCCTGACTAGTGATGAGCCAATCTCTCAGAGAATCAAAGAGACAAGCTCTTCAAATGAAAAATGTACAATTGTAATTTTGAAGCCAGAACCAAATAGCTTGAATGTTGGCTCATCACATGGATACAAGGCCAAAAACAGGAGATTCGGTTCTCGCTTTATTCTCAGTAGACTCAGAAGAAGACTAATTGGAAAGAAACCCTGCAATACTCAACAAGATCCTGATCCAGATCCAGATGCATTGTCTTCTCACAAGAATCAAAACTGTTGTTTGGGACAAGAAATGGAGACTAATTCCGGGAGGCATGTTTCAGAGGGTAATAAAGAAGAAGAGACAATCCATGATGGAAGTGAAGATTCAAAGAAGAGTGTGTGTGGTATATACGTAACAGCCAAGAAACATCTGTCTGAGATGCTTGCAGAAGGAGACATGTGTGTGGAGGTGCCGGATAAGGAAGTGCCAAGAATCCTCGGCAAGATTCTTGCTCTCCCTGAGTTCTCCACACCAGTAACTAGTCCAAGATTGACCTTTCCGCAAGATTCTGTTGGTGATAAACAGATAACTGAGGAATCAAATACTCAGCAATGCAGCACAGAAGATTACCCTGTGTCTGAGACACTTGGGATAGACTCAAACAAACATGAAGAAACAGAGTTTACCAGCGACATGCCAGTTCCAGAAGGTGATTCTTTTTCTTCTTTGTACCTTTGATCTAATTCTTTCAAATTGACAAACTGAAACTAACTCTGCTTTCTCATTTCAGACAATGGGAAGGAAGAGAAGATTTTCTTGGATTCCTTGTCTGAAGCAATTAGCTTTTCCATTATTCAACAAGATGCATGTGTTGTTGATGAAGATAAGTTTGAAGTTGGTGATAAAGATGAGCAAAAACAACAACCCTTGGAAAAGGTTTGAAGCTTTATGTACACATATGATACATTTTCAATTGTTTTTTTGAAGGAAAGCTCATATTCCCTGCTTTATCTCAGGCAACATTTGATGAGAGGAATTCACCATGTTCTCCACCAAATTCTTCAGTAAGAATGTCTGAGTGCCAAGAAAATGCCACTGATTTTCCAGGAAAGTCAAGTCCTGTGTCTGTTCTTGAGCCTCTCTTTACAGATGATGACATGAGTCCAGATAGCTGCACCAGGTTCTCTTCAGGTATGAGAATTTGCAACATTCTGGTCAAACTTTCCTTATTGAGAGCTCAGTTTTCTGATCTTTTTCATTGACTCAATCAATCAGCCGAAATGCGGATGCAACCACTCTGCATAAGATTCGACGAACCTGAGTCTCCAAGACTCAACGAAGACAATGATGATGTCAAAACAAGAATGGATGACAAGGAACTGGCACTTGCATACATTGAAGCCGTGGTGAAATCTTCAGACTTGAACTGGGAAGAGCTTCTGTCAAGATCTTTTTACTCCGAGAAGATTCTTGAGCAGGCTCTAATGGATGACATAGATTTCTGCTCTACAAAATTCTGCACCGACAAGAAACTCCTTTTTGACTGTATCAATGAAGTACTTATGGAGTTATGTGATCATGGCCCTTGGATTTCATTCGCCAAACCCGAACTCCGGTTTTGTCCGGACATGGAAAATGCTGCTGAAGTGGTGCAAGAAGAGGTTTATTGGCATCTCTTGCCTTTGCCTTCTCCTCACACGTTAGACCAGATTGTCCACAAAGACTTTGCTAGGTCTGGAATCTGGATGGACCTCCGGTTCGATATCGGCTGCATCGGTTCTGAAACAGGTGAAATGATTCTTGATGAACTATTAGAAGAGATGATCAGCAACTGCACAGACTTGTTCCAAGCTGAAACAGTTGACAAAACCACAATGCACAAGCTGATTCCTTGAGGTTCAAGGCTTCAACCAAGAAAGACTACTCATGGTCATCAAGAGGCTCCTTTGTTTACTCTGTACAGTCTTACTTCCACTGTTTATGGACAAGCTCTAGTTGATTTGCTTGTGCATATATACACAGTCATATCGAGAAAGACTCCTTTGTTTACTTTGTTTTCTTTTCCATTTGGCTTCTGTAGAGTTTTGAGTTGTGTTGTGAATGTTGTTAGATGTATGTTGTTATATGAGGATGAATAAGACGAGGCTTGAGCTATAAATAAGACCAACATCTTGCTTCTTGTGTTTTAGACTGGACTCAAGAATCAATCCATTACAGCAAATATTCAATCTCTTTGCCAATTAAGATTAAGAACACAATCATAACAAAAACACATTTTGTTTTAACATCCAAAAAAATGGAAAACATTATAAGCCCTAATCATCTCTGTTCCTCACTGTTCTGTCGACGTAAAGAACATCATCAATCCACGACACAACATTATAAGCCAAACCTTCAAGAACTCTCGAATAGCTCTCCAATACCGCCTTTCCAACATCCTTTCCAACACAAAACACACACGGAATATTTATCATATATATAATTTCGATCTTAAAGAAAATAGTAGAAAAGGTTCTTTAGTTAGTGATACTCACTCGATTATACTGAATCTTGCAGATGTCAAGTGAAGTCTGAGAAAGTTCAGGGTATCTCTGTTTCAGACAAAAGAGTAAGCTTCTTGCTCGAGCCGCGAGGATGTGGTTCTTGTCATTGCCAGCATCGCCACTCATTTCTTTCATCATGTCCCATGAGGACTTAGAGTGAGCCAATCCTCCAGTCTTGCGCCTCCATGTAACCAGTGAAGCCTCGACTTTGTCGGCGATCTCAAGTGCCTCGTGCTCCGATGTGATCTTCAATATGTCCAGAAGCTGGTCCGGATAAAACTTCTCCGCCGTGCACAGTTGCTTGTATATCACGTCTCCTACACTTGCTTTCCCACTCTGTTCCCAAAAACACCTTATAAATTACAAACACTTTCACATTAATCATATACAGAGTTGTAACGTATAACACACGCTACATACCTTTGGGAGAGTGGTGAGGTAAGAATCAGGAATATCCATGTCATTAAGAGTGGAGTCGTTAATGGCTAATGCTGCTTTATGTATCTGATTGGCGCAATCGCGTTTGTGACGCAAATTCTTGCGTTCCTCTTCCGATAAACCTTCAGCAGGAACACATGGCACCGGAAGCCACCATTTCTCGTCTTTCCGTTGAACCACCACTTTCCGAAACGTTCCTGAATCTCTACCACCACCGCTCGAGTTCATCGATGAGCTTCCTCTCTCTACGTACCAGAACTCATTTTCTGTAAAACTATCCAATATTTCCTACAAAACCCCAACAAAATCTTGTCGGAAAATCCTTGAATCTACTTGATCATCTATCTGTCTAAAGCGAATGTTTGTTCTACTTACCATTAGCATGTTATCGAGTTTTCTCAAAGCAGGAAGACTCATGAGAATATCAGATCTCAGCTTTGTTTCTGTTATCTAAAATCCAAACAACAACAAAATTTCGAGCATTTTAGATAATGTATGTCAAAATTAAGATAATCGTATGTTAGGTTTATATATCACCTCAACGTTAGTACCAAGAGATCTTGGAATAACCTCGACAATGTAATCACATATAGACATAAAACAATTCATCTCTCGTTTCCATAAATCCTTCTTCTCCGTACTCAATGGTTGTAATCTCAAACTCTGTCCAAACACAGTCGCTGCAAATGTACCCATTATTAGTACTCTGTTTTCTGAAACAGAGCATATCATTTGATAGGATAAGAAAAAATGGAGAAGAAGAGGAACCATATAGATTGGTTATGGAGTTAGAGACAGTAACAGCTGTACAAACTCCTTTACCACTTCCTGACATATCTTCACCAAGCAATAACTTCGCGAATCTTTCCCTCATCATCTCAAGCTCTGCATTAAAAAAGACCTTTGATTTAACCGAAATGAAAAGAGAATGAAGCTTACAATCTTTTTCCAAAAGTACCTGCGTCTTCTGCAGAGTCAATGTCACTGTCTGAAACATTATGATCTCCATCTCCATCGACGACGTCATCTTTTGGTTCCTCGGCGTCTTCGGAGAGATCTTCTTCATGTCCACTCAAGACGACGGCGTTAGTTTTTGACGGACGGTTATAGAAACTCTGAACGTCGAACCGGTGAGACAATCCGGAGATATCGGAGTATGTTCTCCGGTACGGCGAAGAAACAGAGCTCTTCGGCGTTCCAGACACAGATACCTCGTTTTGGTCGGGATTCGATGAACTCTCCATCACGACTCCGTGCAATGGTAGATGATAATCTGCCGAGTCTTCAGTTATTATCTTTCGTTGTTGGCTCTAAAGAACGTGAGGGAGGTTAATACATGGACTCTCCCACCTTCACCGTCACTTTGAGTTACGTTTATGTTATTAATTTGTTTTAAAAAATGATTAATGTCTCCGGCGAATTATGGCCGTTTGTGGGGGAGAGACGTGCCTTCCACATTTGCTTAATCAAATCTCATAATGATGGTTGCTATATGCGTTAGGTGTATAATTCTAGGCTGTCCCGACTATTTAAACTACATTTCAACTATGTTATTGCCATTTTCATATTAAAGTTATTTATATAAAAATATGTCATTGTATTATGAAATTATCAATAATTAAGTTAATAAGGTTTTGTACAATTTACACCATTGAACTTGTAATATATTTACAGGGATTTTTTTGTGTCTTCTATTTGCATTTACAAATTACAACGTCTTTTAATCACACTTGTAAATGGTAATGAAAGTTTTTTTTGTGGGTCAACTTGGACTTCGGTCGGTTTTAAAACCGGGATGCAGTCCACGTCGAACAGAGTAAAACAGCACACAGTTTATTGTTACCACTGTGTGCAAACTGTAAAACTACAAATAGTTAGACATCACATCATGAAAACTGTGACTGGTCAGGCGGGTCACGTGACTAGCAGGAGCCTTGTGCGCCGCAGAGAGCATAGAAATCTCGTGATGGTGGTGTTGGCACGTGCCTCCCTTCACACGTTTAATGAGACCGTCTCCTCTTCCTTTGTTCACGCACACACACATACACACACACACACGCCTAGTTCGTGCCAATCCCTAGCTTCACACACATTCTCTCTCTCCCAGACACGCTCGAACGCTACACACGCGTGAAGCTCGTCTTCCAATTCACGCTGCACGCTCCTTCACGCGCCTTCTCCATCTCACGGCCAGATCCGTCGTTTCACCCACCGGAGATCCACCGTCTTCTCTTTCTCTCTCCCCATAGGCTTCGCTGGTGCCGTGTACGGCAACAGGCGAAGAAATTTCCCATCGGCAGCTCATTTCGTTGGGGTTTTTTCAGTATTGCTCGACAATTCGCCCAGGGGACCGAGATTTTCCCACATTCGAACCATTTCCGAGAGTGAATTGCGGTAGAAATTTATCCACCTAGGGCAGATAATATGATTAGGTACTTAAATCTGCAATTCCGCATAAAGTTTTTTTCAATTTCTCCTCTGGAAATATGTTTGTAGATGAAAATGCTGATTATATTGATTTCGTCTTGTAGGATTTCTGATGAAAACTAACAAGTTAGAGTGAGAGTCTTATGTACATTGAGAGATTGAAGATCAATTTCGTCGATACTGAAATTCTCCCAATTTTCTGGCCAAGTGTAAGCAAGAAGGAAGATAAAAAGTATAGCCTACACGTGGAGTGAAGATGGAACGTTTCACCAAAAGGCAATAATAAGCAAAGTTTAAGCTAAGTGATGGCAACGGATATGCAGAAACTGCTTGGAACTAGTGAAGAGGAAGATGACGAAGACATGGATATGGACGTCAAGGAAGAAGATGATAGAGACCGACGTAACAGAGGAACACACGCAGCTTCGGGCAGTAGTAATGACGAGTTCATGTTTCAGCAAGATCAAGTGGGCACTCCCGGGGGAGGAGGAAGTCGCAGAAGTAGACCTGTTGAAGAGAAGGAGCGAACAAAGCTGAGAGAGAGGCATCGAAGGGCTATAACTGCAAGGATCCTAGGAGGGTTACGAAGGCATGGGAATTATAATCTGAGGGTCAGAGCTGATATTAATGATGTTATTGCGGCTTTGGCCAGGGAAGCTGGTTGGGTTGTTCTTCCTGATGGAACTACTTTTCCATCCAAATCTCAGGTACTGATATCACTGTGACTTTATATACCATGACGTTACCATTTACAGGAAATGCTAAATTGTGTTCTTGAATTGCTTAACTGTTTAGGGGACAAAGCCTCCTGGTGGTTCTACTGCGGTTGTTGCAGGTTCATCAGCTTCCCACATGGCAGCACAGCAATCCCCACCTCCTGCTGTTAGAAGAGTATCATCTGAGCTTAGAAGCCCAGTGGAGCTCAGTTCTTGCCGTATGAAAGGTGTTTTCAAACCCGCTCAATCGCCATATGATTTACCCCCAACTCAGTCTCCAGAACTGGTTGGCAGTGCAAATAAGGCTGATGGGCTTGTTGGTTGTTCAGTCGACGTTATCAACTCTAAACAGGTAGCGACACTGCTCTGTTACTTCAGAAAATATCTCATTTGATTTTCACTGCATGCTTATTTACGAACATGCGTGTATCTGTGTTCAAAAACTGATTTAATTTTTGGTATTTGGTAGATTCTTGAGATTCCTCCAAATCTGGCCGAGCAAGATTTCTCTGGCACTCCTTATGTTCCGGTTTATGTGATGTTACCAGTAAGCAACTTTAATCTGATTTTTTACCTATGGTTATCCTGAACTTTCTCCTTACTGATAAAATTCCCTTTTCTACGTCAACAGCTTGGAGTTATCAATATGAAGTGTGAATTGGCTGATCGAGACGGACTGCTAAAGCACTTACGGATATTGAAGTCAATCCATGTAGATGGGGTTAAAGTAAATTGCTGGTGGGGAATAGCTGAGGGTCATACCCCCCAGGAGTATAATTGGAATGGTTATAGGCAGCTTTTTCAGATAGTCCGTGATCTTAATCTTAAGATACAGGTCCGTCTTTTGACTACATGATGCGTTATAATGATTTGTTCTCAAGCTTCAGATGTATTTCTCACTCTTATTTTTTTCCTTGTTGCTAGGTTCTAATGTCATTTCATGAATGTGGAGGCAATGTTGGTGATGATGTTTGCATTCCACTTCCTCATTGGGTTGCAGAAGTCGGTCGCACCAATCCTGACATATATTTCACTGATAGAGAAGGAAGAAGAAACCCAGAATGCCTTTCTTGGGGTATTGACAAGGAACGTGTTTTAAGAGGACGAACTGCACTTGAGGTATACACATGACTACAAGCAACCACTATATCTCTCTATCGATCAACCAACTCATGAAGTAGTTTATGGTTTTGGTGGATTGAATATTAGGTGTACTTTGATTACATGAGAAGTTTTCGGATAGAACTTGCGGATTTTATAGAGGACGGTGTAATATCTATGGTTGAAATTGGACTAGGCCCCTGTGGAGAGCTACGGTATCCTTCTTGTTCCATAAAGCATGGGTGGCGATATCCAGGCGTTGGAGAGTTTCAGGTATCTTTCCTTTCAACAGTTTTATATTCTTGAGATATCCAAGCCTTTCCACTTCTAACGCAGTGACCATTCTGTTGCACCGGTACAGTGTTATGACAAGTATCTCTTGAAGAGCCTGAGAAAGGCAGCAGAATCAAGAGGGAACCTGTTCTGGGCTCGAGGCCCAGATAACGCCGGCTCCTACAATTCCCAACCGCAGGGAACAGGTTTCTTCTGTGATGGAGGTGACTACGATGGTCTCTACGGAAGATTCTTTCTCAAATGGTATTCACAGGTTTTGATAGATCACGCTGACCAAATCCTCTCTCTCGCTAAACTAGTCTTCGACAGTACCTGCATTGCCGCAAAGGTGATTGATTTTAGTTTTCTAAGCCATTTGACAACCAAGAAATTTGAGACTTATCATAATTGACTTTAAACACAGCTCCCAGACGTCCACTGGTGGTACAGAACAGCAAGCCACGCGGCAGAGCTAACCGCTGGATTCTTCAACCCGAGCAACCGAGATGGTTATGCAGCAGTTGCATCAACACTAAAGAAGCATGGTGCCACTTTGAGTTTTGTATCCGGAGAAGTGCAAGTTCTAAACCGTCCCGATGACTTCTCTGGAGCACTAGGAGAACCTGAGGCAGTAGCTTGGCAGGTAAAAGAAAGAAAAAACTTGGAATCGCATATTTGTTTGTTTAGGACTGCTCGCTCTATCACCAAAACCTCAAATCTAAACTTGAACTTTGTGCAGGTGTTAAACGCTGCGTGGGACACAGATACACCGATTGCTCGAGAGAACTCGCTTCCTTGCCAAGATAGAGTTGGGTATAACAAAATGTTAGAAAGCGTCAAGTTTCCGAACGATCCAGATAGAAGGCATTTGTCATCATTTGCCTATAGTAGGCTCCTCCCAGCTCTTATGGAAGGACATAACATCGTCGAATTCGAGCGGTTTGTCAAAAAATTGCATGGTAAATAAATTCATAAATCTCCAATCCTATCATCCGTCAATCTTTTATTTCCGTGTTTCAAGTTGTGAATCTTCGTTTCTGGTCTCTCTCTGCTACAGGTGAAGCTTTAATGGATCACCATCAACAGGTTTAGAGTTTAGGTCGTCCCCACGAAAAAAAAGATCAGCTAAAATTTATTCACTGTTAATGTTGTTAATTCTAGTGGTTTAGTATATTTTCTGTAAATTTTATTACTAAAGTCTAAAAGCCTGTCTGGCTTTGGCTTTGTTAGAAAACCAACACGCAGTATGAGCGCGTAAACATCACACCACCTTAAAAGCAGAAACTGTATTGGGTGGGGAGGAAAATTAAAGTTTTTACTTTAAGGCCTTATTCAACTAATGGGCCTAATTATAGGCCGATCATTTGACTCGTAGGCTTAATTTCAGGCCAATTTAGTCGACTATTTCACGGTTTGCAGCTTGTTGTGATGAATGGTTCTACTGAAGTACGTCCAATATTTGTTCCTCGACCAAAAAAACAAACAAAAAGCACATTTAGTTATGATACAGGGCTAACTAACTTCCTCATCTTGAAAAAAAAACCTAATATGAACACCATGTAGACTAGCAACAGAACAACAGAGTAAGCAACATCCTCTGCTGGTCTGCGTGGGTCTCTGCCTCCAAAAGTTTTAAACGTGGTAGAAAATTAGACTAGCTTGTCAATCATTTACTTGAAGATTTAAGCCAACCATTTGATGGACGATTAATTCCATCGAGCCTTTTCTTTGCAGTAATCCGTCTACGTATGACCTTCTGAGATTCAACAGCTTCATCAATGTTACTGAGCACCATATCACACAGCTCGTCTAAGGCAAGCATAGAAAATGGCTCCTCTATAAGAACACCAACCTGTAGAAAAATTCAAGCAAAAGTTAGAGGCAAGCCAAAAAAAAAGCAGAGATTGAATAAATGGGTTTCATTTGTGAAGGAGTAAGGAGTTAAGTACTTCTTCGATGCAGAAGAGAGATGCAGCACTTATGAAAGTAGCAGGAACAACATTCCAGTGGCAATCATCCCAGAGAATAACAGGAAGTGTAAGATGCCATAAGACTAAGAACCTCGACGTTAATCGTGTGTAAGAAAGCGGAATCGGGATCCCCATTAGTTGTTCACATACCCCAATTCCTTCTTGCAGTTGCAGCATCTTTGATTCCTGTACAAGAGATATCTAACTTAAGCACTAGACATTTGTGATCTTCATAGCTAAAGTCTACGGAAAGAGAATCATATTCAGATGCTTTAGAGATCCAAGAAAGGTACCAGCATTTGTATCTTTGAATTGTCCAGTTTCAGCAGCTGAATGCTTTCAGAGATGAATTGGAGGACACAACGTGGACGATGCTTTGATCCAAGGATGAAAGACAGATCATCTGCTTCTATCACATTTTGCAGATCACCAGCGATATCTGAACCATACATCACATGACACTACACATTGAAATTTATTTTAATTCTCTACATAACCCATCAGAAGCATCACAATTAAAATGGAGGATCACAACAAACCTTAAGCGCCACAGGGAAAGCAGCAATGTAACGCAAGAGCGTATCTCTGATTACCAATTCATCACCGGAGCCATGGACGGAAGAAATGACTTGCCTAGCTAAATCATTGGTTCCGGTGATAATCTTAACCCATGCCTTCCTTCCTTCTTCAAACCTTGAATAAGAAGCCTCTGTGCGGAAAACCAGAAGCAGAGCTAAAGCAGGAGCCGTAAGCTGATACGGAAGAGAAGAAGCTCGGAGGACGGGGAACAAACTAGGCAACCAGTCCATATCCACGGCGGAGTTATAGCAAGCGATCAGGATCGCGACGGTGGTGAAGAAGAAAACAGGGGGAATCAAGGACAATATAACGCGTGACGACGCGCTCGAGGATACGTGACGAAGATGGCGTAGTGAGCTTCTGTGTCTGACCCAATTCTCGTGAGTGTAGAGAGATCGTTTCTGCTGCATCCGTCTCTCTTTGATCCCGTCCGACCAGTTCGGGACAGCTTTGAGAAGCGAAATGAGCTTTGAGGAGAGGTTAACCGGAGGCGAATCGTCGGATTTTGGGTCGGAGGAGAGGCAGGAAGGATTGAAATGGAGGGATCTGCGAGCTCTGGCGGAGATTCCGGGGCATGATCGTGGTTTGAGGAGGGATCGGTGATTAAGATTAGAAGAAAATGATAGGTTCATGGATTGATACATTCCGGCGGGAGAATCGAGGTTTGGGGTTAGGGGTTGGTGGAGACGACGATGGAGAAGAAGAAGAAGAGCGAGAAATCGAAAAGACGCATGCAAATTTGCAGAGTGAACAGTGAGAGTGTGATTTGGGAAAGGTGGTGGTTGGGACAGTTGAGTGAAGGCATTTTCAAATTCTTAGCGTTTGCTTGGGCCTTAATGGGCTTATTGAAATGGCTCTTATGCAATCTTTTAGGCATAAATGGGCTAATGTTTTATCTCCCAGCCCTACTGGCAACGCCGTCGTTTTGACTTTGAATTTAGGGTTTATAGAGATGGCGCATCTGGTTCGTACGGAGAAATCAAAAGTTTATTCTTGGGGGTGAATTGGAAGGGGAAAAATGTCGAAGAAGAACAATTTAACGAAGAGGAAGAAGCAACACGAGTTCAATCTCCAAAGTAGGTTTCTTTTAATCTCTTAAACCGATTAGTACAACACTCATTTGTATTTACAGTTGTCAACTAAATTAAGATTTTTTTTTCGATTTGCAGAGGAGAAAGAAATTCAGGATAAGAAGATCAAGAAGCTTCATACGAACAAGAACAAGATGAAAGTAAACTCCTTTTTCTGTCTCTTATCTCTTGATTTTGATCTTTGGTTCATAAATGTGCTGTGTAAGTAGAAATCCGATTCTGTTTATAGGGAATGATATTTTCTAGCTAATTTACTTTAGTGGGTTATCTAGATTAACTGTGAAAGAAGAGATATGACTAGTTTGTCTATGATTTTGAGTTTTTCGAATCTTTTGTGAAGTTTAGAGTAGCTTATGATATATGTTTTGGGTTGATTTTTTGTTATGTTAAGGTCGATGGTGGGAAGAAGAAGAAAGGTGGTGGGTTTTTTGTTGGGAAGAAGAGATTGAAGACAAAACTGACTCCAGCTGCTAAAGCTAAAGCTGCTCAAGCAATGGAGCTAGACAATTGAGGAGGAGAAACCGGTTTTTTCTACACCTTGTATGTAAACTGTTCTTCATTAATGTTTACCAATAACTTTGAAGAAATGAGTTTGAAGCTATCTTCTGTTTTTCCACCAAATCAATGTAGTCCATGATCGCTTCTTCTACTTCGATATTACAAGTTTCACTCTTGCTTTTGAGCTCAAGATTTTGCTATTAGTCTGTTTTCATTGTTATCCTTTACCCACTATGAATCACAGTCTACTTTCCGAGTAAACATGGAGACTAAAACATGTTTAAAAAAATGATAGATTCATATTGCGATAATCAAAGTATAATATAAACAGTCTCACACATTACATGGTACATTGGTACACTAAAGTTGGATTCTAATAGGAAAAAAATCTCAAAAGGCTTTGAGAAGTTATTTCTAGGATCCAATTAATGGGTCCTTGTGAGATATTTTAAAGATGTCTTCTCAGCCTCTCGTCAAATTAGCTCTCAAAGTGGAAGCCAGTGAGTAACTCTCTGACCTCAAAGCCCAATCCTTTCCCCACCCTCCTTTCTCCTGCGCGTGTACTTAAATCTAAGACTACAGAAACAGTTGTATCAGCTTTTGACAGACGAAGAATCTGTGTGTAATCAACGTTGTAGTAGATTGTATGTTGGGAAAGAAAGAAAGAACAGTGACATGTTGGTGTGCTGTGTGATAAACACGCGCCTGACCAAAGAGTGTGGGCGTATAAGTCCATGACCCGCACACAGATGCCCAGTTGCTATATAGAGCTACAGTCAAAGTCAGTTATTCATTAGGATTTTGAATTTTCAATACATTTTTCAGAAACCGAAAAAAAAAAAAGATCTCGTTGTTATTATCCTCACAGTAAATGCTCTTGCTTGAGGTCTGTTAGAGGTTTTTTGTTTGCTTCTGTTTCCCTCTTGTCACCCAGAAAAAAAGAAAACACACAAGAGAGAGAGAGAGAGAACCCTAAAGCCAAAATCAATCTTTTAGCCAATATTGTTGGTAGAAGAGAAACCTTTTCTTGCTTGGTTATGAAAGAATGGAAGATAGAAGAAGAGAATTAGGCTGAGAGCTTGTGAAGCTTTGCATGTTCCTTTCTCTCCAAGTTTTTTAAATCTTCTTAAAGTCTCCACCTTTGATTCTGTTTTTTCTTCTTATCCATTTATCCACTCTCTCTCCCTCATAATTCTAGCCACTCTTTCTTTACAAATCTCTAAAAAAGTTGAGTCTCTTTTTCCTTCAACTGTAAATGCAAATGGATCGAAGAGATCCAATGGGTTTAACCGGGTCGGGTTCTTACTATATCCAAAGAGGATTATCCGGGTCGGGTCCTCCAACGTTTCACGGATCATCTCAACAACAACAACAACAGCAAGGGATTCGTCACTTACCTAATCCGAACACTCCCTTCGGGTCAGGCTCCACCGGATTCGGATCTCCTCCTTTACACGGCGACCCTTCTCAGCCAACAGCAGCAGCCGGAGCCGGAGCTGGAGCTGTTCCTCAACACATCGGCGTGAATATGATTGCTCCTCCTCATCCTCCTCCTCCGACGAGTGAAACTCCGATGAAACGGAAGAGAGGACGACCGAGAAAATACGGACAACAAGACAATTCCGTTTCATTGGCATTGTCTTCTTCCTCTGTTCCGACCATTTCTCCGAACAATTCTAACAAACGCGGCCGTGGTCGACCTCCCGGCTCCGGCAAGAAACAGAGATTGGCTTCCATTGGTAAACACACTGTCTCTGAAAGCTCCATCATCTATAACTAGGATTATTTAATGTTCTCTTGAGTCAAAATATCAATTGTTTATTCCTGATGTTTTGGAAAAGCTTAAAACTTTCCTAAAATGGAGCTACTTTGTTGTCTGTCTATGTATTTTGCTGCTTGAATTAGACATTCACTTATTGATTCTATGAGCTTTTTTTCTGGATTTGGTTAGGTGAATTAATGCCGTCATCTTCTGGAATGAGCTTCACGCCACATGTTATCACCGTTTCAATAGGAGAGGTAATGTTTGAATTCACTAATCGAAAGAGCTTCTTGGAAATGTTTATGTTTGAAAAGTTTTAAAAAACTTTCTTTTTTTGGAATCAGGACATTGCATCAAAGGTTATAGCTTTCTCTCAACAAGGACCAAGAGCGATTTGCGTTTTATCTGCAAGCGGCTCTGTCTCTACTGCTACGCTTCTTCAACCATCAACATCTCCTGGTGCCATTCAATACGAGGTTAAGTTTGAATTTTTCTCACTGATGATTAAAGAGAATAAAAACAAACATTTCTTGGTTTGAAATGTTTTCTTGAAACATACGTTTTTGTTTTGTTTTGTTGAATTTTCCAGGGCCGGTTTGAAATACTAGCCTTATCAATATCTTATCTAATTGCAAATGATGGAAGTTTCCGTAATCGAACTGGAAACTTATCAGTTTCGCTTGCTAGCCCCGATGGCCGTGTGATTGGCGGTGCCATTGGAGGGCCTTTAATAGCAGCAAGTCCTGTTCAGGTTCGGTTTTTACATATTTTTCTTGAGCTCTGCTTTTTTTCTTCTTATCAAAGTCAGAAGACTTGGGATTGAATATAGATTCTTGGTCCTGTCAGGTTATTGTAGGGAGCTTTATTTGGGCAGCTCCAAAGATCAAGAACAAGAAACGAGAAGAAGAAGCTTCTGAAATTGCTCAAGGCACCAATGATCATCAAGCTCTGAACAATAACAACAACAACAACAACACCAATGTTCCTCATCAGCAGCCGCCAAGCCAGAACCTGATATGGTCTACAGGTTCAAGACAGATAGATATGCGCCACGCTCATGCTGATATTGATCTAATGCGCGGTTGATCATAATGGATTGGTGGTAGCGTGTATATACACAATGGAATCTAGGAAGATGATGAAGAAGAAGGAATATAAGCTAACCTCTGAACAAAAAGTATGTGCTATGTGGAAATGTTAGGGAAAAAAGAAAGATCTATTAGTGTTATGTGCATTTGATTAAAACCTTAATCATGAAGAATATATAATTAGCCATAGTTGTTTTTAATTTAGCTCTTGGTAAAAAGGTTGATATTTTAATTTTTACTGTTCCTCTGAGCACAAGTTTCAAATATCAAACAGTAATGAAATTACAAGATTGTGTGTTAAGGTATATGATTATGACGTCAAATAATCAAGTTCATATTCCATGACATTAAAACACATTACATAATTACAGTAACATAGATTATTAATGCTCAGTGTTTAGGAATTTTCTGCTGTTCCTCCCAGTACTCATTAGTCCACTTTTCAACTTCTTTCTCAACACTTTCTTTCTTCTCAAGAAACGTCTTGAGCTCGTTTTCTTCAAAAGGTGGAGGCATCTCACAAGCACCCTTAACGCTCGAAGACGTAATTAATGAGTCTTCCATATATTGTCTCACTCGACCTCCCTCGATAGGACACGCCATTGTCTCGGGACACACTTCTTTGGCTCCATCAGGCACTTCTACATTCATCCTCAGCAACTTCCCATAGCTTTGTAATAGATGCAACATGTAATCATACACATACTTCATTTGTAGATTCTTAAGTACATACTCACTTCCATTTCTTCCTATAGTTTTTGCCTATAAAGATCAAATAATGAACATCAGTCGACATAGTTTAAACTTTAAACAATATCGCTTTAGTACATTTTTTAGAACATAATTAAGCATTACCTTTTTGGTATTGTTGTTGCCCCAATGGACGGCGAAGATGATGTCACTACATTTTTCACGAGGTCTAATGGGCCAATAATGTTCCATCGGAACTAAGCTTCTAGTGAAGAAGTCAAAGTAAAATGGCTTTACAAGAAGAGTCATACTGTCACAAGCTAATATATACTTCTCGCTCACCGACCAAGTCCTTCCTTCTATATAGATCTTGTATCTTTTTATTTATCATCCAAAGAAAATAAATAAATAAAATCCAAATCACTATACATGTATATGAATATGTAATACATGAAATAACTCGACAAACAACAAGAAAGTAAAATATATTGATGAAAAACCTGTGGGTGCATTGATCTTCTAGATTTGAAGTCCTATACCCAATCCTGCCCTCTCTCCTCCAATCCTGCAAGAAACATTTTTCGTATCACAATTCATCTTTGTAGAAGAAATGCTAACTAAAGAGATATACAAAAAAAAAAAACCTGGCGATAGAGACGAAGCATGGGATCATCACATTTCATGAGGTCTTTTCTGATCTTGGCAACTCCAGGATTACCTTTCCAATATGCGTAAGGCTCTCTCTCTTCCCACTTCACCTTCTTTATCCCTTCACTTATCGCCTCCGATAGTTTGTTCCACTCCTTTATGTTAATCTCCGGCCTAATTAACCATGATTAGCGAACCTAATTCTATAACAAAAACGGTCTACTCATATCACAATTATTGGCTAGACAATAACATAAAAACTCAGACGTGTCCTACAAGCTATCCGGAGAAAGTGATTCATTACCATCCCCAGAAGCTCCAATCGGGGAAGACAATGTCGAAAGCACCGGCATGGCCACAGTAATGGAAGACCGGAGGAGGTGGCCACGTCACTTTGACTCCTGGTCTTGGCCTATAGTCTCTTCTCCATATTCCAGGGAAGTCATTACACAAGAAGAGAAGCTCGAGATCAGGGACTTGACCAGGATACATCCTCATAAGCTGCACTATTCCCCATATTGTGAAAACATCTCTTGTCTGGAAAGATTTCATGTATTGATGCACATACACTCTTCCTCCTTTTATGATTAGCCTGAAGTGAGCTTTATCACTCGCTCTCTCTAGCGTCTCTCGAGTGATTCCTGTCTTGCGCCATGGTTCTAAATCCTTGTGGATCCACCTAAAGTACTCTGGGCAAGTCTCTGGATCGTCTTTAGGGTACGATTTCTCCGGGTAGCTTGCAGGACACGTCTGTGTTTTTATGTTCTTGGCTACAGTGCACTGCAATGTCGAGTTAATTCGTGTAGCGTATGTAGCCTTGGGGATAGTCACGTAGGTGTTTCTTGTGAATATTGGTGTCACTTTGAATCTACCTCCACTCAAAAAAAACTTTAAAAGAAAACAACACTTTTAATTTGAGCGTAACCCATTTGAGATATGTATAAAACTATGATGTTAGATCATGATAATTAGTAAAAAATGCAAGTACCAAATCCATCGAGCTGAGAGAAGCGCCGAGGAGAAGGATGAAGAAGACGAAGATGAAGACAGTGGTTGTGATCCATGACTTGGTTAGTTTAGAGCTTAAACTAGAGACTGAGTTATTATGGGGATTCATAAGATATTACATGTATTTAAATAATCCAAGAAAATTGTTCAGAGGGAGAGAAACAGAGCTCACTTGTTGCTATGAATAAGTGTAGTGAACAAGGATCTCTTCTAACTACGAGATATTATAATTTAGAAGGAAATGAGGATCCCCTTTTAAGAATTGTATGTTGGACGTAGACCGCTTTTTTTTGGGACATTATGTGAAGATCTTAGCTAGTTAATTGAGGGTTTATTGAGAACCGAAGCAACCTCCTCTATAATAAATTTAACTCTCATGATTCATGCGAAATTAATTAAGCTGGTTTAATTTAGTAATATGGAGGGGAGTTAATTAGAACTTCTCGATCGCAATATCATTTATGGCATAAGTTTTTTCTTATAAGTAATGAATTTTACCGTTGAGATGCAACGATTGGAGAATGATGAATGATGGTCATGGATCGGCCGTCGGCGTCACTATTAATATTTAGCAAAATTGAATTGGCTTAAGGTGCAAATTTGGAAATTACGTCTCTCAGAAGAATTACAAATCCAGAAATTTTTTTTTTTAACTTTTTCAGATAGTTTACAAGTTAATTTGCTAATTTCTCTAAATAAAAATTACAGTGTGAGTATAGATTTTTTTTTAGAAGTTTTCATATAAATCACGAAGATATCAAAATATGTTGTCTTGTGGTTCAACTTTTATATATTTTGCGTTTGTAGAAAATATATCCGTTATAAAGGATAGAAGGATCTCTCCTTGTATAATTTGAAATTCATTGTACAACATTTGATACGGAAAATAAAAAACTGAACACTGGAATAATTTTGCTAATTTCAATATGATTTTATCTAGATCTAAAACAAAACAAGAGCCTATTTGGTCAAGACTTAAGGCTTCTTTGTATTGGTCAAATTAAGAAAGTATTGATCTTCCCACAACTCAACTTGACGAGTCAAATTAGCTTTTCTCTCAAGAACCTCTCTTAAAGCCAGAGGGTCATAAGGAAGAGGCATCTCACAAGGAGACTCTTCACTAGGAAACATCACCATCGACTCCGCCATAAAATCTCTCCACCGTCCCGTTGCCGGACATCCCATGCTATCCGGCGTAATCTCTGTCGCTCCCCAAGGAATCTCCGGCTTAAATCTCAAAAGCTTTGCATACTCGTTCATCAAATGGAACATGTAATCATACACATATTCCATTTTGACCTCCTCTCTTATAAATCTGCTCCCTTCTTCCCCTATTTTATGCGCCTATAAACAAACAAAAATTTAAAATCAAGGGATCAATTGGTAACAAATCAAAACTTCCGGGGCCTAAACATAACAAAGTAACAAACCTGATCCAAATTAGTATTTCCCCAATGCACGGCGTGTTTGAGGGAAGTACACTTTGAGTTGTCTCTGATTGGCCAATAATGCTCTAACGGCATCATTCCTCGTATGTAAAAATCATAGAACTTTGGTCTCACGTACAATGTCATCGAGTCACATGCCATAATATATTTCTCACTCACTGACCATGCCCATCCTTCTATATAAATCTTGTACCTATACATTCCAACATTTACCAAAATTCAAATTCGTGTATTAAGCAACGTACATGTATATTCCCAAAAGCAAGTAAATAAATTATGGTTTAACCTGTGTGTGCATTGGTTCTCTAGGTTTGAATTCTTGAATCCTTCTCTTGATTCTCTATCCCAATCCTTCAAATTTTGATAAACAATTAGAATATAAAGATCAAGGAGGAAGTGAGATTTTGAAGAACTCTCTACTAACCTGGATGTAGAGACGAGTGTTCCAATCTTCTTTGTCTGAGACATTACATCTAAGAAGATCTCTTCTAGTAGGGGCCACATGGGGGTTTCCTCTCCAATAAGCATACGCCACGCGGTCTTTCCATGGAGTAATCTTGTTCCCTTCTTCTATTGCCACCAGCGATTTAGCCCAAGGCTTTATATTAACTTCAGCCCTGTCCCAACAACAGTAAAGCTCATTTTAGTTAGTTAATTGGGCCCACTTATAAGCCCATTAAGTGGAGAATATTGTGTGGCTTTACCAGCCCCAGAAGGACCAATCAGGGAAGACGATATCCAAGCTGGCGTCATCAGAGCAGTAACGGAATAAAGGAGGTGGGGCCGGGTGTTGTTGACTTGCGAAGTCTCTTGATCTGACGGTTGGTCTATCATCAGCGTCAAACAAGAGCTCAAGATCGGGCAATCTCCCTGGGTACCACCGGAGCAACTGTACGATGCCCCACAGAGTAAAAACATCTCTTGTCTGGATTGATTTTCTGTACTTCTTAACGTACACTTTCCCGTCTAGGATTATAACCCTGAAGTGCGCCGTCCTCCTTGCTTTCTCGAGCATCCCTCTCGTTATACCTGTCTCTTTCCATGGCCGTAGATCCTCGTGGATCCAACGGAAGTACGATGGACACGTGGATGGTCGTGAATGGCTGCTTATGTGATTTTTGTTGTTTTCGGAAATTGGAATTTGCTGCTGTGTTTGGTTCTGTACGACGTCGCATTGGCTAGGGAATCTTTGCTCCGTGATTGGTGGTTTTCTGATTGTTGTTGATACTTGCTTCAGACCTGCAAGAGTTGTCTGAAAGAAGAAGATCTTTAGTAATCCACTTTGGTCTGAAGTTCACAAATACACTAGATTTGTAATATTTTTTTAAAGATTGTAACTCACGAAATCAAGACAACCCAAAAAGTCTAAGAGACCAGCAGATATGAAGAGACAAAATACGAGGAACAGAGTAGCTTTTGCGATGCGTTTTACTGGACGCGACGCCGTTTTAATAAGGACATAGTTATGATTATGCCTGTTTGTTTGAGGATCGTTGTTGTTCTTCTTCATGCTTTTTCGTTGAAGCATGAATCTATCTACCTTCTTCTCCTCAGCTTATTTATATACACAAACACACACATGATTATTCAGTAGAAGAGAAGAAACACGAGATTAAACGTTACAAAAGGCAGGAGAGAGTACCAAAGCTTTGATTTTGAGTTTCGATTTGTGCTTCTCCACGAGGATTTGAATCTTGACTCACGTTTTCTTCAGAACTTACGAAGTTCACATCTTTTGTGTTAATGAAGTTCATATTTTTGCGTGAATATTGTTTACTTTTCAGTTTTTCCGAAAAGGATTAATGTTTTTGAATATTAAAAAACCAGTAATAGTATTTTATTAGAAGAAGAAAAACTGGTCATCCCATTTATCCAATGATCCTATCCCATATAGATTATAGACAATTCGGTTTCCCAAAATAATCCTTTCTCGTCATCGTTTGAAATTATAGGGAAATTTAGAAATCAGTTTATTAAAGAAAAAATCTTTACGGGTTCAATTAATCAAAGTCCTCTTTGAGAAAGTTTCTTATAAATGCTTTATTTATTGAGCAAGGATCCTAACTCCGAAAGAAGAAGAAGAAAGAAGATAAAACTTTAACCATTAAATAAAGTTCAGTGACATCACAGAGCATATTCGACCACTCATATACAAAGACAGAATAAACAAACAATTCCATGTTGTATGTTAATCTGCTTTAATAAGGAAAATTGGGGCCAATAACCAAAAAATACAATAATTAAGAAAGTAGCCATAAGAATATAGCACGTTACAGACTTGTATTCATCTTTCCCAGGCTGTTCAGATCTGTGAACTATACTTACCCTTAGATCTTAATCATATTTTATACTGAACTTAGTGCTAAGATAATATTAACAACGTCCGATTAATTTAACCATTTGGGCCGTTAATATTCACAAAAGCCCAACAATTACAAAAAGGAAAAAGAATGAGAAGTCTCTATCTCAGCCAGGAGGAAAGACAAAATGGAGCAATTTTTGCTCTAAAACGAGCAAAGTCAATAAATAAGGGCCCAAATATCACATGACTAAACCGGTTTAATTACCTTCTATCTCACGCGCAAATCAACCGGGAAGTTACGTACACGCGCCTGTCCGACAAACACACATCCTTTTGTGTCTGTCTCCAGCGTGTCCCGATCAGTGAAGCTCCACGTCACCTTTTGGTCCACCAAGTAAATTACAACATTGATTAACTAAATTCTGAGTTTCTAGATAAAAACATTATTTTTGTTTCAATACATTTACCTACAGACACACGATTACTCTGTTAATCTTTATCATTTTTGTTAAGATTGATTAAGTATGGTCTTGATTTCCGTTTGATTTTATTCACCCAACGAGCAGCAAAAACAGTGACATTTTTCTACCGAGATTACGTCACTGAACTACTTTACCTGTCGGCAGTGAGGTGTACAAATCACATGTAACGCATCCAATGCTTGAACGAGCTTTACAGCCGTAGGATCACATGGTACTGAAAATCAACGGCTGAAGAAAGCAAATGTCTCACGCATATTAAACGCGGGTCGTACGCTTAACCGGTATAAGCTAACGGAGGATATAAAAACTTCTCTCTTCTTATTGGCTAAACTCTCCGATTTATCCAATTTTTGTTTTCTAGGAAGAAAAAAACTAAACCATTTGTTAGCTCTTGTTCTTCTTCGGCTGAGAGGGAATGGCGGAGGAGCAAAAGACAACTAAGGTTGACGTTGAATCTCCGACGGTTTTAGCTCCGGCGAAGGAACCAACTCATATTCCGGTGGAAGCTTCTAAAGACGTGTCGGAGGAGAAAATTCACAAACCACCTCCCGTTGAGTCACAAGCTCTTGCCGTTGTCGAAAGTAAGCTTTCTATCTACACACGTGTGGCTTTGTTATGTTACGTGATGATAATCTTTGATTCATGTTTATGATGATTGATGAGTTAAGGATAGATATTTTTTTTTGAATCTGTAATCTGTTCATAGCATTATATTTTTTCAGTCTCGTAAATCCATGTCACAGATTAGCCTAAAAAATCCGTCTCGTAATTCGTGATTTCACCAGCTAGTGGAACTTCTTAGCATCTGTTTTTCCAAGAAAATTAAGTTTTTGTAAGGAAGATATGATTGATTAATTTCTTTTTCAAGGTTAGATGATAATGATAAGTTGATAACAAAACAATATTCCTTGTAAACTTTAGTGTTAGTAAAAGTAAATCGAATCATGATGGCAATTAGTTGTGGACAGCTACGAATTAAGAAAGTGGTTTACTTTCTTATTTTCCCTACGACATGATTAGTTCCTTTAAAGCTGCCTAACTCTTGGAAAATAACAAATAATTAACCAACTTTTAACAACTTTAAAATCCAAGTGCACTAGTTTATCTCTTACTATTTCCCAATAGTTCCTTTTTTTACTTGTAAAGTTAAACTCTTGAACTCGAAATGTTGTGTTCTGCTTTGCTTTTTGTAATTTTCACAAACCTTTTTTCAAAATGTAATTTGCAATGAATCGAGTTATGATCAGTGACCTTATTAATGCCATTTAGACCCTCCGATATATTAAAACGCAAGTTTTAATGTTTTCAATTAGCGTTATACTTAAAAATGTGAGCTTCTTGCAGAACCAATTGAGGAGCATACACCGAAGAAAACTTCATCTGGTTCGGCCGATAGAGGTTAGCTAAAACATTACTTTTTGTTTTCATGTTGTATACGTTATAGTTACTAAATCCCATAATTGACATAGAATGTGATGTGTGTTTTGATCAGACGTGATACTTGCGGACTTGGAAAAGGAGAAGAAAACGTCATTCATCAAAGCATGGGAAGAGAGTGAGAAGTCAAAGGCTGAGAACAAGTAAGCATCTTTTCTTACCTAAAGATTGATTACTAACACTCGTCAGCTAATGATGATCTTGATATTAATGATGATAATGGACAGGGCACAAAAGAAGATATCTGATGTGCTTGCTTGGGAGAACAGCAAGAAAGCAGCCACTGAAGCCCAACTGAGGAAGATTGAGGAAAAACTAGAGAAGAAAAAGGCACAGTATGGAGAGAAAATGAAGAACAAAGTGGCTGCGATTCACAAGCTAGCAGAAGAGAAGAGAGCAATGGTTGAAGCCAAACGAGGAGAAGATCTTCTTAAAGCTGAGGAATCAGCTGCTAAGTACAGAGCCACTGGCATCGTACCAAAGGCTACTTGTGGATGTTTCTAAATTTGTTTTCTCAGGTCATTAATTGATGCTTGTCACAATTCATCTCTCTGTTTTTTTCTTTTTTTTTGTGTGATTCGGCAACTTTTTATAGCTTTACTTTTTCTGTGTTTGTTGTCTTGTTTATATATTGGTGATTCAGTGTGTAAAAAGACATCAGGGTGAAAGATTTTATGGATTGTTTTTCTGTAACCGTATGAAGCATCGATCATGTATGATAACGATTTCACATACATTGCCTAAATTCAAGAAATGTTGATCCTTTGACATGTTGACACACACCAACCAATCTTGAAGCAATAAGCAAAGACAAAGTAGTGCAATTGTCTTCTTCGGTTTGATCTTACTACTAAGTGAAATTTCTCCAAGTCTATAAGTCATGAAACAAAAGAGGCCAAGAAGAGTCACAATACAAACAAAAACAAAGGCAAAAGGTTTCTTAAAACATGAAAATGAGAACTGAGAGAAGACAACTTAAAGGTTCATATCATGCAGCAGAAGTAGTCTTCAAACGAAAAACCGGTCCTGGTTTTAACAACTAACCGCCTCCATCGCCATCAACCGCCTATACTGTCACTTCTTGCCACGGTAACAGTATTCTGTGTGTTGCCTTCATCTCTGGAATGAGCTTATGTGGCTGCCAAAGCTGAATGATTTGCCTCCTCAAAACACCTAACAATAGCAAACCAGTCAGAGAAAATTCGGTCTATGAGCAATGCAGGTTTGGTTTGAATGTCTCACCGGTTTAATCCATCAGTGCCCCTGCCGGGTGGAGAATGTGCACCAGGTACAAGTTACTGACAGTAGATTGCCTTGTCAATAAGTGACGGTATTGGCTTGATTTCGGTCCCAAGTTCTTGCTCAGTCTGATACCTGTTGGAAACCAAATCAATGATTAAGAAATCTATACATTCTAATAAAAGAGAGGGCACACCAAAATCAGAAGAAGAGACACTAACATTTTGAAGCGGTCCTCATAAGTCACCAAATTCACAGCCAAACCCAGGTGTCCAAACCTTCCTGATCTTCCTACCTGGTAATGTAATGAAGCAGAAACCAATTCACAATATGTCAACAAGTAAAAAGAGAATGAGCTTAAGAAGATGAATCATAATTTGGTTTCCTTTAACATACCCTGTGTAGATACGACTCAGAAGTCCTAGGAAAGTCGAAATTGATGACCACATTCACAGCTTGAATGTCAATCCCACGTGTAAACAAATCTGCAACAGAAAGAAGTCTCTGTTTAGTCATATCATCATCTCTTCCTAGTCAAGAAACTTAAACACATTACATGAATAAACACAAAACGTACCAGTGCAAACAAGGTTTCTGCATGCACCATTGCGGAAATCATGGAAAACCCTGTTCCGGTGATCTTGAACCATTTTAGCATGGATGTAGAAGCATGAGTAACCGAGTTCTGTGATCTTTTTGGCCAACAGCTCCACACGATTGACAGAGTTGCAAAAGATAATTGATTGGTTTATTTGCAGCTGCAATCAATAAACAACAACATTTCATTTAAAACATCCACTACTTTGATGTAACCAGAAACGTTTTTGTTGGGTTTCAGGGGTATCTAGAAACCTGACCTTGGAGAAAAGCGTGTTGAGGCAATGCACCTTCTGTCTCTCTTCAACAAATGCATAATACTGGGTAACACCCATAAGTGTGAGCTGGTCCATGAGATTGATAACGTAAGGCTTACTGAGATATCGATCCTTGAAAGACTTCACGGTGACAGGAAATGTAGCTGAAAACATCAGAATCTGACGGTTTTGCGGCAAGAACTGTATCAGCTCCTCTATAGAAGGTTGAAACTCTGCAGACAAAAGCTTGTCGGCCTGGTGAAATGAAGTTTGCGAGTCAGAACAATGAACTCATGATGAAAAATAAACAAATTCTGCAAATATCTAGCATAAGAGGAATCAGAAACTAACCTCATCCATAACAAGCATTGCACAGTCTTTCAAAACACAGACACCCTTTTTGGAAAGATCTAATATTCTTCCAGGAGTTCCAACCAGCAAATGGACAGGTTGATACAGTCGCATGATATCATCCCTCAGGCTGGTACCTCCAGTGGTGACCATAACCTCAATCTTCAAATATTTGGAAAGCTCCTTGCAAACCTGTGACGTCTGAAGAGCCAGCTCTCGAGTTGGGACAAGAATCACGGCTGCATAAGAAAACAGATCAAACATCCGAGCACTGACCAACTAAGAAAAGAGAGAGAGAGAGGTTCAATTCTGAAAGCAAACCTTGAATGACATTCTTCTCTGGATCAATTTTCTCAAGAGTTGGAATACAGAAGGCACCAGTCTTTCCAGTCCCGTTTTTGGCTCTAGCGAGGATATCACTGCCAGTCAAAGCAATGGGGATGCTTTCTTCCTGGATAGGAGATGGCTTCTCAAAACCCTTTTCGTATATTCCCCTAAGCAGATCTCTCTTCAAGAAGTAATCTTCAAATTCATTTCCTTTAGTCGCAGTCACATCCTGTACACAAGATGAAGAAGTAAGTATACTCAAATGAAACTGCTATCTTCTCAAAAGCAAAGATTCATATATACCTCTGTCTGGTAACGATTGTCTCGAGGTGGCAGATTTAACGTTGCCTTCCAATCCTGGCTACTGATAATAAGCACACATAATCAAAGAAATGGACTTTCACCTCAATTCAAACCATAAAAAGCAGAGATTCATTTAACGATTTTCCAAGGAGGACTTACTTAGAATCGTTGTTAGCTTCAGATTGAACAGTCTTCTCGACTTCATCTACATAATTCGGATTAGTACCAGGAAGCTGAGCACTTGTTGTAGACCATTGTTGTTGTTGTTGAATCTGCTGAGGGTTTTGTGGGTAACCTCGCTGAACGTACTGCTGAGCTGGTTGCTGTGGATTCGGAGACGGAGAGTGAAGATACTGTTGAGGTTGAGGTTGCTGCGGAAATGGAGTCCGTGACTGAAGGTACTGTTGAGGCTGAGGCTGCTGCGGATTCGGATTCGGATTCCGTGACTGAAAATTTGGATCCGCTCCGATCCCCGGTGGAAATCTTCCTCGGTTATTATTATCCATTACAATCTTTCTCCTCGATCTCGAATTTACACAGAACAGAGAAGCCTAATCTACGAAAGAAATCTTCACAGCTCAAAAAATCGTAATCTGGCAAGATCGGGAATGTTGAAATTAACCGCAAAACCGTTTCCGCCAGAACTTAAAATGAAGAAAGAAATTCGAAGAGAGAATTCGAGAACTCGATTTAGTGTATCTGAAGAAGATGATTAGATGAACAGAGAGAGAGAGAGAGTAATAATTTTCTCGAGGAAATTTGTCGTCTGGTTACTGAGAAAGTGAAAGATACACTCGCCGGCGTCGTTGTTAGGGCGTCAATGGAATTTCATTTCATTTTTTTTATTACACAGAGACTCTTCTTCAGTCTTATCCACATCATTTATTAAAAATAACGTACGTACTTTTATATAATTATGAAACAGCCCCATATTTATTAGTATTTATCGTTACTCACCCCGGATTTAAAAATAGATCTTCCGAATTGGCGCTGCGGCTGAAAATGTCGATGATTGTAAAATAAACAATCCCAGAATTAGAGTTTTAGATGATCGACATTGATTGAATGGGCTCTCCTCTTTCGAATCTCTACCACTGGAGCCAAAATTAACCCAAATTCTCAATCAATAAATTTTTGATAAATAAGACAGACATGGAAAGAAAAGAAAGGAAAAACAAAATCTGGTTTTTGTACTCTCGTCGTCGTTTGGTCGTGTCCGGAGACTAGAACCGGCGAACGAAGAAAAAACTAATTTCTGAAACAACACAGAAGAAGAAGAAGATAGAGATACAGAGAAAATGTCGTTTACAGGAACATTGGATAAATGCAAGGCCTGTGACAAAACCGTCTACGTGATGGATTTGCTCAATTTAGAGGGCAACACTTATCACAAATCATGCTTCAGATGCACCCATTGCAAGGGCACTCTCGTGGTATTTCTTCTTCTTACTCCTCCTTTGATTTTTACTCTGTTTCAAAAATGCTTCAGAAAGATCAAGATCAAACCTTTTTTATAACAGATAAGCAATTACTCATCAATGGATGGGGTTCTTTACTGCAAGCCTCACTTCGAACAGCTTTTCAAAGAATCTGGGAATTACAGCAAGAATTTTCAGACAGGTCTCTCTCTCTCTGTTCTGTTCTGTTTTGCTCTGTTTCAAAATCTCTCATTTTTACGATCTGTGCTAATGATAATCCATATTGCTACATCAGGAAAGAGCGAGAAGGCGAATGAACATCTGGTAATGAACATAGTTCTCAAAAGATTCCTCTTTTATTTCCTAAAAAGTTTTTGTTTCTCATCTGATTTTTTTGTTTTTTTTAATTGAATCTGCAAGACTCGAGCTCCAAGCAAATTATCTTCATTCTTCAGTGGAACACAAGACAAGTGTGCGACTTGTAAGAAAACCGTTTACCCACTTGAGAAGGTAACAATGGAGGGAGAAAACTACCACAAAACTTGCTTCAGGTGCACACACAGTGGATGTCCTTTGACTCACTCTTCTTACGCTTCACTTAACGGCGTCCTCTACTGTAAAGTCCATTTCAACCAGCTCTTTCTCGAGAAAGGAAGTTACAATAACGTCCATCAAGCCGCTGCCAAACACCGTCGCTCCGCCTCTTCTGGTGGCCCTTCTCCGCCTGCTGAAGATCAGAAACCTAATGAGGACGCCTCGATCCCCGAGGGAGAAGGAGGAGGAGAAGCAGAAGCAGCCCCTGAAACTGCAGGAGAAGAGTCTGAGCCTGTGGCTGAGTCTTGAATGTGGTGGAAGAACGATCGTATCAGTTCTCAAGTTTGAAGTTTTATTTACTTTTCTGTTTAAATGAATACATACATACAATTAAATGTTGTTTCTTTTTGTAAATTCTTGTAAAGTTTAAAGCTTTTTTTTTGGAGAGAATCTGTTGTAAACAAACCTTTAACATCCAACTTTTTTTTTGAAAGAGGATACTTTCTTTGATCTTAGTTTTAAGACTCCTAAGAAAGATTATGACCAAATCTTTTATTTATGAATCAAAATTCAAAACATACGGTATCAGTATGCATAGCATAATTTCAACCATTTCTTGTAATGTAAATAGTCAAAAGTTGAGATTTCGCCAAGAAGAATCAAAGTCTGACAATGGATAGTGTTTCAAGACATGAACAGAGCCTTGCATTTTGCCATGGTGTCATCTGGACTCGTGACTGCATCGAAAAAGAAACAATCCGACTTGTCATGAAGATGTCACCAACACAAACACAGCGAGAGATTAAAACCGATGATATATCAAACTAACTAACCTGAATGACCAATTGTTTTTGGTGATTCGTAGATTTCATAATCGTTTCCACCCTGAAGAAGTTAAAGCCATGTTAATACACATTAAGCTCAACGGAAAATCATACAAGAATTACTCAAGAAAGTTTAAAAGTTCGAGTTGTTTTTTACCTCATAGGTTTTGTCACCGAAGAAATGAATTTCATTGAAGTCCTCAAGGTATTGCAAGCAGTAAGTTTTATCCCAACCTTTAGGGAAGACCTGAGTCATAACAATGGAACTAGAATTAGTAACCAAACTTGGATATAAGAAATTGTTATAATCCACAATTTCATTTCTACTCACATCGAAGCTAATCTGTCCTCCAATCGAGAAAGTGAGGTTAAGATGCGCAAACCGCTCACGAAGTTCAGCCACCATCTTTGATCGAATGTTTTGAACCTTTTAGAGACAAAATGTTCAATAGCATCACCAAATAGTGCGCAGAATTGATTTCTATAAGAAACTGAAAAATAGAAATGAAGGTTCCTTTACCTTATCATATCTCTCGAATTCGTCTCTTTCTTCTTGGCTGCAGTTGCGACCAATCGGTGATACATTGAGCATCCCATTTCGGAATTCTATAAATGTACCCCTGTGTTTACATATTTCAAAAAGAGAAGTCTTTTATGACTGAAACATCATCCCATAAAGTAATTAAACATGACGAGAGACTAGAGATTGATCTTCATATATACATACCTTTTAATTGGAATATCCAAGTCAGCAATGTAGTGCAGACAGAAATTTATCAACTCCTGCAATCATCAGATTTTACGCTATCAGGAGCTTGACCATACACATATATGCTTCAACATCTACTAAACCAATACAATCACCTCGAGGGAGGGGCAAAGTTGGAAAACAGTGCTAAGGACACTAATCTCCATGAAGAAGATGTTTGACAGCTTGAGGGTCTTAAGGTTCCAAGCAATTGGTGAAGGCACCTTCACCAGCAATTGGTTCCAGCAATCGGATACAAGATACGAAGTGAAGGTGCCTTCACCAATTGCTGGAACCTTAAGACCCTCAAGCTGTCAAACATCTTCCTCATGGAGATTAGTGTCCTTAGCACTGTTTTCCAACTTTGCCCCTCCCTCGAGGTGATTGTATTGGGTTTCTGTGAAAGCATAAACCACTAAAGAAACACTAAAGCAACTCATGAGAGAGAGAATGAATCTGTGCATTTACCTTGAGTTTATCTTCTCCAAGGTGCAGCTTCAGGCTCTGAGGAAAAAAAAAGATACAAACCATTGAGGAACAAAAGAAACGATCAAAGCCTATTGTTTGATATGAAATGCACCTGGATTCCAATGGATTTCCCATCTTTTTGGGCAACAAGACCATTCTCAGAGAAACAATAATCATAGTCGGTAGTGACTGCAAAAACAGATACAAACTATATAGTTAGATCTTAGGAAAATCAGATTAAAACTAAGACGAAGCTGATGATCAGCAGCTATTCTAAATTCCCAGTCTAAAGAGAAAGTCTCTCTAGTCTTTTTACTAGTGAAGGATCTATCATACAACAGAGAAGAGAACAAAAGTGGCCATTCTCGTATAAGTATGAAAACATTCTTTCTTGTAGCTACCAAATCCGATTTCTACCACAGATTATTAGACTTTTTTTGGATCAGATCACAGTCGTACCTGTTTTCCCAAGCTGCTCAGAGATCTTACTTAGATCAGATCCACCGACGACTCCGATAGTGACGACCTGCAGCTCTCACAGACATTTCATCGAACACTATCCAAGCGTAAACACAGCTCAATAGAAACGATGGATCAAATGACATACCTTGCGCAATTCTCGGATGAAAGCAAGCAATTCTGGAGTAGCTTCCTTCCTAGGAGCTGTGAGAGTACCGTCGACGTCGAACAAAGCGATCACTCCGGGAAATTTGGCGGCCATTGAAATGTGGTGGAAGGGATCGTCAAGGGTGAAGAAGAGATTTGAAATTGGAAGATGATAATGGCGGAAGATGTGAATATAAATTGGACTGATCTAAATCTTAACGAAAGAGTGACGCTTAAACTATGGTCCCCACTTTTCGTACTTGAGATTTGTGATTGGTGGATAAAATAATCGTGACGCATCAAATTATTATTTTCTGCGGTTACTTTATTTATGTTGGGAGTTATAAATACATTTTTTTTTCTTATTAAATTCCGATATAATAAGGTTGAAAAGTGAAATTTCATCATTTCTTAAGATTGAATGAAAGTGGTCTTCTTTTTTATTTCTTTACCTATACTTTTTCATTAGAGTATTTCGTATCTTACAATAATATTCGAAAATTCAAGGGACAAATAAAAAAAAATCTCTCACAAGTAGTACAACTAATATTTTGACCAAGAGAGTAAATTTGTTTTTGGTCATGGTCTTTAAAGAGATTTTTTACTGAATTTTCTGCCTAGTAATCACATAAGTTCTCACGTCAACTAATATTTTGCAGTATTGAATTGAATATTCTGGTGCGACGAAAAGAAGAAGAAGAAGAATATTCTCGTTAAAGACACGTTCCAATTTGTTGTTGTTTCTTCTCTGATCTATCAGACGTCACAGAAGAGTTGATCAATCTGCTATACAATATTGAGGCAAAGTACAAATGGGCCTAATATTATAAGTGGGCCTAGTGTTTTGCATCCATTGTAGAAGCATGACGACCAAAGATATCTCCAAGAAACTTGTAGGAATGGCTCCATTTTCATCTCCGGCGAAAGCACAGCTGCCTCTCGCCTGCCTGGAAGATGATAGCAGTCCAAAAATACAGGTTTAATGCCTCAGGAGAATATAGCGTTCACAAAGGCCTCAGCATCAAATGGTTGGAGATCTTCTACAGCTTCTCCTACACCAATAAACTTTACAGGAATGCCCAATTCCTCAACCACACTGACCTGCAAGAGATGCATAACCAGTTTCCATGAGCAAAACTAATGGAAAAATAAGAGCTTATGCTGAGACTGAAGATCCAAATTTGAGGGGATTTTACCACACAGCCTCCTCTAGCAGACCCATCCAGTTTCGTCAATATCAAACCGGTAATACCAACAATCTGACCAAAAAAGTAAGCAAAAACCTCAAGATTTTGCCAAAAGTTTGACGAGCCAGAAGCACAAGGTTTACAAGGTTTGATATAATACCTCGTTGAATTCTCTAGCTTGTGGAAGCATGTTTAGACCGGTGTTCCCATCAAGAACAAGTAAGATCTCCTGACAATGCCGTGCAGATTAATTTTAGTTAACACTCAGATGAGAAATGGAGACTAGCAACACCAATGAGATAAGTAGAAAAGCTCACTGACATTAGGTGCACCAGAGACAACCTTGCCTACTGCTTTTTTGCAGGCAATCAACTCCTCCATCAAGCTGTAATTAGTATGGAGACCTTAAACAAAGAGATTTAGTATTCCCAAGATCAGTTCAACAATGCATCAGTGTGTTCTATAAGTTAAAGTAGCAAACTTTTGTATACTCACGTCCAGATGTATCACACAGTACAACATCATAACCTTCTTCCTTGCCTCTTTTCACAGCCTTCGAAAGAACTAGCTAGGAAGAAAATGCTGTGATAGTGAGCTTTAAGATTATGTTCCCTCAACACTGATAGTGGCAAGCCAAAAAGCATTGTTTTTTACCTGTTGCTGCTTTAGCCTTATCTCCTTCAGCCACAACAATCTCACACCCTGTCCTCTCTGCCCATATCTCTAACTGGTCACTTGCAGCAGCTCTAAATGTATCACCTGCTGCCATTAATACCTATGAAAAATTCATCCCAGGACTGCTTATCAACATACTCATACCCAAACTCAATTCTACCTATCCTCATAAACTCTCTCCACCCTATTTGAGCAACCACTTTCTAATATCCCATCCGGTTACAAAAAAGGGTCTACTTCAACATTGAAAAGTGTACCTTAGTCCCTTCATTCTTCAATCTATGAGCCAACTTTCCTGAAAAAACAAAACCCACTCTTATATATAGTATTCCTCAGTGGATATCCCCAATGCAAGCCATTAATGTCCATTGCCTTACCAAGAGATGTGGTCTTCCCACCTCCATTTACACCAACGATCATTATCACAGCTGGTTTCCTAATACACCATACCATATAAACCACATTCTTCAGTAGCTCCACTTCAACAGAGCATATAAAACTGATAACAATAACAAGAATCACAGCAAAATGAGTAGAACCTAAAACCCATTTGAAGCTCTGTCTTGCTATTTTTCTTAGCCAGCATCTCCAACACACTTCCCTTCAATGCATCCTACATATCATTCACATTTTCCGGATTAACTAGCTATAAACCTAAAAATCTCATAACATTATGTTACATTTAGTATAAGATTTAACCTTGATCTCGCTTCCTGATTTGAGTTTCCCTGACATTATATCATCTCGTAGCCTCTCAACAATCCTAACCGTAATCTTCGGTCCAAAATCAGAAACCAATAGAGCCTACAGTGACAATTCCACAATTCGATTTCAGGAAAACTCCATTTGCATTTGAAACCAAGAGAGAAAGTTCATTGTTCAAATTTCAAAAAATACCTCTTCCAGTTCATCGAGAACTCGGTCAGTCTCGGCGAGATTCCAGAAGAGCAAGAGCTCGTCGATGACTGCCAGATTCTCCCTAGTCTTAGAGAAACCGGAGAAAATCTTCTCCACGTCGCTTTTGGCCTTCTCCTTGATCAATCGACCAAGCCGCGTGAAGAAGCCGCTCTGCCCAGCTGAGCAACGGAAACGGGAATTCGGTAGACGAAAATCTCCTCTGTACGTTAACAATCTGACCCGTTCGGAGGAGAATAACGGCGATATACGTCCGCCTAGAAACGAGAGGTGAGCAGAAGAAGTTGCCATGGCGCTTCCCCAGTTCGACAAGAGAGAGAGAGAGAATCAGTTTACTGGATATGATGCTTTTTAATACGCTGCGTTTTGGTTTTTATTGACTGTTACTCGAGAGTCGAGAGTACCAACAAAATCAGCCCATTTACATAATTAGTCACATTTTCGTATTGTACAATGTACAATGCAAATATATCACCAAACTAAAAATTTAGAGTCGACTGAAATTACAAAGATTTGCAACAGAATTTACATGAGCAACCACAACCATGGCAAATTGTAATCACCCTAACATAACGTTTAACATATAAATAGTTGTTATCTATAATTTTTGTTTGAAAGTGTCGTATTTTGTAACATTGACTATCTGTTGCCTATAAATACCAACATTTTTTTTTACGAAAAAAAATCCCCACTTTTTTAGATTATATCCAACGAGCTGAAGCCATAAACTAATATACTGATTGATCATTTCTCTGTTCCTTTTCTTTGGCAAACAGCTTGTAGGTCTTCGCCTACTTTTGACATTTTTTACTTCAAATTTTTTTGTTGAGGACGACCAAGAGTGAAAAGTCACAATAACTAGTCGTTGATTTAAACATTTAAATCTCTCCAAGACTCTATAGTCTAATCCCCTCAGACGGCGTTTTTCGGCAACATTTTTCTTGGTCAAAAAAAAAAAAAGACTCTATAGTCTATATATTACTTATATTTGCCGCGGGAACAGCACATTTGTTGACGTCACGCACATGACATAAGCAACTAACAAATGATTAGTAAGATAGACACGTATAAAGAACAACGCCTACTAATTTCGTTACTACAAAGAAAAATATGTTGTTTCATTGAGACCAGATCCGTGTCAAGTCTAAAATGCATGCTGGATCTATTAAGTGATACATATATCGAAGGGGGAATTGGATTCTAAGTGTAAATAACTCATATATGTAAAGATTATTTCATTGGAAACAAAGAAAGTAGCAACATAGCAAATCAAGAACAAGATGGTCTTTATAACAGAGATGATTTGAGTTTAGTTTTAAGCACACAATCATATATATAAGTAGAAATAAAAAAAGATTGCATCACAAGCTAGAGTTTTAAAGACACCAAAGAGCTGCTTTCGACTTTCTACTTTCGCTTCTTCTTCTGGTTACTGTTCGGGTTCAAAGAGGTTGGGGAAAAGCTCTGAAATCAACAAAGAATTAAAATGACGGCGTTTCAACAACAAGCTTGCAGCCTCCCATGTCCCTTCCACTAAGTTGCAGGGCCTTGTCCTTTGCGCCTTCTCCATAAATGTAAACATAGGCGTTTCTGTCACCAAACGAGAAAAAAAGAGTCTTTTACTTGATAACATTTAAGGGAAATACAGAAATTGTCACACAAACTGGTGGAAGAAGCCACAAACTTGCTAGGGTTTCTTCGATAGGAATGAGGCAAGTCCACCTCCAAGACCTCTCCACATGAAGAGAAATGTTTAGCCAACGCGCTCTTGATAGTCTTCCTAGGAAGCGATGCGTCATATCCCGAAACAACCATCATTTCGCTCCTGCAATAATATTTTGCATATCATCAACGTAACACACGCATCTTAACAGATACAAACTAATCTGCCAAAACAAATCAATTATTTACCTGCCGTATCGAAGAAGTTTTAAAGCCTTTATTCGAGCTCTTTTCATGGGGCGCAATGGTAGAGCAACAACTAGCTCGTGTCCATCAATCTTACTTCCATTAAGCTGCAACGCCTTCTCTTCCACGCCCTCTCCCCAAATATCTATGAAAGCATATCTGTAACAGAAACCAAGTTTTTTAGCTTTTACCACAAGCAAAACACTTGAGCCAATAAAGGTCAAAAACAAGCAAACAAACCTCTTGATAGTAGGGGAAAAAGCGGAATGAGGAATACAAACGGACTTGATCTTTCCACATGAAGAGAAAATATCTCTCAGCATTCTCTCCAAACGAAGCACACGTTTACTCGGCGTACAACCCTCAGGAACCGAAACGTCAAATCCCATAGCTATAGTGAGGACCCTTCTGCAATTATTTGCATTACATTAATATCAACACATATAAATTTATACATAACAAAGTCTCAACAACAACACGGAAATCAATTTACGTACCGGTACAGGCTTGGTGGATTCTCTTCAGGCCAATTCCAATCCAACCCCTAAGGAAGTACACAAACACAAGATCTAATCAGAAGAATATTAAGTCTACTACTTAAACAGAAAATTTTCTAGAGATTAATTAACAAGCAGTGTGAGTATTGTAAGAAGAAGAAGAACAAACAAGGAGAAGAAGATTACTTCGTCGTCGGCGGACTCGTCCATTGATAGATCCACGGCGGCGGAATCGTCCATTGATTGAGCGAAGGCGGGGAAAAAATCGTCCATCGATAGAGCGGGTGCGGCTAGGTTTTCTTCGCGATATTTAGGGCTTCGGGGAAGAATTAGGAATACGACGATACCATACTAAATATTATAATTAGGAAACCAAGCATAAACTTGATCAAAGTCGACTGAGATTACAAAGATTTGCAACAGAATGTACATGTCTACATGACAAACTCGAATCACCCTAACATAATGATTGTCTAATATAAAAATAGTTGTTATCTATACATTTGTGGTGAAAAATGTCGTATTTTGTAACATTGACTGATCTGTTGACTATAAATACCCACATATTTTCTTTTTACAGAAAAATCCCCACATTTTTAGATGATATCCGATGAGCATGAACTGATCGCCATAAACTATAGTATATGATTGATCATTTCTTTGTTCCTTTTTTTGGCAAACAGCTCGTAGGTCTTCGCCTACTTTTGGCAGTTTATAGTTATACTTCAAATATTTTTGTTGAGGACGACCAAGAGTGAAAAGTCACAATAACTAGTCTTTGATTTAAACATTTAAATCTCTCTAAGACTCTATAGTCTATATACTCTATAGTCTATATATGACTTACATTTCCTGGGGGAACAGCACATTTGTTGACGTCACCGCACATGACATAAGCAACTAATATAATGATCGGTACGACAGACAAGTGTATATAGAACAATGTTTGTAAAACACGATAAATGCAAACGAAACGAAAAGATTTTTGGAATCACTAGATCACATTCACTAGGTCAGTATTAGGCCAGTATTTTAGTATTCAATCAAATTTGTTTTTCGTCACTTTATAAACAAATTCATATCTTTGTATTTGCTTTCCCCCCTTTTCGACTTTAACAATTACCAATATTTTCTCAAACTATAAATTCATTAAACAAATAAAAATTATAGATTAATGGAAAATGATACAAGGGTTCCTATTTACAAGTTGTTCGATCTCTTTAATTGAGATCCAATTTTTTTTTTTAGATAATGAGTACTTCAACTATGAATGCATGTACTACCACAACTATAAGAATCGTACTTGCGTGACTTCCCAGAAATATATATAATAAAATCACATAGTTTTTCCACATCGGATAAAGGAAGTGACGAGGCAACTAAAATTCCACGAACAACAAATACAAAAAGAAAATCCTCGATCGTTAATGATGATGAAGTGTTTGAACACGCGTCTCTGGAATTTTTCATGAATTTGTAGTCCATATATTTCGGATTCGATATATCAAGATTAAAGATGTTGATGATGAATGATCTCATGATAAGATTCTTTCGGTATGCATGTGACTACATAATCTCGATAATCACCATTAATCGTTCGTTTTGAGAAACAACACTTATATTCGTAAATCCCTACCTTGTGATATTTCGTCTTTTCCCCGCAATCAAAACGAAAAACGTTCAGAAACAACTTGTAGATATTGATTACATATGTTTATCAAGTCAACACGACAACATTGTAGAAAAAAAAAGTACTCCACTATGTAATTGATTTTATTTGCGTGCCTAACCATGTGCAATGAAATAACGACGCAAACCCGGACAAATTTCCAGAAACAATCTGTAATGATTTATTCACCACCACTGCAAGCTAGCACAACGGTCATATCCGGTCATATTATAATATTTACATATATATATGACCATCTCGCAAAATACACTAAAATGTGGTTGATCGAGTGTTAGTTTTGAACTTTTTCCAAAATATGGATCTATACATGGTTTTGTTTTCCCACAGTTAGGTTGAGCTGCGTCATTATGATGACGCACGTAGCTGCGAATGGCCTTATGCATGCATGCATCCACGCAGTACATTGTGTTTGTGTTTGTTGGCCAATATTTGAAAGACTTTGTTTCTACCTTTCCCAGCTATTACCTATATTGATTGTTTGATTTTGGATTGTTCACGTAGTTTTCTTTTTGAACTAAATTAGTCACGTAGCTAAAAAAATTATATTAGTAATTTGTAACAATCAACAACTGGTCCGTCAAAAACTGTCATTTAAACAGACGCATGCAAATGCGAGAAAGCGGCTCTAGTGTGTTCTCGGACGGTAAGTTGTTCTTCCTCCGAATCCAATGGCCATTGCAGCTCTTCGTGTTACGAGAGGGTTTAATTCCGCTCTAATTAGTGTTTCAAAACATTTTATTACCAAAGCAAACATAAGTCTTAAACGAAAGAAATAGGAGATTGTATAGTCTGTTAGATTTTGAATTTACCAAGTGGCAATTTAACGATAATATGTTTTAATTAAAATTCGATGTTTTGGTGCAGAAAACCAGAAACGTTCTTTATAAAAAAAAACCAAAAACGTGTGCCACGAAGTCTACAGAATCAACCAAGAAATACCTGAACTGAAATTTCGTTCGCACTCTCGTCCCAATTTCCCTATTGAACAAAAAAAGTCAATTTACTCGGTCAGTGCATTGGCACGTGCCGTATCAACGACTCCCTCAACTAGCGCCAAAGACTTTATCAAAGATTATTTTCCACGCAATGTCTTCCTTTTCTTTTTGTCATGAGAATTTAACAACTGTGCTTTCATTACTTTTCCTCAAAGTAAGTTTCTAACTTCTTTTTCTTTTTTTGGTAAAGAGAAATTAAGTTTCTAATTGTGTAGTCTACTAAAATAATATAATGAAACATACTTTCTAATTGCACTTGTTGCCAAAACTAATTTATTATACAAAAAGACATCCATGAAAAAATCTTTGAAGTGGAGCCGCGCCCATTCTTTGAAAATGCAACTAATTAAATAAACATATACTTAAACGAAAAGGGGGATAAAAAAAACATTAATAGTTCATACTTAGGGAAAAATTTAAATAAGTAGCTACAGGATGTGTTTATGTCACCCAAATTGAATTAATTAAGCAATTTAATAGTTTGCAGCATTTAAAACGTATACTATGCATGCCATGCCTGGTACGCGCACGCCACCGTTGATTAGACCACCGGCAAGTATCCCGGAACCATCCGATTAACAACGTCATTAATTATTCCCCTAATTTCTATTTTTAAACATATCTAAAAATATTTAACTTTTCATCGCACGATTTAAACTGATCATACAAAAACACGGAATAATATCTTATGTATAAATTATATTTCAGAATATAAGAATATATACCCACTTAAAAAAAGGTAAAAAGTTGGCTTCTTCTCAACGGTCGAGCCTCGAAAGTAAAAACATTTTGAATATTCCCCAGGAAAAAACCTTAAAATAAAAAAAAAATTAGAAAGTGATCGGAAACAACGAAGAAAAATCAGCGCTTCTACGTACGTCAGTCAATTTGCCACATGTGACATCATGACATATGACCTATATAAACCAAACATAACTCATCTTCCATCTCCCACTTCAAGAAAACACACATCGATAAGGAATTAATCTCTCTGCAGAGGATTGGACTTATACGTATACATACAAAAACACACATAACATAAACACATACGTCATGTCATATGCAACAATGAAACGATCATTAGAGATTGAGTTAATCTCAGCGGAAGGACTCAAGGTAGATCGTAAACCAGTGAAGAAGAAGACATTCTGCGTCGTGAGAATCGATCAGAATTCAGAAGTTACAAAAATAGACACATTTGGCGGGAGTCATCCGATTTGGAAAGATAAAATCGTGATGGAGATGCCTATGGACGGGAGTGTAAGGTTTATCATCGTCGAGGTGAAATATCGAACAAAAGGTGGCGCTGAGAAGAGTGTTGGTGTCGCCAAGATTCCGGTGACGGATTTCGTCGGAGGATTTGCTCCTCAAGGGCATTTGAATTTCTTGAGTTACAGGTTGAGAGACCAGTGTGGAGACAAAAGCGGAATCGTCAATGTCTCGATAATGGTGAAACCAGACGGCAGCTATAAATCGCCTTCTCCTACGGTGGCTCAGAAGGATTATGCCGCGTGTTCGTCGCAGGCTGCGGCGGCGGCGAATGGTCAAATGTGGAGACCGAGGACGTCTTCATCAATGGCGACGACGGTTGGTTATGGCGGACGAGTAGTCACTGGTGTTCCTGTTTGGTGTGCGTATCAATCTTAATTCTTTTTTTCTTTTCACGTACGTTTGTCTGCACAGGTTCTTCGTCATATTTTTTTTGCCATCTTTATTCCGAAATTGGGATTTATGGGGAAAATAAGTCTGATTAATCATGTAATCTGATCAGTTTTAGGATTATCAAATAAATAAATAAAAAATTTCACTTTATTTTTTGAAGAATAAGCTTAATGCTCAAGCAAAGCTTTTTTTACTTAAGACTCAGATCTTGCAATTTGAATCAGCTAAGACTTTTTTAAAAGAAATGAAATTTGTTTGTTTGAAATATTCAAATACACGTTAAATTTCCCTTATCCACAACGATATGTTAACTATATATATTGATTTGGTCAGGTGCTAACAACAACAACAAGTCGTCCATTGGTTATAGAAATAGTACCAAGTGGTGAAAGCCGCGGGTTCGATTCCCAGGACGCTCAAAGCGATGATGAAAACTAGCGCACATAGATGGAATTTGGGTTTCATCACAAACGTCTGCCTACAGACGACATCTGTGCGCTTCTGAGCTTTGTCTTTTTGTTTTGTTCTCAGAAGATATATTTACCAAACTGGATGCGTGATGATTTTCTTTTACCGTTGTTAAGCACTCTAATAACATTGCTTTGATGTATAGTTAACAATCTATTAAAATATTTAACATTGCATTGTATTATTTTTTAGTGTTTTCTTTGACGCAATAAAAACGTTTCTTTGGATCAATTATTTGTTGGTAGAGTTTGTGGGCGTAGTCTGACTACCTTGTTCACATGGCATATGAAGACAGCTTCTCTCTTAGCTGTGCCAAGCACTAAAAACACACGCCAAAATCTCAATTATTTATATAAACAACACTTCTGTAATATAATTATATACTTTCTGCATTTACACAGCAATAATAGTAGAGCAGAGAGACAGAGAGAGCTAAAGCCCCATCCGTTGTCTCACACCGCGACATTGAAACTCTAATCTTTTAACAATGGACCGATAAAAATGAATCTGAATAGAGAAACTTTGATCACACTGCATCGTTCCCACTTTGTTCACCGGTTTTGAGAATGTTGAATTTGCAGAGAGGGCAAGTGGAGTTAATCCTTAGCCATTTGTCTATGCAAGCTTCATGGAAATGGTGCCTACACGAAAGTTCTCTCAGCTCTGTTCCATCTTCATAGTCACATAAACAAATGCAACATTCCTGAAAAAAAAAAAGAGGCAAAAAGCTTTTCATTTGTCTGTAGACTCTGTACCAACGATCTCCGGTTTTAGGAAATTGATTAAACTTACAGCTTCGTCGCTTGATAACACACGCTCTGTTGGAGAATCAACACCAAGCTGAGTCATTATCCCTCCGTGAGTTTCTCGTATCTCTCCATTCACTTTCTCCGAGCTTCTCACAGTGAGAAACGTGAATTTCGGAAGCCTCTCTATTTCCTCATCTGATGCTCCTTCCTGAAAACAATCAAGAATCCTTACCATACAGATGAACACAAATCTATGGAAGAAACATATGTCAACTCTTAGACTTACTCTATCTGCTAAAGCGTACAAAATGGCAATGATGCAAGGCAAGCAGCAGCAAACAGCAATACCAATTAGACAAGCGACGACAACACAAAGCACTACAAAGATTACATCAAAGGCCAGAAACGCCACACAGAGCCTGCACACCCAGAAATACAAAATGTATCTGAGAGAAACCACAATCCATCAAATGCATAAACAGAGCAGAGAAGATATCAAAACAAACCAGTAGAGTTGTGGCGAGCTTTGAGCAAGTTCCTCAGAATCAGCAGTGACCCAGTAAAACCCAATGATCCACCACACAAACGAGAAAATTGCATTTGTTGATTCCAGGTGCTTAGCAACACTACAATTGAACATTGAATCATCATCATTCAACAATGAAAGAAGAGAGTTTGTTGTGAGGATTAAGCAAAAAAAAGGAAACATTTACTAACCTAGTTCCAAGTTCAATCTCAGGATCATCAACAACTACGCCATATTCATCAGATTCGTCTTCTTCTTCGCTAGATCCTTGATTGAAATCTGAATCTAAGTTTGGATTATCATCTACTTGTCGTCGGCGTCGACGGTACTCGGCGATTACACACGCAACGTGAAACAAACACTGTAGACTATACCCAATTATCCAGAATCTGAGAGGAACATCTGGATTTTCCACCGAGCTAAACCAAAGAACCGCGACTGTGACGAAGACAAAAGCTAGATTCCAGAGCACATCTAAGACTATAACCGGTTTCGAGTAAGCCCACTCACTCTGCCGCTCCTCAATCTGCTCAGCCGCTGTCTCCCGGACTCGAACCGACGACTCGCGGAGCATCATCCGGTGACTGCTAGCGCGGCGGAGAAGCCGCGACGCTGCGCCACGTAGCGGCCGAGAAGAACGGGGGAGAGGTCGACGGTTTTGGTTCAGAAGCGGCGAGGAAGCATCCGACGCCGGAGAAGAAGAGGAGGAGGAGACATCATGGATCGGTGGTGGATGCATTTGAGACGGATTCAAACAAAATTTGGTGGTGGTGAAGATTGGATCTTAGACGAATAATTGCGTTGAAAATCGATTGAATTTTGAAACGGAAATTTAACCGAATAGAGATAATGCTTGAGTTTGTTCCTTACATGGGAAATGGGATAGTGAAAACGACAGAGGTCGTGCTCCATTAAAACGCCTCATCAAAGATATTAAATTATTATTTATTGGGGAAATCTTATTTTATTATTTGTCTCAGATTGGAATATTAATTATTACAAGATTTTGTGTCAAATTCGATTAAATTTATTATAATTGTTTAAAATTAAATGAAGCCATTTGGTATGTTTTCCTTTTTTTTTTCTGTTTTAACATTTTCCTCAGTGATGAGCTTACAAAAACAATCACGTAAGCTACAAGTTCGGATTCAAACTTTCAAAGAAGACTACTTGTTTTCATCTAATAAATCCTGTGTGATTATGCTAATTAAGTCATCACCTGCAGAGTATTAGAGCCACATGAAGCTAGCTAAACCATCGAAAATTTTCCGTGCCGTTGTTCCTATATGTTAAAACAGACCTACTGATTCCCTCACGTGCTCGGGGATCAAGCGATGTCGCAATTCAACAGATGCACCACACAATTCTGCAAGAAACATATGACAAAACATTAAGAAACTGGGATCAAACAAACACACACACACACATCTTGGTTTCTTGTAGTTGCGTGTTGAAAAAGAAAAGTAAGGTTTTGTTTTTGGGCTAACCTTGAGCTGTGAAATCAAATAAGCGAGGCAGTGGTCCTCCGTTTGGCAAGCATGCTCTTGGGTCTCTTAGATCATCGAAGAACGGATGTGCACATGCTTCAAGCTGAAACAAGAGCAAGTAAAGGAGTAAGCAAGCTATGATCAAAATGGTAATATCCCAAACATAGAGAATCATTTATTAGGTTCAATCTAACCGCTGTGCATCTTAGGTTTGGTGAATACTGGAGGAGTCTTGAGGCAAGATCCATGGCCTCTGCTGTTACCTCTCTATGGAATATCTGAAAAACCCAAAAAAGGAAAAAAAAGATTAAACAAAGAGATTAATTAAAGAGTATGATTAGAAGTTGGAAATTTGTAAGACTTTTTACCTTGTGCCATGGCTGAGTTTTGATTTGAGGGAACCTAAATTCATTGTAACGAGGATTCATATTCTTTATCTCTTCTCTTGTTGGTGTCCCCAAAATCTGATCATACACACACAAAAATACATTGAAGAAAAAGAAAGAAAAAAAACTCTAATATGTCACAAAATCAACACACACACAAAACCCAAAAAAGGATACTAAACAACCAAAACAAATTTTACCTTGATGATCTCTACCAATTGATCAACACTGCTCTCTCCAGGGAAGATAGGCTCTAGCAATGAAAAGCAGCAAGAGCTTGGTTAAAACGCTGTAAAAAAGTTTTAAAATCAAAATAGTTACAGTTTGTTCTTTTCTCAACCTGTCCAAGCAGAAGTTCAGCCATTACACAACCTACAGACCACATATCGATGGCGGTTGTATATTCAGTTGAACCAAATATGAGCTCAGGTGCTCGGTAATACCGTGAACATATATATGATATGTTCGGTTCTCCAGGAACCTAAAGTGGCCAAAGAGGAATCAAAAGTATTCAATAACAGAATCTAAAGACTTGCCAACATTTTCCTCAATACCAAAAAGTGAAAATTTAAAGACTTACCAACATTTTGGCACTTCCAAAATCACAAATCTTTAGCTCATGTGTAATGGTATTAACCTACAAAATTCCACAAGCATTACTAAATTATAGTGCTATATGGAACTCACATATATGCTAATATCAAAACCCTTACCAATATATTTTGCGGCTTAATGTCACGGTGACACACTCCTACAGCTCCATGCAGGTAATTCATAGCACGACAAATCTAATTAAAACAAACACAAAACGTTTTCTAAGTCACAATAATTCAAAAACAGAGGAAACACATTAAAGACTCTTTTGGCCTAACCTGATAAGTGTAAAGCTGAACATAAATCAAAGGCATGTGAAGGTTCATCTTGGTGAAGTGTCTAGAAGCACGGTAAATAGTCTCTGGTACGTATTCCAAAACAAGGTTAAGATAGAGCTCTTTAACTGTGTGGGTTGTTGTTGTGGAGAAGAAAGAATGCTTCAGCTCAACAACATTAGGATGTTCAAGCATTCTCATTATCTGAAGCTCTCTGTTCTTGTATCTCTTGTCTTGTAACACTTTCTTTATAGCTACTTGCTCTCCTGTCTCCATACACTTTGCCTCAAAGACAACTCCAACTCCAAAAGAACCAGTCCCGATCACATTCTCAGCTCTGTACGAGATCGTCTTGAAAGAAGAAAAAAAAAATACATCATTATTCATTAGGAAGAAGAGATTAGTTTTAACTCTGAATGATTAACACAAGGAAATTAAACCAACCTTGTCCTTTTGCTCGTTAAGACATTTTCTTCTAGTGGTAATAATCTGTCCAGATTCTGTTTTATTGCAATTGGTGATTCCAACTACCTTGTCATCTCTGATCCTCATTTGGTTTTCTAGGAAACAGAGAAAAACAGAGAGTGAGAGAGAGAGAGGCTAAAGTTTTAACTTTTTTACCCTCTCCTTCCTTTCCCTCCCTCCGCTGTCCAAAACCCAGAAACTCGAAAGAACACAAGAAATGGACAAATGAAGATAACACAAATATTTCTCTCTCTATATTTTGTATCTGCCGACTGCCGTTTACAATGGAAAGACCAATCATTTTCTTTTCTCAGACTTTAATTGTTGACCGTTAGATTAATGAGCTCGGGGACAATCTAACGGCGGAGATTAAAGGAGTGAATGATGAATGTAAGCTCGAGCATGGGAGTCAGTTTTACGGAGAAGAGGGATAGTTGGAATCTGGATCGCAGCGCGCGGAATATCCGCTACTTTGACTCTTCCTTTGACCATTCTTCTCTTTTGACCGTTTATTTGGATATTTAAAATTTGATTTATACGCTCACCAAAACCGAATTAGGGCCCATTTGAAGCCCATAGATGCAAGAACTGCCTCGATAAAAAGCATTGTAGGCCTTTATTATGTGTTAGCATAGTTTTGTGATCCCTTTGGTACGGATGGTTTATGCACATGTACTTTCATCTGCCCAACCTCAATTTATTAAGAAAGTGTAAAGCTGACAAACAAATAGAAACAGCATTAAATGCTCCATGCGTTTCATAAGATGATAAGATACTCTCATAAAGTCAAAACACACATTTATAGCAAACTCACTTTTAGGTTTTAACTCATCGGTTATGTTTCTTTTCATCACGTCATAAAATACATGGATACTCCCACACCTGGAGTTTTTTTTCAGAGGGGAATAAAGTTTTTTTTTTCATTTAATGTTCTTCACATTACAGCTCCCACACCTGGAGGCTGGAGCGTGAACTCCATTACATAGTTAAAAAGGTTTAAAAGCCCTAATCACCAAAATACAAACACAAATACAACTACTCAACTAGTGAGTCAATACCCGAACCATCAAGACGGACCACCACAGACTCACGGTTCGTTCTTGACTCCGAAAAAAAGCGAACCATTCAATATTTTTAGTTGAGCTACTTGCTGTCGCACCGAAGAGCGGCTCTGATTTTCTGAACGGTGCACGATATCAGATTATTAACGGTCTCAATCGATTCCATGTTGAGTTTAGCAGTAGGGAGAGAGTTAACAAGAATCTGAAACGCCACAGTGAGAAGCGAACCGGTTTCCTCCAACCCTTCCTGACCATCCGGGAGAATCGCAAACCCTGAGGGAAGAAGAGCCACGCATGCAGAATCTGCACCGTTCATCACAGAGTGCATCGCAGGGATATCAACTGGCGCGTACACAACAATCGCCCCAGATGCGTCTATGCTCGTCTCTTGCAGTATTAACATGCTGCTCTGATTCTCATTAATCGCCTGCAAACAAACAAAAACAAAAAAAAAAATTAAAAATATAACTCGAGGGTAAAAATTAAAAATGGTGGCAAAAAAAGCCAATAATGCAACCAATAAAAAAATTGTCAGTAGAGAGAGAGAGTAGAGAGAGAGAGAGAGAGAAAAAAAAAAAAGGTCCCAAATATTGACTTTTTTTCTTGCACTGGATGCTTCCAAAATCAAGATTTGTCCTTTTTCAATCAATCACGACAAGATTCATGCGCCCACAACATTACCTCGGGTGAGAAACATCATTTCACACACAGTCACACACACTCATGCATATATTACTTAATATATAAATATATGTATATATATCTTTAAAACTTACGGTGGATCGGAGGAGGGAGACGGAATTGGAGTGATGTTGGCCCTTGGGGATGAGAGCAATTTCCTGCATTGGTCCACCGTTGAACAGAATATCCCATTCCGATCTCAAAAGCTCATCTCTGAGGAAATCAAAGAGCCGTCTTGGTGAAACCGGGACCCATACGGAGGTGGCGGCGCTCAGAAGAATACCCGGTGGTTCGCCGGGATCATCCACATTCTTCCTCGTCATGATTCTCACGTCTTCATCGATGTTATCAACTTCAAGCCTGCTCCATTTCTGAGATGATGAAGCACACACGCCTCTACAGAAATTCTCAGTCATTCTTTGTGCTAGCTTTAACATGCTCTTCTTCCCTATAGAGCTTATGGCTGCATTTTTCACAAAGATACAAAAAGAAAATCAGTAAACCGGAAAAACATTGTTGGAAGGAGGAATCGGTTTTGGAGCTTACGTGTGGGTTTGTTGCGGTTGGGTGGGAGTGTTGAGGACATGAGGATGGTGAGGCTTTCGCATTGTCGTTGCAGAGCTGATATCCACCGTTTGGAGCCGAAGGCAAGACCGGAGCTGACTAACGGACGGTACAATTGGTGGATGTTGCTCTCGTCGTACTCCGTGTGGTCAATCCATGTTACCTATGAGTCCAAAATATTAGTTTTATTTTCTAAGTAACTAACGCAATACTTAGAGAATATATGTAAGAAAAGAAAAATATTCAATAGTGTAACATAAAATTAATGCCATGAAATTTAACATGACCAATGTAACATAGATGCTTCTATTCAGTTTCAAAAAGATAGATTTTCCAGCATTACATAAATGATTTATCTTAAATTTTGAAACACTTTTGGAAACAGTGGCACTGTTTTAGTATAGTACGAAAAGCAAAGTTGAAACATTTACAGTTTTCCATCTAAATAAATCACTGTACCTTAGAGTAGCCATTGGGCATGTCTTGCACGAGACAACCAGAGGGCAGCCTTCTACAGCTCGTAGAAGCCGGAGCCGAGGCTGCTGAATCGCTTATCCTGTCGACAGAGACATCCACGACCGCCCAAACACCTTCAGCGAGTTGTTTACAAAACCTTATGAAAGTCACTTGACGAACCGGCACTAGTGGTGATAGCAACTGAAGCTCTGCTTGCATCTACTCAAAACCAAGAGAGTTAATATAAATTCTGATCCATATATTGATTAGAAAAATGTAATGATTTGTTCGTATATATAAGTACTCACCAGGTGAAGAGCACCGTTTCTTGTCCCTCCCATTCCACTAGAGATTATTTCGGTAGTAGAATTTCTTGCAATCATACATGGAAACATCTCCGCCCATCGTTCCTACAAAATCAACAACCATTGTAATCAAGAACAATCTTAAAAGATTACAATTTTTTTTTTTTGTAATTAGTTGTCAAGTTTAAGTTACTAACCGAGTCCATTAAGGTCTCGACGAGGGCTAAGCTATTGATGATGACCATTCCAACTTCTTTAGAAGCTTCCGAAACAAACCCATCCGGTTTATCACCGAGGCAACGTGTGGAAATTTTTTCGTATTCCTCTCGGTTAAGCATTTCTTGCTTCCCTGTTGCGCTTGGGATCCAAAGCGGCTCGCTCGTCTGCGCCATTTTCACGAGCTCGTCCATTGCGGAAAGAGCTAGTTCCAGATACAACGACTTCTGATCGAGTCCGGAGGCAGCATTCGTACCGGTACGGTTAACCATTGCTGCTAAACTGGAGTAGAAGGGAGACGGTGAATTCTCGAATCCAGGAGGGACAAGAGCAAAACCGCCACCGCCACCATCACCACCATAACCGTTTCTAGAGCCGAGACCGAGTTTGAGTGTGGAGTTTGGTGATTGATCATGTAAACCGGTTGCATCATCGTCAAACCGGTTAATGAATCTTCCGGCTAAGGCACAGACACGTTCAAGTTCGTATTTAAGGCGTGAGTTCTCGATTCTTAAGTGATGCTCTTCAATAGAGATCTCGCCGAGAACGGCGGAGCCACCGCAGTGACCGCACATCGGATTCCTCATGGCTTCTCTTGCAGACATGTTTTCTGCTCGGAGCTTATCGTTTTCGTGTCTCAACAAAGAGTTTTCATGTCGCTCAATTTGAGTCTACCAGAGGAAAAAAAAAAAAAATCAAAAACATGAAAATAAAAAATTAGAAAATGAGAGTGTGGATGAAGAGAAAACCTTCATTTGTGTACGGCGGTTTTGGAACCAGAACTTGACTTGGCGAGTATCCAAGTTAAGCCGGTGGCTAAGATCGAGCCGTTGCTTCTCATCGGGATGAGGACACTCCTTGAAAACCCTAAATTCGGAGAGAAATGTTGAAAAATTCTCAATTAAAATAAAGCAGATAATTAATCACCTTTAATTAATAAATTAATCATTATTACGATTCGAGTTCTTGTATTTGTTGAGGAGTATGTCGGTGGTAACGTTTCTTCTTCTTTGAAGGTCTGTTAGAGGCGTCTACGTCATCATCGCCGGAGAATGCGTCGGCGTTGTCGCTTCCAGATCTGCTCTCCGGACTTCTCCGAGTAACACTCACCTCGAAACTCTCGCCGGTTCTACCCCTAACTCCTCCGTTGTTTTCTACACTCGTTTGCTGCCGGAGGAAGAAAATCAAAACGTTGAGAAGAGACAAACCAATAAAAACAATCCAATCCAGAGAGAGAGAAGTAGAAACCGTACGAGACCGAGAGAGAGACGAGGAGAAGAGAAGATGGATTTAACGAGACCACCGGGCATAGCGGCGGCTGAAGAAGAGAAATGGTTTTCACCACCGTCGTCGTTGTGGAGGAAACCGCTGAAATTCATTAAAACCTCAGGAAACGGATGTGTGTTAATTTATAGGGAATATTATTATCCAGAAGTCTCTAAATTGTTTTGTCTTTTTTAACTTAAATCCGTAACGGATGAAAATTTGTTGCTTCAGTGCATGTTCGAGGAAGCAAGAAGAAGAAGACGAAAAAGAGGTTTCAGATTTGTTCAGACGGAGAAACAAAGAAGAGATGTGGAGTGGTCCGAAGCCTTACAAATTACTGTATAAACATCCAACAATAGTTTGGTTGACTCTTCACTCCCACCTTTTCTTTTCTTTTCTTTTCTTCCTTTTTTCTCTTTCACATGAAAGTCCACTCGGTCCTTAAATTACCGTCTTGCCCTCACATCTTCATTATGTGTATTAGCCTGTGTTCTAAAACTCGTTAGGCGGTACTAGGGCGCTCCGTCTCCTTCTAGCGATTTTCTTAAAAGTCGGAAATAAATCGGAGAGTACTCGGAAATTAATTTTAAGTACATTTTTATATATTTCCAACATTTTTAATTTTTTATATATAATACATCAACATGAAAATCATATACTACATTATTACCAAATAACATTCTTTTTTATATATAATACATCAATATAAAAGTCATATACTACATTTTTAAGGTTTCATGTTGAATGAAAAGTGTCTTTACACACTTTGGGCTAATTGTGAACAAAAATCAAACTTTAGCCCACCAGATTTTAACATTTACTTACTGATTTTTATAATAATGTGAATATCAAAGTACGGTCAACGGTTGACCATATCTTTACTCGGTTTTTAAAAAGTCGGAACGGCAACCTCCTTCTGGCGGTTTTAGGACCGAGTACTCGGCAACTCGGCCGACTTTTAGAACATAGGTAGTAGCCCTGGGCATTTCGGGACGGGAATCCCGTTCCCACCCTTACTCGTTTAAAATTTCCCAAACTTTTCGGGAATGGGAATTTGCAATTTCCCGTTTGGGAACATTTATTTTATTCAAACGGGTAAGGGAAGGGTTCGGGAAGGGTAAGGGATTTTCCGATTTTCCCGTTTAAAAAAATAAAAAGTTGAAACCATTTCCCTGCGAGGGTAAACTGTAAAAATCAAGCTTGTCAATACTTAAATAAAAATATTGACTGTTCAACCAGCTAATAATTACTCTGCACAGTTTTAGGCTCCTAATTTTCGTTTGAAAAACAAAAAGAGAGGAAAAGAGAGAAGGTAAAATAGGTCGAGTGAGTAAAGTGAGTAATAACTATTACATGGCCTATATTCGGAATTGAGTACTATAGAGTTATTGCGAGTATAACCTAAGATCAATAATTGAATGATTGGATAATAATGGACATTAAAAGCTGTCAAATTGAACTGCCTCATTTATAATTCTCCTAACTAATAGTGGAGTATATGCTTTCTTACTTACTCAGAATATCACCGATTTACAGAGACACAAAAGGCCGGCAGAAAGTATTGTCCCTTTTCAACAAGAAATATCATATTTTCTAGAAGATGTTCATCTGTTTATCACAGTCCTTTTTTTCTTCAAAAAATGGAATATTAATAAGTGCTAGTACATGTAACTCTATACTGAGGAGAATTCCAAGTTATCAGTATTTTCTTCTGTTCTAACAAATAACATAATTGCTTTGCTACGATTTATATATAAACCTTTTTGTTTAAGTACATATCAAAGTTTTTTGAAGAACAATATGATATTTTTAAGGATGTCCATCTAGGAAATGTATTAATACAATCGATGATAACAAATTTCTTGAAACCCTGGAAACTTTTCAATCTAGTTTCATATATCCACAAACAACTTTTGAGAATCTGAAAATAAAGTAACAAAAATTGTATTGGTCTATCCAACTCAATGACCAAAAAATAGTCGTCCAGATAGCAAGTTATCACATGGTTAAATAATAAATATCATAAGCTCTTGACAAATTAAAAATCAAAAGTTCACACTATTGACAAAGAAGAAAAACAACTAAACATCTTTTTTGCCGACAGCCATCTGTACTTCGCGTTCAAACCAAATGTTTTCAACAGTTTACTTCAAAACTTCAAAATAAAAAAGTACAACGTACTTTAAACTGAACCAGAAATTTAGTTTGATGATTAAGTTGTATAATATACGCGATGGGGGCACTGTTCTAGTTAACCTTATATTTTTGTTTATTTCGTATGGTAAGAATATGACAACAATCATGATGAATTTATTGTTGAAAAAAAAATCAAAAACAAAAAACGTAACACTGTAAGATCTTTAAAAGAAAAAAACTCAAATCATGAGAGAGCACTAGTATTGTTTTTATCTTCGTCAGGTGCAGGAACAGTCCAATATTGTTTCACCGCATAGTAAATCTTCACTCTCTCATGAGGACCGTTCTCGTGGTCCGCAATTCTACCTTGCCATTGTAACCCTTTGGTTAATTCCTTAACCTTAATCAACACGTCCACGTCATCTCTTATAATCACTCCACCACCCGGTCTAAGAATCCGATCCATCTCTAACAACATTTCTTCCGGTTCACATTTATCTTGGTACAAGCTGAAAACCGAGTCAGCATGGATAAAATCATACGTTCTTGGATACGTCGACATGGCTTCGCACCTAACAAAAAGGAATAAAACCGGATTAATCTCTAACCATCCACAAGAAAATCAGATTAAGTTTCAGGCCGGTTTAATAAAACTTACCAGTTTTGATACGTTCCGATTAGACCACGCTCGTAAATGACACCAAGAGTATTGAGCTTAGCCTCGACCGGGACAACGTTCATGACCCAAACCGGCTCATCGGCTAGAGCCGCCGCGAATCCACCGAGGTAAGCGTTCATGTCAAGTATGTTCCTGTATCTCCCGGTTTCACCTAACTGGTAGTCTAGTTTCTTGTAATAAGAAACTCTCTGTTTCCACAGTTTCGTGTCCTCCAAGAAAGCTTCCGGTGTGATTTCCTCGAGATCTCCGCTGTTAACTCTCGGAGGAACCGCGTATAACCTAGCCGGCCACTTCTCCACCTTCCCTCCGGCCACCGTCTTAAGATCCTCCGCCTCATCAACTTCAGGTAATGGCGTCAAACAAGAATCCATCTTCGTATACCAAGCCATGTCAGGATCTTGATCATGGCGACAAAACTCCGGATTCTTCAAAACCTGTCTGGTTTTCTTGCAGTGAATGTGGTTAAAGGGCTTTCGCCAAATAGCAAGATCCTCTCTCTGAACCACTTTCTTCCAGCACAAGCTTCTCGCGACCCGCTCGATCTGAGTCTGCTCTGCATTCAAATCATCCATCGTCCGTTCCCATCCTTTCCACCGTTTCTGCCAGTTAATCGGCGGTCCAGACAAAATCCAATACCCTCCTGGTCGTAAAACCCTATCCACCTCCTTCAAGTAAACCCCATCTGCAATATAACCCAAAGTGTTAAAAACGCAAAAGAGGCAAACTTAAGGGACACGGCAACGAGATAAGGAGTCGAACCGTTTTGGCCCCAAGGGATAAGGCAACGAGAGCAATGTGCTAAGTCAAAGGCTCTAGAAGGGTACGGTAAACGTATTGTGGCCATGATTCCGATCATCGCCGGCACGCCACGCTCGAGTGCGAATTGGACCTGAGCTTCGTGTGTGTCCCTTGGAGCAAACGACATCGTTGTGATGTTTCTTGATAACAGATACGCACCAAAGCTAGCCACCTGAAAAAATTCAAAACACGTACATTTTTTATTAACACTAACAAAATTAAGGCAAAAAGTATACATTAAAAGTCAACATAATGTTTCTATGTTTCATGATTTTGACTCTTTGTTTAGTTTACAACTACTGGTTTAATTCTCAACTTTACAGGTTTAACAGTAGGTCAACAGTTACATTAGATGATTAGGTGACTCAGTGGGTCACAATCAGAAACCAAAAATGTTGTAATAATTATGAGCCTATGTCTACTTGTTTTTCCTATATTTTAACATTAAATCTACAAAATGATGATGCACTTACTCCAAAACTCATATATTTAGATATGATTAGATATGGATATGCATGAATATATCTTGTCAGTTAAATTGGATGCATTCTTGAATAAAATGTATGATAATGTTCCAACAGATTATTCGATTGAACAGATTGGTGGGGAAAAAAATCTTCTTTTCTTTTCTTTTAAAGTAACAAAATCAAAGAAAATTAGTAAGCAGTTAAAGGCAAAGTTCAATCGAACCATCCGGTTCGGTTTGATCAGAGGGAAAATAATGGAAACGTACCCCGCAACCGGTATCGATGGCTGTACGGATAGAGCCGTCGCTGAGGTCAATCAACCGTCCGATATCGTCAATGTAGGCATCAGCGCCACGTGGAAACATCGTACCGCCACCAGGAAACCAAAACCGATCGTTCTCGTACCGGACCCAATTCTGATTCTTCTTCTCAACCGTGAGCTCCGTGTGAGGCACATTCGCGAACCACGCCACGTCACGGCTCTCCGGCCACCGGAACGGCGTCTTGTAACCGTACGGCGCCGGAATTCGACACTTCAGGACCTCGTCTCTCTCTGGACAATGCCTCTGCCTGTACTCCAGTCTCTCCCTCGGGAATTTCAGCGATCGCTTGGCGTCCTCGCACGGCGTGGTCTCGCTCAATCCGGCGTCGCACGACGGGAAACTCACGGCGGTTTCCGTCAGCGGAGGTGGATCACGAGGGTTGTGGTGCGCGTCGAAGTCGAGATCCTTCGCGGAATCGAGCCTGGAGGATACCTCGCACGGTGCACCGTCTGAGTCATCGAAGGCGGCGCGTGGATTCGCCACCGAGTTCTGCCAAGTCCCGAGAAGGTAGCTCCCGATACAGAGGAGCGCGACTAGGGTTACGTAGTAAAGATTGGACTTCTTAGTCCTCGACGACATTCTTGTAAATAAATTCATCTCTTAATAAAAATAAAAATCAATGGCTGGATTTTAGAAAACCCAGTTGAAATATATATATGTATAATTGTGTGTGTGTGTGTGTGTGTGTGATCGTATACACACAACTAACACGACGATGAGAGATGAGAGTCGAATCGAATGTGTGACGAGTGAAGTTTTCAAGGGTTGATACGAAGTAGTTCGAGGGTATTATAAGGGAGGAGCGAGTGTGGGACACGCGCTTTCGAGAGTCTACCGGTCAACGCGGATTAATGTTTCGTTCGTGAGAGATTAGGCTAAAACGTGCGAGCTTGTTATAGGCAACAATGGGGGAATTATTATTTTCATCAAATTATTAGATTTGTTTTGGAAAAATATAGGGGTTGTATATATTCATGCATCGTATTATGAAGGAAGATATCTTTTGAAGTTTATAAAATTTGGAATAGTTTCTAATGTTATTGACTTTTCTAATGTTGTTTTACCATTTTTAATTTAGTAAAATCGACAGAAGAGTTGTATTACGCGTCGATCATGCGCGTGAGGTTTTGATACGTAGGGTAGGGCCCGTTTGGGTCCTTTGGAAGCAAAGCGACGCAATCCCAATTGCGCTTTACTCCGGTACGAACTAATTTAACCTTAAACCGAAGTACTTTTTTGGAAGAGTTCACCGGTTCAACCGGAAAATCAGAGATACACTGGTCAAGCAAGAACAGAGATTCTCTTTTGCTCTGTATATACGCCAGTTTTTGAACTTTTCTTGGGACCAGAGGGTTTAAAAACCTTGCGGGGTTGTGAAGAAAGCCTGAATTAGCAATGTTTGTTCAACACTGGAACCGCAAAAGGCAATGCCAATTTGACATATGAAGTAATAAGTATTTTTTGTGGCACATGAGATGAGCAACAAACTGACTACATCACACTTTCTTTTATAACGAGAAATGATTGGTAGATATGAGAACCGATAACGTATCAACCTTGGTTGTATCTTAATTAGTAGAAATTTATATATTTAGTTTGAATCTTTTGGAAGTCTAAGAACAAGTAACATTTCGTAGGAACTAGAAAAGGAAGGAATATGCTACATTTTTCCTTTGGTTAAGCTCAGCATCTTAAATGCATCAAATATCAATATATCATTATATAATTGATTAATTTTCCTGATAAGAGAAAGTGATGATAATCATTGGAGAACGAGCTTACCACGATGCATGGATGCATCCTAAGTTGTAAATGTGTTAAGGAAAATTACGAATCAGGCTAATGATGATTTCAGATATTAGAGATAAAAAAAGAAGTTAAGAACTCACTTTCTGCTGCATATATTTACATACGCCTATGATTTAGACCTTTACTATTTGGTTAGCCAAATCAACAGGTCCTAGATTCCTAACATGTGCATCAAGATTCCGAGGCATAAACATATTTATTATAATCATGATTCCTGCAGATAAGTATCTTATAAGAGGCTATAACAGTACCAAATTATTCAAAAGGATCCATACAGAAACTTTCTCAAATGCTTCTTCTATAAGCTTCAGGGTGCTTTGATCTTGGGGCGTGTCGGAAGCAGCTGTGTTTGTTGAGAGCAACGACAATCACACAATTAAGATCAGAATACTAAAGTTATGAACTCGGAGAGTGGGTTTGTACGTGAAGAAGGAAGAAGAGAGAGTGTGTTTTACCTGGTAACATGAGATGAGGGAAGTGATGAATCCAAAAGCTCCGGTGACACGAGGAGTGATCTTCTCTGGAACTAACTGAAGAAGACCAGCTGCTACAACAATGTCCATGGCTGATTTGATCAAAGCAAGAGACCTCTCGTTCGATTGTTTAAGCTTAGCACGATACTCCTCATCCTGCATTTTTACGCAATTGACGACAAACAAGAATTGAGTTTAAGAAACACAAAGATTGAGAGAGAGAGAAGTTTCTTTTGTTGAGTACTTGGTACTTGTTGCCATTCTTAAGCCCCTTTTGGATCTTCTTCATCGATGAAGAAAGCCTTCCAATCTCACCAAGCTAACAACAGAGAAGAAACCGATCATAAGCTGGGAAAAATGTAAACATTAAGGAAGAAAAATAGAAGACGGAACAGACCTCAACTAAAGTAGTACAGACAGATGATCCCATCCAGCAGAAAAGCGATATACGTCCAAGCAACTCTGCTCGCTCTTTGTTCTGTCATGACACAATAGTGTAATAAGAACATTTGCCTTAGCAAATAAACTAGTGGTGCACAGGTTTTGGTTTATCTCAGTCTCACCTTGTATATTCCTGATCTCCCAAGCCAGACAATTTGATCCAGGAACAAGAATGTAGACAAAAGTGCGTTCTTTGACTGAAAACGTAACAAACATCCAACATCAACAAAGATTGATCCTATGACACAAACAAGGGGATCAATAAGAACTCCGAAGAAGCACCTTTCCAAGTAGAACAAGAGGAAGCGGAGTCCCTTTAGGCACAGGGCTGATTAGACCATGCAAGTCATTAACAAACTGCAACAATTATTCCAAAAATAAGGAAAACATATTAGTTAAAACTTGAAACAGAGCGAATTACTAATCAACGAAACTAAAACAGCAGCAAAAAAAAAAAGAGGGAAAAGGAATAACCTTGAAGAGACGGAAGACTTTCCTGGCTAAGCTGGTGGATTTGTCAACATTTTGGGCAGTACCAGCTTGTCCTCCGCTCAAGAACTTGGAACCATACTGTATTGCTCTGCATAGCTTATCCCTTGACTCCGCTTTGTTCAGATACATCACCACCAGAGCCAGCTCTGCTCTTGATACATCTAACGTACTCGCCATCTTTCTCTCTCTCTCTCTCTGCAAAATTGTCACTTATTATTAGTTTGCCGCTCAAAGCTGACAACAAAATTCCCAGGCTTTCTCAATAATCACAAGTTGTAACAATTTCCAACCCAGAAATGATTAAACACACGAGGAAGATCAGATGGAACAATCCCAAAATACAAATATACAATCAGATAAATTAGAAAATACCTCTGGAGATGATACGAAGTCGATCTCTGAATTTACCACCCCAAAAAGAGATATGTGAACACAGAAATTGAGAAAAAGGGAATAAGAAATGAGGTTTCAGTGCCTCTCTGTTATTGGAACGTCAGCAATTTAGTTTTGTCTTGATCTTCTTTGCGTTTGTGTGATCGGAGGAGATAGGGCATGTTTGGTCATCTTCGTCCCCCGATAAACAAACAAAAACATCGTCCTTGGTCAACGCACTGATCTCACCGATCCTTTATTCTCAGCCGTCGATTATGTTGACTCTTTTGGAACCAACTGTTTGACACGTTACGTATCTCCTACACTTGATTATCCCTCACTCGGAAGTTGAGGTTATCTGGCGCGTCCTAACCACGTGGCACACGTCTCTAGGAAACAAAAATATCCACGTGGCTTTTGTTAGACATTGGGCAAAATAGCAGTTTTGAATCCGTTAACGTTAAGAAGCCCATTAGAATCGAATTTCCTAATTCTAATTGAGGTAAAGTAAACGGAAAATCATAAACCTTCAAATAGTCTTTCTAGCTAATTTTGTTTGTTTGTAAAAAACTAAAAATTCTCCAATACAAAAATTGGTTTTCTAAATCTTTCTCAACCTTCGTCGTCGGTTCGTTCTATACACTGTAAGTCAATTTCTTATGCAATGTAATCATGTTGTATTTGGTTTTCTTCGGCTCTGTCTCTGGTTCTGAAATTCCCACACATTGATTGATTGGGTTCCAAATTCTCTCTGTAACCGGAACGATTAAAAGCCCAATGGACTTTTAACATAAAACCCGCTAATTCTTTTTAACAGACAAAACCTTGTCGTTAGGGTTTTACATACGTACGAATCTCGTTGTTTCACTTTGTGTCTGAACTGAATTAAACCAAAACTCAAAAACTGCAGTTTTTTCTTTCTTTCTGATGGAGCTCAATAAGGATCAGGAAGGCATGTCGTCGGAGAATAATAAGCCTCAAGATCCAAATCCCAGATTCGCTTGGGAAGGTTGCAGCGTTTTGCTCGACGTCAACGATGGAGACCGTCTCGTCTTCGCTCGTCTATCCGGTGGCGCGTGAGTCTTCTTCAGATTAATTCTCTTCCTCAATTCTATTGATTTGAATTTGGTTCTAATTACATCCTCTCTCTCTCTCTCTATCTATGTCTTCTCACAGTATATTGAAAATCGGGAATAAGAATTACTCTTTAAAGCCATTGATCGGAGCTCCGTTTGGATCTCTGTTCCAAGTCGAAAGCGGAGAAGAAGGCTCTTTTCTCTCTCGCGTTCTTCCCGTTAAACAAGGTTTTTGTTTCCTCCACCATCACATTACTGATGTTTGGTTATAAATTTGTAATAGATAGATAGAATTTGGTCTAATTGATGTTTGGTGATCACAGAAAACAACAGTAATAACATTACCGAAGATTCGAGAGATAATCGGGAACTCGTCGACAATAATGAAGCCCAAAACCTCACCGGTGAAGAAATTGAAGCTATGCGGAGGTTAGAAGACGACTTAATTCTCTCTGTGTAGATATGTTAGATGCATATTTTGGAATTAGAATTACCAACTTTTTTGTTTGGTTTAATAATGTGTAGAGAGGGTGCAAAAGGGTATGAAATCATTGAAGCTCTAATTGCAAACAGCAAAACATTCGACAAGAAGTTTCAGCTGTCTCAGGTATGTTTATAAATATATACCGTTAATCTCTCTGCTTCTACTTTAAATTTTGTTTTCCTTGTTTAATCTTTTTTTCTTTCTTTCTTTCATTTGAATAGGAAAAATATAAGTTGAAGAAGCAGAAGAAATATGCGCCAAAGCTGCTTCTAAGGCGGCCTTTTGCTCGAAGGTAAATTTCTTTCGTTTTTCCTCTGTATCCTTCTGTTTTTTCCGACTTCTTTCGTTTCTCTTATTCTCGGATCTGTTTTGTGTGTTTAAACAGTATATGTGAGGCTTATTTCAAGAAGTACCCTGCCAGAATCGGGTAAGTTTACACTACTTTCTTTCTTAAATTGTGTTCGGAAGATCCTGATTGGTTTGGTATTGATTCCTTTTGTTGTTTGTGTTGTAGATTCATACGAGTAGATGCGTTATCTCTTTTGTTAACAATGGCTAATGTCACGGCATACTCGGACGTGCTTGTGGTGGATATGGTTGGTGGCCTTATCACTGGTGCAGTCGCTGAACGATTAGGAGGTAAACATCTTTATCTTCTTATAACCTCTCCAATAGAAACTACTGCATTTAGGATCCACTGCTGATATATGTTTATTTGAACAGGCACTGGTTATGTTTGCAATACATACAAGGGAAATTCTCCTTACCCTGTGGAGATGGTAAGGATGTTCAACTTTAGTGACAAGGTCATAGAGAGGTATGTTCCATTGTCTTTTTCTCCCTCTGTAGTTTCTAACTGAAGCCGTTTTGTAATTTTGACATTTTTGTTTGGTGTGTAGGATTGTTCAGTCATCTATAAACGAGCTCTCATCGACCAAAACTGCATCTTCGGAACAAAACAATCAACAAGAAGGAGTTTGTAAAGCTGAGATTGATATCAATGCAATGCAGGAACCATCTACATGTGATATGGTTGTTGAAGAGACACCTGTGAAAGCTGAGGCTATTGTAGAAGATATTGTTGTCCCAGAGAGCAAGATTATAAAGGCCCCAAAAGCTGGAGCCAAGGCTTCAAAAGAAGCAATAGAGATGTGGCAGGAAAACGGTTTCTCTAGCCTAATCATGGCTGCACAAGACCAAGACCCATGGAGCTTGGCTAAAGACGTATTGCCACTCCTCTCCTACTCTGCTCCTTTTGCAATATACCATCAGTATTTACAGGTAATGTCACAAAGATCAAATCTTTTTAGTATGTTTTGGTTACAAAATCTCATACAATGGTGAAAATTTCAACAGCCGTTGGCGACATGTATGCACAACCTTCAGCAAGGAAAGATGGCTATCAATCTGCAGATAACAGAACCGTGGCTACGCGAATACCAGGTGCTTCCTTCAAGATCTCACCCTCACATGCAGATGAGTCCCTTTGGTGGGTATGTTCTTAGCGGCATCAGAATCTCTACCACTTGATTCTCCTTCTTTGTTTCCCAAACCAAACCAAACCTCATTCTTATTGTTATCATTTTCAGTAACTGAGGTTTGGTGTTTGATCTTTTCTTCCAAAAGGTCTTTGTATCTGTTTGTTGTTGACATATATAGGAACAATTTCATGTTGATACTCTTTTTCTCCATTTGTTAATCTGAATTTTATAGCTTTATGCATAAGTGGCTCAGTTTCATATAGATTATGAAACATTACAATACATACAACATTTTATATATATATATGTTTTACTAAATTATATGATCTGCTTCATCTCTCTACTTCCTACTAAAGAAGCTTCTCAATTTCCCTTTCTCAATCCTCTCAAGAAGCTTCTTAGAACCAGGAACATCCAGTTCCGACAACTTCTTGAGATAACCAACAGCTCCATACGAAACCATCAGCTTCTTACACTTCCTGCTCGAACACAACGCCGCCAAACCCGAAACCGCATACTTCTTGGCCGAGTTACCCGGACTCGGCTCAAGCAACATGACAAGACTCGTCACACTCTTCTCATCTCTCTTCACCTCTCTGCAGTTCCTCGGCACCGTAACAAGACTCGCTACAGCCTGAGCTGCGACCTCTCTAGCTCCACTCGCTTTCGCTTCCAACATTCTTATCAACAAAGGTATACAACCCGATTCACCGATCATCCTCTTCGTCTCGTTCGACGTAGCAATCCTACAAATCGTCGACGCAGCCGCTTGTTGAGCTCCGATAGACCCTGATCTAAGCACGTGGACTAAACTCGGGATGATCTTGAAGTGAGTCTCGTTAGAAACAGAGCCAACGAGATTCCGAATCGCTGCAACTCCTGATTCTTGCGGAAGAGGTCCGTCTAAGTAAGCGAGCAGAGTCTCAATCCCGTTCTCCGATATAACCGATTTCCGAAGAGTTTCATTGCTCGAAGTGAGATTCTGAAGACACTCAGCTGCGTATTCTTTAGATCCCAGCAAGATTCCGCAGTTGAGAATGTCAATCATCACTCTAACGATTCCTTCCTCCGCAAGACTCTGTCTCACTTCAGGAACAGAGGAGATGTTCTTCAACGTACAAGCAGAAGCGGCTTGAGAAACAGAGTCCCCTGTTTTGCAGATCTCGATCAACGGACTAACTCCTCCGTGACCGACGATCGAACGCGACGTCTCCGACGAAATCGACATCCTCTGCAGCGAGATAACCGCTTTCTCTTTACCAACGGCGCTTCCTGACTCGAGCAGCCTTATCAACGGAGGCAATGCGTTCTCTGAGATAAGCCAGTTCTCGCAGCCGCCTGATTCCGCTAGAGAGCAGATCACAGTCACCGCGTTCTCCCTAACGCTAGGCGAAGCGGTTACTGTCAGAAGCTGGACAAGAGACGCGACGTTGCTCCGTCCCAAACCGGTTATAACCGCTTTTTCGTCTTCTTTCATCACCTCAACGAGCTGCTCAAGCGCTTTGCGTTTTGACTCCAAGTGACCTATCTGAAGCCGAGCTAGCAATTCTCTGACGCTAAACGTTTCCAAGTCTTGAATCGAAGAAGGTTGCGATGTTGTAACTTCGCCGAGAACGCCTGTTTTCATCAGCAAGCCACAATCTTTCAAGGTGAGATCGATCTTTGAGGATAGAGAGTCGAGATCGCTCTGCATCTTCAGTTTCCCTTCTTGCTTCTCCTTCACGCATACGTTTGCGAGCGAGATCGCTTCTTTTAATGTTTGTAAGACCGCTTGGAGCTGCTCTTTGCAGAGAGGGTGTTTGGAGAAGCAAGGATGGCTTGACAAATCTGATAGACATGTCGGTAGCTTCTCTAATCTTGAGATTATCACTCTCCATCTGCTTGAGAAGCCTTTCACTGTTCTTGCTTCGGACAAAGCAGTTGGGACAAGCTCTTGTGCCTGTAATAACAACTCTTCTACTGTCGGATCCACCATGATGACAACACACGATCCTTTGAACTGAATTGCACAAAAGAAGAAGGAAATGTTAGTGAAACAAATCAGGAAACGATCAAAATATGTATTGATGAGATTCGCTGGCAAATAAAGTGGGGAACAAAAAGTAATGAAGGGAGTAGTTGAATGAGTGAAGAACAAGTTGGTAGGTTTTGTTTTTAAATAAAGACACGGATTTAAAAACAAAAGAAGAAGAAGAAGCAAATCAAAAAGAGTTTCGAGAATCTTGAAAATGATCACAGGAAAAGCTTTTTCTATATTTTTGCTGGAGAACAAAACCCTACCAGACAAAAAAATTTGTAACGAGTCGTTTTCCAGTTTCCTTTACTTCGTCGGTGTGAACAATGAATGCTACGAAAGGTAATGATAAAGATAATCAATAAATAGAAGCATCATCGTCATTATCATCATCTAGTATTATTTAATTGAAAGGCTCAAACACTCCTGAAAGATTGAGAAAAAGACGAGAATACCCCTTGTGAAGAACAACAATACTGAGAGCTTCAATTCAATTTCAAACACAGAGAAGATTGATGCTTAAGTTGGTTTAGAGAGAAAGCAATAAAGAGAGAGAGAGAGAGAGAGAGAGAGAGAGAGAGAGAGAGAGAGAGAGATTAAGACTTTGTTTCAAAGAGAAGATGTGAGTCTCTTTCAACTAATCGTGTGCTTAAAAATTTCATAAGAGCTCAAACCGAACTCCACTAACATTACAAGTTTGGTGACAAATCCACAACTCGTCATTACTGCAATTTAAACAATTTTTTTCTTAAAGCTTGTCTTGGAAAATGCAACTTTGCAAGATAATCAATTCAAACAAATCTTTCAGATTAAACAATCTAAAGCACACAAAAAAAAAGAAGAATAATTACCTGTAAACAGAGATCTATGCTTCAGCTTCTGTGCTCACTCTCCCAAAGAAAAAGAAACTGTCTAACGAATTTGTTTGCAGAACTTTGAATTTCGAAATTGAAACAAGATTAAAAGAAGAAGAGACTTTTGTTCTCGAACTTGTCGCTTATTTCAAAGACTCTCTTTCACACAGAAGGAGGCTAGGAGCTGTGTTGTCAGAGTCGTAAAGTCAGCTTTAGATTTGTTCCGACAGAACCGTAACGCACGAGGATTTTTTCTCGTATCGCGAGAATTTTCAAAATTTCGGTGATCGAACGGCTCTAGTTTCATCTTTGGCGAAACTAATCGAACGGCTAGGATGCGATTGATATTTGAAATGGCTCGGTGTTTAGCTGACGTGGACGTGTGACTGGGTCTTCTTGGGGAGCGTCACGTGTGCGGGGGTTGGTAGAATTGCCACTGTGTGTTCGTTAAATTCACGAGAATGCCATTAGGCTTTAGCATCGACTTTTGAGGCCCAGAAAGGAGAAACTGTCGTGGGGAGCGGGGACCGAGGCGCGTGAGGTTTGTGGACCTTATTAACGTGCACAAAACGGCACGCACTTTGTGACTTGTCTGCTGGCTGTTGAGACTTGAGAGAGCGTCGGTTTTTGTGATTTGTTAATTATTTAATTTAGTATCACTAAGGAAGATCATTAATATAATCACTCTTTATGAGCTGATCATCAGCTAACTTCTAATCATTTTAAGGTAAAATAACACGATCGAGATAATTATCACTGAGCCCTATTTTATACTACTTCATTGGTCCTCTTCTCCCATTTCACTATGATTCTCATATTCATTGCCTTTTTTTGTAATGTATCTTTGATTTTCGTATTTTTGTTGGTCTATGATTTTCAGCTAACGATAAAAAGTTCTGAACATTTGCCTTATCTCTGACTTTCGAATCAAGTAATCAACAAAGAAGATCATAAAAAAAAAAATCATAATAAGAAAACTAAAGGAAAAGATGTGGGTGTGTGAGTCGAGACATCTTCATGATTTATTTATACCTGTAAGCGCATCCTGCAGTGAGCCTTGCCTTTCCTCCTGTGGGTCGGCACAGGACTGTCCGGCAGTTTCCACATAACACCACCGTCTGCGAGTGGCTGAATATCGTCGTACTATGCAAAATTCATAAATCATTGATCAAAACATTCGACACATTTTTACTTATATTAGTTCTTAAGGTTCAAGACTTTTTCAAAGCTTACATGTTAAAGCAGCCATGGCACTTGACATCCTATATCAACCACATAACATCATAGCAAGTATTTAATCATGGCGCTCAACGAAAGAAATAAACTCAAAACTCAATTCACCACAATTCCAAACATTTGAAATAAAGAGTGAAAAGATTTCGATATTAATCCAAATTCTATATAATAAGATGATAAGCAGCACAAGGAATTTACCATGAAAGATGAATTAGGAGATTGAACAAGGCGCTTGAGCTTGTGTCTGGACTTCTCGATCTCAGCAGGTGGGTTAAGCAGATCAATATCGTTTTGAAGAACCTGCCATTTCATTTCAAAACAGACAGGTTTTTCCACAGACAAGTTAATTACTGAAACATAAGAATTGCCTTCAGACAAGACTCGGTTGAACAAGACATACACACACATATATATTACAAACAGAAGCTCTCAAGATTCAGTGACAAAAGGGAACTAAGGAGTCTAAACAAGAAAAATAGAAACGAGATCGTGAACTAACCATCTTCGTTAGCTTCTTCTAGAGATGAACACACAATCAGCCGACAAAAATGCTTTAGAAGATATAAACCCTAATCCCCAGAAACAACAACGCCTTATAAACAATCTCTCCACTTTAACCTCGAACCGACCTAACCTTACTTCCTAACTTAAGTTCCCTTTTGTTAATTAAAGTAAATTTAATTATTTCCGGAGAAATGTTGAAATGGCCGAATTGATTTCTGGGTCATTAGGGCGTGGGCCCAAATCCTACCCTCAACATTTGGGCTGCAAATTATTAAATCCAGTCCATTATCCACTCCAACCAGTCTCCAAAAATTAATTAATTATACCATTTAAAGAAAAAAAACAATTTCCATTAAAATTTAAAATGCATTAATTATTCAGTCGAAACGTCGTCGTCGCTCCTCTTGTTCTCCCTCTCTTTCTTCTCTACTGTGGGGAACGCTCTCACTCAAACGAGTCACACGCACTATCTCGCCGGAAGTTATGCAGAACACCGACGGAGATGACGATGACGACTTCCAGATCCCTCTTTCCTCTCAGCTTTCACTTCGCAGACCCCTTCAACCAACCAACCTTACCCTCTCTCACCGCCCTCCCAACAAGAAGCCTAGATTAAGCCGTAATCCGGGAAAGGAGAATGTTGCTCCGGCTCCTGAATCTAAATCCGACGTAGTTCTTTCATGTGGAAGTTTGTCGCTGGATTCGGATCTGTTCGGCTCGTCGTCTTCTTCTCCAGACTGTAGCTTATTAGATTGCATCCCGTCGAGTGTTGATTGCCCCGCAGGAGATGCCGGTGAGCCAGTTCGTCCTCTCGCGGCGGAAACAGAAGACGGCCAAGTTTCTGCTGATAAAGGGGACTGTTTTAAGGCGAATCGTGAAGGGTATTTCTGCAATTCGATGGAGGCTAGGTTATTGAAGTCGAGAATTCATCTCAGTTCGAGTGTTGGAATCAACGAGGATGAAGAGGGGTTTGTTGAGTCCGATTCTGAGCTTGACGTCTTGATAAAGCTTTGCTCTGAGGGTAACAGTGGAGAGTGTAGTTTAGGAAATGACGATTCGATTCAGTGCCCATTGTGTTCAATGGATATCTCAGCTTTGAGTGAGGAGCAGAGGCAACTTCACAGCAATCAATGTCTTGACAAGTCGCATAATCATCAGGCTCCTGAGCAAGTAAGCTTCTTTGTTGATTATTTGATCATTTTTGTTCAGTTTCACTTCACAACGCCATTGATTGACTGATAACTTGAGGATTTTGATTTTAGGACTCACTTAGGAAATGTGAGAATTCAACTTCCTTAATTGAAGAATCTGTTGATGATCCAGTTCAGCTAGTGAATGACATGTCTCCAGTGCTTACATGGCTAAAGAGCCTAGGTTTAGCTAAATACGAAGATGTTTTCATTCGTGAAGAGATTGACTGGGACACTCTTCAGTCACTCACCGAGGAGGTAATGTAAAATGCAAACAACTCTTGATGTTATTTGCTTACACAAACAAACGGGACTGTGAATTGACGAGGTTATAATTCCACAGGATCTTCTGAACATAGGTATAACGTCACTTGGTCCTAGAAAGAAGATTGTGAATGCACTTAGCACTCTTAGAGAAGAAGCATGTGCATCAAGTAGCCATGTTACAGAGAGACAGAGGGAGAAGTCAACAATTCGTAAGGCAAGTGAGCCTAGAAAACGAACCGCCAACAAGTTGATTACAGAGTTTTTCCCTGGTCAGGCTACAGATAGCACGAAGATCCGAAAGTCCCCTAAAGAACCTGCTGCAGAAAAGAGTCCATCAGATTCAGGTTGTAGACGTGCTGTGAGAAGAAATTGCAACAATGGAAAATCTAAAGTCACTCCACAGTGGAATTGCATCCCAGGGACACCTTTTCGAGTGGTAATTGTCTTTAACACATGGTTTCACTTCTTTGTGCAAGTTATAGCTCATAAATGCAACCTTGTGACATATTTCTCCTTCTCATTCAAAGCAAATATGCACATGAAATCAGACTTCAAACTTCCTTCTGTTTGCTGAATATATGTGTTTGGTTTAATATATGTGTGCAGGACGCATTCAAGTACCTCACACGCGATTGTTGCCATTGGTTTCTTACACACTTTCATCTTGATCGTAAGTTGAAATTTATTTTACACAGAAGCATCCTGCATATTGTCGAACCAATGCTTAAAGTCTGTGGATCCTCATTTACAGATTATCAAGGTCTGACGAAGTCGTTTAGTCATGGGAAGATATACTGTTCTTTAGTTACTGCAAAGTTGGTGAACATGAAGATTGGGATCCCTTGGGAGAAACTGCAAGTCTTGAACCTTGGCCAGAAGGTTAATATCGCGGGCACTGATGTGACATGCTTTGATGCAAACCACTGCCCTGGTTCCATCATGATACTCTTTGTACCAGCCAACGGTAAGGTGCGTTCTCAACTTAGACTCTTCCAAATGTTTATTGATCAGCATAAGTTGAATTTTCCAATTAACAAAGTAGTTGGTTTGTATAGGCTGTATTACATACGGGTGATTTCCGATATAGTGAAGAGATGTCAAATTGGCTGATGGGTTCTCCTATAAGCTCTCTTATCCTTGATACTACGTACTGTAACCCCCAGGTTAGTCAATAGTCATGCATCGATATTACTGCCTCTTCCTATGATTCCTTTACTTCAAATGTCATCGTTTGTTGCAGTATGACTTTCCAAAGCAAGAGGCGGTGATACAGTTTGTTGTTGAGGCTATTCAAGCAGAAGCCTTTAATCCAAAGACCCTTTTCTTAATTGGAAGTTACACCATCGGTAATACATGCTCTCTTCTTATTCTGTATCGATATGTCATGTTGAGAATGGCTATCTAAAAGTCTTTCATCTCTCTTGTCTATTGTCATTTGAAAGGAAAGGAGAGGCTGTTCTTGGAAGTTGCACGTGTTCTACGTGAAAAGATATACATTAATCCTTCGAAACTGAAACTCCTGGAATGCTTGGGATTCTCCAAGGAAGATATGCAGTTGTTTACAGTGAAGGAAGAGGAGAGCCACATTCACGTCGTGCCCTTGTGGACCCTCGCCAGTTTCAAACGGCTCAAGCATATAGCTAACCGATACACAGTAAGAAACACATCCATTCAATTTTTTGGCTGATGTCTATAGAAGATGAGTTCTTAGGCGATTTTCTGTCATGCAGAACCGATACAGCCTTATCGTTGCATTCTCTCCCACTGGGTGGACATCTGGCAAGACGAAAAAGAAGTCTCCAGGAAGAAGGTTACAACAGGGTACAATAATAAGGTAAAATTCACAATCTTTTAAGTCCTGTGTGTGACTTTGGCATTGATTTACTCAAATTCATCACTCAAGAGAATCTTTATGTATTTTTTAGGTACGAGGTTCCTTACAGTGAGCATAGTAGCTTCGCGGAGCTGAAAGAGTTTGTGCAACAAGTGTCTCCTGAAGTGATCATACCGAGTGTTAACAACGATGGACCTGACTCTGCAGCTGCAATGGTGTCTATGCTGGTTGCTTAGATCTCTGTTTTTCATCTGCTATTAAGGCTCAATAGCTGCTCAAGTGTGCAGCAGAGTATAACCAAATGGTAAAGCCTCCTTGGCTACCAATTGAATAGATGTATCAAATGTAGCAATGTAACCACATGATTATGTACTTTTGTCTTTTCGTCTCCAACTCCAAAGAATCGGTGTCATGCAATATGTAATAAAATATTATTTATGTTATATCAAATTCTTTCGTCTGATTTCCTTAGAAGAACTCATAAATCTTCAATTTAGAACGAAAAAAATTGCAACCTTAAGACTCACACGAGAGCAAAGATCATGGAGCTAGACAATAAATTTGCAAAAACATCTGTTCCGAGTAAGGTTTTAGTGCGTGTAAAAAAGATTCTTAATAAAGATAATTCTATTTTCAAGCTTCAACTTATGTAGTCAGAGATATTACAAACACAAAGAGCAGCCAATTTGTTTTTGAATATAAATGCAAACACCAAACAAGTATTAATATCACAAACAACATCAGTTATCATTGCATTCACCAACAATTTATATTCAGTCATCGCAATTATATAAAATTTGTTTGGGATCGATACAAATGACATGTGTTAATGCACAATAGTACGTCCTCCCTTCATAATAGTATGATATATAAGTTAGAAATTGCATATACGATGCACCAAAACGTACAAAAAACGCACGTGTGTTGTTTACAAAGTTGAATTTGAATTTAATGATAAATATAGGCGTGAGCAGTAGTGAAGTTGTGCCTCATCATACGCATTTTTGATAGCCTGAAAAACCAAATAGAAACACACAAATATAGTCAAACATACCCTAGCGATCTTATTAACGGGACAAAACCCACAATAGAGTAAAACACAAAAAAAAAAATGAAGGTTTATGCGAGTGATATGACAGAGTGTTGGGGATATTGAATTGGCTACACGTATGCTTATGCCAGCTCAGGAATTTGGTTTGAATGAAAACTGCAATCATGTTGTGATAAGTGGCGATTTTGATTTCAAAGAACCAACCAAGACAGTGACAAAGCTTGGTCAGAACGTTTTCTTGCTAAAATCTGATAGCTGTAGTTATGACCTGCATCATCAAACCTGAGAAATTATTCCGTTTCCGGGTGATGTTTGAAAGCAACATTTATGTCAATTGCTAATCTCCCTTTAATTAATGTTTCTTTCGTAATATATGTGAGTCTCGTAGGAAGAATTTATAACTTTGAAGGGATTGTCTTCCCTAAATTTTTTGATCCGTGTTTAAGATATTCATTCACGATGTCAGGCGTTTTAGTTTCTTACTGAATCTTCTGGAGATTATGTTTATTACATACAATATAGAAACTCTTCATACAATAGCTGCTCAAGTGTGCAACAGAATATAACCAAATGGTAGAGCCTCCTTGGCTACCAATTAAATAGATGTACCAAATGTAGCAATGTAACCACATGATTATATAATTTGTCTTTTCCTCTCCAACTCCAAAGAATTGGTGTCATGGAAAATGTAATAATATATTATTTATGTTATATCAACTTCTTTCGTCTGATTTCCTTAGCAGAACCCATAAATCTTCAATTTAGAACGAAAAAATTTGCAACCTTAGACTCACAAGAGCAAAGATCATGGAGTTGTTCAATGAACAGAGAATAGATTTGCAAAAACATCTGTTCCGAGTAAGGTTTTAGTGCGTGTAAAAAAGATTCTTAATAAGATAATTCTATTTTCAAGCTTCAAGTAAACAAATACACTAGGTTAAGTAGTTGCAGATATTACAAACACAGAGAGCAGCGGGTTTGTTATAAATCCCAACACTACACAAACGATAGCAAAAGAGGCGATGATCATCTCCTCAGCGACCTGTTTATTCTGTTTATCCACCGTGTAAGGTTGAAATGAAAACGATAACATCTTTTTCTTCGATTGTTGTCTCCAGCTGGCCACTTAGCTCCCAATCACAATCATTCACTAGCACCAGAACTCCAGGTCTCCTGCTCCAACAATTGTGATTTGTTTCATTGTTAATAAACACTTAAACCCTTGAATTAAGCTGATATATATATTCAAGAAGAAAGGCCTACTTAGTACTTACACAGTATCTCCTTTCAAGAACATTTCAGGCCTCTCTTTGATCACATTTGTACGAACCCAAGCGAGCAAATGCTTCATTGTTAACTAATTTAGGGGGCAAATAAGAAAGAAAGGGGAATAAGTAGAGAAAATTGTGAGCTCTATATACAACAATCATAATGATCCAAAACTTAAAAAATTGAAACTTACATCATCTGCTCCATTGGGCAAATCCACGTTTACTTTATGTATCTTTTTAGATTCACAGAGCAGCTCTAAACCGCCTCTACAGTTTCAAATGAAATGTTCACCGTTGTAAGATCAATCAGTGAACAAGAACTCAAAAGCAGAACTAAAGTGAAAGCAAAAACGCTACAAACAGTAAAATGCCTATTGATACCAAAGCATCACTGAGATTTCGGAAATGAATAATGATAAAGAAGGATAAATCTCACCCGAATTCAAGCGTCAATTGCATTTTCGTTGATGTTTGCAGAGAATCACAACTTTTCTAGGGTTTTCGTCTTTCGGCTTCGTCGTCACTGCGCAAGCAAATTTGTTGAATCAGTCGCTAATCTCCATAACGACGTCGTTCTGAAGGAAGATATATTGGGCTCGGCCCATTCCTTTTCCCGATGAATGATCCTGTGCTACGCACACGATAAAACCGACTCATCGCATTTGCAACCGTTGAATTTACGATCGACGGACACGATTAGGTCCTGAATTTTCACAACAAAATAGAGATGGTGCTTGCTTGATAGCATCCCCAGCAAACCGGCAAAACGAAATTCAGAGATTTAACGTGAATTGGATTTTTTTTCCTAATTTCTTCAGTGAATTAGAAATTCCAAAAGACCTTGCAATTTCTCGTGTTTCTAAAGCTCCATGGAAGCTTACAAGCAATGGGTTTGGAGGAATAGAGAGTATGTACATTCCTTAGGATCTCTTGCCAACGTAAGATTGATTTACGCTCCTTGTTAATATCTCTTTAGTTTTTTCCCAGCTTTATGTTTCGATTGATTACGCTCCTGAGTTTGTTTTGATTCTCTCTTGTTTATTAGAGACTAATAAACTGTGCCATTTTAGATCGAGGCGTGTCTTCAATTTTGCTTATGAGAGAGTAGTGTTTGGAATTGTGAAATTCGTTAGCAGTTGTTCTACATGATCATTTCGTCAATCGTCAAGGATCGAAACTTGTGTTCTCAGTGTGCTTATTTTTTGCTTTTGCAGGGATTGACATGGCTGCTTCCTGAGAAGTTTTCTGCTTCAGAGATTGGGCCAGAAGCAGGTTTTGTGAAACTTTGGTAACATTTTGCTATTATCTTTGTTTAGCTCCTTAAGTCTCTTCTAGGAAAACGAACTTGCTCTATGAATGATCAAAAACTTTAAAAGGATGTTTCTTTGTTTCGTGTATCACTCTTGTGCTTTGTTGAGTCCATAAGTGTGATTGTATTCGTCTTCTCTGTGTAGTGACGGCGTTTCTTGGGATATTCACAACGATCAACGAACACATAATTGAAAATGCTCCAACACCTCGTGGTCATGTTGGATCTTCATGGACTGATCAATCCCTTTCTTATCCGCTACTCATCGCCATCCTAAAAGATGTGGAAACCGTAGTGGAAGTGGCGGCTGAACACTTCTATGGAGACAAGAAATGGAATTACATCATTGTCACTGAAGCTATGAAGTAAGTTTGCTTTCTTCTGATCACTATACAACATAGAGCATACTTTGTTTGGCGTTTTGATATTGAAAATGTGGATTTCTTCAGGGCTCTCATTAGGTTAGCCTTGTTTCGAAATAGCGGGTATAAGATGCTTCTACAAGGAGGAGAAACACCTAATGAAGAGAAAGATCCTAACCAATCCCAGTTGCAAAATAGACCAAATAGTTTTGGAAACCAAAATCCATGGAACTTGGAAGGACGAGCAATGTCAGCTTTAACTTCATTTGGTCAGAACGCAAGAACAATAACAACGCAAGCAACATCATCTCCTACTACAGGTTGGTCTAGAAGGATTCAACATCAGCAAGCAGTTATAGAGCCTGCAATGATCAAGGAGAAGCGGAAAACGCTCTCGGAGCTATTATCTGAGAAGGGTGTGAAAGGAGCGTTGTTTGTGATTGGTGAGGTTCTGTACATAACGAGACCTCTCATTTACGTTCTTTTCATCAGAAGATATGGAGTCAGGTCTTGGATCCCTTGGGCTATATCGCTTTCTGTGGACACATTGGGGATGGGGATTCTTGCAAATTTGAAGTTCTTGGGAGAGAAGAGCAAGCAAATCCATTTCTCTCAACCTGAAAAGGATGAGGTTAGATTACTTTCTTGGAGCTCAGTTACATTAACATGTTTAAAACCGGTTTAGCTGAAGTTTCTTGGGTTTCGATTTAGCTTCGGAGACGGAAGCTGCTTTGGGCATTGTACCTCATGAGAGATCCATTCTTCACCAAGTACACTAGGTGAGTGTCTAATCCGGTTTAGCTTTGGTTTATAAGATTATGCTCTCTCGGTTAATAATAATAAACCGTTATGTGTGTGTGGCGATTGCAGGCAGAAGCTGGAAAGCTCTCAGAAGACGGTGGAACAAGTTCCATTGATCGGATTCCTCACAGGTTTGCTTTTAAGATTTCACAAGTTATAACTTATATAGTTTTTTCACTGTTTCGTCGTGTTTTCTTACATTTACTGATTTTGTCTGTGTGAAAAAATTGCAGAGAAAATTGTGGAGCTTTTGGTGGGAGCACAGTCACGGTACACTTACATATCGGGATCTTAAGGTCAAAAGCTGGCTTTTAGTGCAACGGAGCAGTATCATCGCCATTGTTGGAATGCTTTTTAGATCTTCGAGAGCTCCTGCAGATTCGTAGAGAATATGAATGTTTGTTTCACAGGGCTTTGTAAGAAAATTGCGTTTTATTGCAATTAGGACATAATCACACAAATGTAATTTGACGATGAGCTATAGAAATAGACCCACACACAAATAAAATCAACGTTTTCAGTGCTCAAAAAAATTTCATTCATAGTTACGACTTTTCAGTATGAGAATCATTACTTAATACTAAGTTTTATCTTATTTGGTGATAGATAGCTTTGCAGGATGATGAAATTATTGGACACTGTGTCTGTGTGTAAATCTAAAACCTTAAAATACGATCATTACGTCAGTTATACAGATCAGCCCAATTATTTATGCTGACGTGATGATATGCGATCTGTGCCAAAACATTGGTGGGCAGCTTAAATTACTATCTTATCCCTCAGTTGTGGGCCCGAATCTGTTTCCCGCGAAATGTGGACTGTAACCCCACTAGAATGAAGATAACCGGCTAAAACCGGTAAATAAAGTCTGAATTTTCGAATCGGGCTTACTTCTGATCGGATCCGTTCGTTTAGAGAGTGGTGGGGTCCAATAATTGGGCCTTTCCCTCAACATTGTGTGGTGTGACCGGAATTGGAGAGTAGGGTCCAGCTCAGGCCCACATTTAACCCGATTTTCGTTTCGTAGCCTTTTCTTTTCTGGTGGTAGGGCCCCGCTTTTCTGTTCATTTGTTAGGTACTACTTGGTTCAAACTTCAAACCGGTTTCAGAATTCGATAGTAGTAGTATATGAATCAAATTGAAAGTGAAACTAGTTTTGATTTGGTTAGTTATGGATGGTTACTAATTTGCTGTACTACAAGCTATGATTTTTCTATCATAATATTTCTTTCGTTTCAAAAGCTGATATTCGGTTTATTTGCCGGTTTGTTCCAGGGACGATGGATTATGGAATCCAGAAAAGGATTATTCCGTATACACACTAACTAGCTTTTCTTTTGGTGGCGCAGCCTTGTGACCTACATTGATGGGGTCCAGCCCCAAGGATGGGCGCTTATCTTTTTAAATCTTTATTTCTTACCCTTTCAACATTTAAGTATTCCAATCTTTTCAACGGTTAGAAAAATATAAATTCGACGGCTTGAAAATTAAAATTGAGGATGAATTGGTTAAGTTATGACAAACAAGGGTATTTATTGTGTCTGTTCAGGTTTACTTCTTCTTTTTGGCATAAAACCAAAACTGATTAGAGTCAAATACTAAATCGGTGTTGATGTATTATGGCTTCGTTTTAGCAAGTAAAATCTAATTTTGTAAACGATTTATATCACACTGAACTTCCATTAGCTTATATAGCATTACACTGCACACTGCTAGCAATAATAGTGATTCTCTTAGGATCATAAAAGTCTAAAACAAAAGATTTAGGAAGCAACAAAAAATAAACTTTTATTGAAAAGAAATAAAGTTTACTGGACCCAACAGAACAGATGGTCCCCAGATAGAAGATAGAAACCATAGAACGGGATCGATCCAGGTGGAATAATCCTAATGGCTCGCTAAAGCTGGTACAATACATCAGGAACCGTTGATTTTTTTCCCAGAGATCAAATAGCAAAAGTAATCTCACTATCTTCTTGCTATAAATATAGACGAGGCACATTTACTAAACACTCGAGACGAGTAACGCCGTTAAAACGATTCCTTTCATCTGCTTCACTCTGTTTTCGCTTTTACATCTTTCGTCGTCGTCATCTACACCGTCCGTTTTCTTTCAGCTATATTTTTAATGGCGACGATTAAGAAGTAACAAGTTGGAGCAAAAGATGAACGCCTAAGAGCCGTTGATCTAAGCATCATGAACGGCGTCAGAAGCCTGGAAACTTCTAAACCTTCTCAAGTGAGCCTCGAGCCAAAGTCGGAACCACCGTCGATAGAGGCGGCGTCGCAGCAGGTTCCGCCGATGTCAATGTCTCTGGCTCCACCGTCGTCGATGGCAACGCCATTGAAGAGAGCTTCGACTAAAGACCGTCATACCAAGGTGGAAGGAAGAGGGAGGAGGATACGGATGCCTGCCACGTGTGCGGCAAGGATTTTTCAGTTGACTCGAGAGCTAGGTCATAAATCAGACGGAGAAACGATTCGGTGGTTGTTGGAGAACGCCGAGCCTGCGATTATCGCCGCCACGGGTACGGGAACGGTTCCGGCTATCGCTATGTCGGTTAACGGAACACTGAAAATCCCAACCACGACGAACGCCGATTCCGATTTGGGGGAAAATCCGGCGAAGAAGAGACGAAAACGACCTTCCAACAGTGAGTATATTGACATAAACGACGCCGTCTCAGCTTCATCCGGTCTAGCTCCCATTTCCACAACATCGATTCAACCTCTGCAAGCTCCGGTATCAAACGTCGCTCAACAAACTCTGCCGCAAGGAATGATTCCGATGTGGGCTATTCCATCAAACGCGGTGATTCCGGCGGTCGGAGCTTTCTTCTTAGTTCCACACGTCGCTGGTTCGTCGAATCAACCTCAGATATTAGCTTTTCCAGCTGCTGCTGCTGCTGCTGCTGCTTCGCCGTCGTCTTACGTCGCCGCAGTCCAACAGGCTTCTTCCATGGCCATACCACCTCCTCTTCAAGCTGTTCCTAACAGCGGCGTGATATCCGCACCAGACGTCACCGGTTCAAAACCATCGTCGGTTATGGCTCCAAGCTCAAGCTCCGGCATAACAACAGGCGGTTCGTCGGCGGCGCACATGCTCAGAGACTTCTCGCTGGAGATTTACGAGAAACAAGAACTTCACCAGTTCATGACCACCACCACAACACGGTCGTCGAACCACTGAAGAAGAAAAGCCGAACGACGACGTATCAGTGAGCACCGGAGGGAAAAGGCACGTGGACACGTGAGGAGAGGGAGAGTAAAGACGCGCACGTGTTAAGTGGGCCTAGATTTTAGGCAGGTGTGGGGTCCATATCGTTGGTGGGTCAACACGCACCAAGAACGAAGAACGAAAAGCAGAGAGAGGGAAAGAGGCTCTGGCGAGTGGGAGGGGCCACACGGCTCCCACCTTACGCATAGCTTCCGAGGCGGCCAGGTTGGGTGTGGTCCCCATTTCGCTAGGGCTACGTGGTCCGTTCTTGTGAGACCTGTTTAAGCATAACTTTCGAAACGTTTCGTTTTGGTTGGGGCTCACCACTTTTTTTTAGGACTCTGCTTTTCGGTTTGTAATTACAAAATTTGCCAAAAACTTATTTATTGAAGCCCTCTAAATCTAATAGTAATAATCTTAGTCTGAACTCTGAAGTCATCATGGTCCACCAACAACAACAATTTGATATTGATGTTTCATTTTAATCTCTCTAATAAACACTAATGTTTGTTGTTTACTTTTTAAGATAAATTCTATTTCCCCCTAGGAGAGTGCTAAAAAGCAAAAACTTTGTTATTCCTTTTTTAATTTTTGTGTAAAGTCTGGTCCGTGACCGTGTGTGTGTATGATAGATTTTGATTGGCGGGACCTATAGTAGCTTGCTTGTACCACTGATACGGCGCGTCTCGTGGGGCCTGAGCTTTCCCACTCAAGGACGCGAGTTGGTCACCACCAGTTTAACGCTAAGCAAATAAATGAACAGACTGGCGTGGGGCCTACTTCTGTCTATTACATCTTTACCGTTTATCCTAACATCTCGTCCTAACCGTTGATTCTGTTTGTCCTATCATCTCCAATTCTCTCCATCGTCCTCTTCGTTTCTGAATCATCCCAAATGCATGATGAGAAGGGAGGGATATTGCTTGCTGGACATCAAGGAATTAAGCCTAAAGAAAAAAAAGAGAACAAAATGTGATATGTGCTTACATAACATTTAGTGGGTCCAAAATATTCTAAGGCCCATTAATTTTGCAGGCCCGATTTACACCGAATAGCCTAAACTTAGTGAATCATGTTTCGAATATTTCAAATCCAATGATGATGATAGTGTACTACTAAAGTTTTGACACGCGCAATTGCATTGGTATGTCGGCCAAATATATCAATATATCAATTTAGAAATGGATATATCAATTAACTACTTTGACAGTTTGATGACGGCAACGACAAAACAGCAACACATCCATTTGCTTATATTTCGATATTTTGGATATTCAATCAGAATATTATTTGAAATATACATATTTAAATGAATCGGACACAAATGATCTTAACAAAAGGGAAACCATTGACTTTCCAAATTTTAAACAAAGTTCACCTCCACAATTTTTGGATTATAAGTTCAACATGAAAATCAATCATATTAAACTAGAGGAAAATACGACGTTTATAAAGTCAGCAAACATCAAATAATATAGTTCCATTTGAGATTATTTATGAGTTTTTGTGACAGTCCATGACCATGCCGAGTCCATGTGTAATCATCATCCTTATAAGCTGCTTCCGTTGACGAAAACTTTAGAGAAACTTTAACGTGGCCCCGACTGCAATTACAGCTGCAATTTGTTCATTAAGCTAATTAGAATTAAGCTTTAAAATAAACTTTAACTGTTCAAAAGAACAATAATTCGGGGGATAATTAAATTATTTTATAGAAAGTTTAAAAAATAAAAAAGGATATTGGAAACAAACAAATGACAATCCACCACAAAGCAAAAGCGTGTACCAATCTCTCCCGCTCTGTCTCTCTTCTCTCTCTGTGCTCTTAGAGACACCGAGAATGGGGGATTCCGATTTGGCGTCTCCGCTGATCCAGCGCGATCAACCAGAGGTTGTTATCTCAATCGATCACGACGGCGACGACTCAGGACTTGATATTCCCGCCTCACGAAAACCCCTCGGTGAAAACGACGACGGTCGTGTTTCACGTGGTTTCGAATTTGACCATCTCAATCCAAGTAATCCTTTCCGGTTCCTCAGCGACGCCGAGCCTCCGGTTCTCGGTCCGACGACGGTGGATCCATTTCGGAACGACACCCCTGGAGTTTGCGGATTGTACGAGGCGATTAAGATCGTGATTTGCCTCCCGATTGCTCTGGTTAGACTTGTTCTCTTCGGGCTTAGCTTAGCTATTGGTTACTTGGCTACGAAATTGGCGCTCGCTGGCTGGAAAGATAAACACAACCCTATGCCTCAATGGAGATGTCGAATCATGTGGATCACTCGGATCTGTACCAGATGTATCCTCTTCTCTTTCGGGTGAGTTTTTTGCTTCCTCTGATTATTGATTGAGTCATTATAGAGAGATCGAATTGAGGAATTAGTTTGTAAATTGCTTCTGCAGTTATCAGTGGATACGAAGGAAAGGGAAACCTGCTCGGAGGGAGATTGCTCCGATTGTTGTATCAAACCATGTATCATATATTGAACCAATCTTCTATTTCTATGAATTGTCACCAACCATTGTTGCATCGGAGTCGCATGATTCGCTTCCATTTGTTGGAACTATCATCAGAGCAATGCAGGTAAGCAGCTAAACCAATACATATGTTGATGCTTATTGTGAAGTTTGAATTTTTTAAAATTTTTTGTTTTTGAAATTTTCTAGGTGATATATGTGGATAGATTCTCACAGGCATCAAGGAAGAACGCCGTGCATGAAATCAAGGTATAGATTTTCTGTGGCTTGTTTGATAATGTCTATAGTTATATTAAAAACTTTTTCAACGAGATTGGTTCATACTCCATTTTTCATGATCTGTGAACTTTTCTGTTGTTGAAAAGGATTCAAATGGTTTTTTTGTATTTGATACGCAATGTGCTTTCAAGGATGTAAATACAGAGAAAAGCTTCCTGCGATAAGTTTCCCCGCTTGCTGTTGTTCCCTGAAGGAACCACGACTAATGGGAAAGTTCTTATTTCCTTCCAACTCGGTGCTTTCATCCCCGGTTATCCGATTCAACCTGTAGTGGTCCGGTACCCCCATGTACATTTTGATCAATCCTGGTGAGACTCGTTCGTTCGTGTTTGTATTTTGTTTCACGCACTTTCTACTTCTAGGAAAACGAAAATAAATGTCCCTTACTAATGCTTATGAAACTTTCAGGGGGAATATTTCTTTGTTGATGCTCATGTTTAGAATGTTCACTCAGTTTCACAATTTCATGGAGGTAAGCAGTGTTCATATCGCCTAAGCGTACTTGATTGATTATACTCTGTGTTTTTCGGATTTTCACTTATTTGGATATTTGGTTTTGGTATTAAACAGGTCGAATACCTTCCAGTAATCTATCCCAATGAAAATCAAAAACAGAATGCTGTGCGTCTCTCGAAGAAGGTGTGTGTTGTGTTTTATGGAGATGGAGATTATTTTTCCGACATTTGCTACTTTTTTTATGGTGAAAAGTAGTTCTCATGCTATACTTATGAATACAGACAAGTAATGCAATTGCAACATCTTTGAATGTCGTCCAAACATCCCATTCTTATGGGGACTTGATGATACTCAACAGAGCATCTGAGTTAAAGCTGGTATGTGCAGCACTTATATAGCTTCATACGTTCTTTCTTATATTATGGCTCGTAGTTTCTTCAGAAAGCAGATTCCTTTGGTTTATTCATCTTAATTTTTTCTGTTGCAGGAGAACCCCTCAAATTACATGGTTGAAATGGCCAAGGTTGATTCGGTAAGTTTATCATCTAGTGCTTCTCATTTAAATCAAGGAGCATATATTAAACCACATTATATACATAATGTCCTGTATATATGCACCATCAAGAGAAGAAGTCCATTGTACATGCCTGTTTTTGTCTGCCTAGTGATTGTGTTGCTCTGTATTTGTTCCTTGCAGCTATTCCATGTAAGTAGCGTAGAGGCAATGCGGTTTTTAGAGACATTTTCTTCCATGAATCCGGACTCAAGGTAATGACTCTTTGTCCTATAAGTAACTAATAAGTGATTCCAGTTCTTGAGAGATCAGACTTCCCTACAACCTCAAGAAATTGATTCTTTTTGCAGTGGACGCGTTACGCTACATGACTTTCTCCGGGTTCTTAGACTGAAGCCTTGCACTCTTTCTGAAGGGGTTAGTTATATAATAATAAATAATTTTCTTGCATTCCTCTGTGTATCATCCTTTATTCCTTGGGAAAGTTACTCATACAAGCATACTGCTGTAGATATTCGGGTTCATCGATGTGGAGAAGGCCGGTTCAATCACATTCAGACAGGTAATTTCATGGAACCTCATGTAACATATAACATTTTATATGATTTAGTCATCTTCATGAAGAAAAAACATCCTTTGTATCTATCCTAATATCTCTTCCTTGTTCTTCTACCGATCTGTTTGCCAGTTCTTGTTTGCATCGGCTCATGTATCGACACAGCCACTGTTTCAGCAAACATGCGAGCTATCCTTTTCCCATTGTGACGCAAACGGAGATGGCTACATCTCCATCGAAGAAGTAGATTTTGTTCCTTCACCTCTTTTCTAATCTTTGCTTTTGGGTTTCTTATAACTTACTCTCTTGCCTTATCTTTGGCTCAGCTTGGAGACGCTCTCAAACAGAGAATGCCAAACTTGAACAAGGACGAGGTAAGTGTGATATATAGATTCATCCATCCATCTGAATCAAAATCCAAAAGTTCTATAGCTAAACGTTTGGGTTTGTCGCATGTGTCAGATTCGGGAGATGTACAGTTTGTTGGATGAAGACAATGATGAAAAAATCAGCAAGAGTGATTTCTTGTCCTGCTTTAGAAAAAACCCTCTGCTCATATCTATCTTTGCTCCTAACTCTGCTCCAACATAACACAAGACAGACAAAAAAGCTGGCTTAGATTTGCGAATCAGTGCGATGATTTAAACTTGTCTCTGTGGTGGTATCAATATATATACCTTTTGTGTTTTTGTCTTCTGATTTCTATTCAGATAGTAAAAAGAATGTCGAAAGAAGGGGCTGTTTTTGGCCTTATCCCCTCCATGAATGATGGACCCATCCAATGAGTTTTGTTTATAACTGCGTGCCGGTTTTTTCTACCCAAAAACAAAAACGCTATGGTGTTTGCTCATCTAGTTCTGAGCAAACATTACTGTATTTGTTGCCTTTTTTATTTACCTCTTTTTGGTCATTTTTGGGGTTACATATGTGTTTTTTTCTTTGTCAACTTTTGGGGTTACAGATGTATTATTATCCCAAATTTCGATTGTATCAGTGGATATATTTTTAATTAATTTACCCAATCTCTTGATGAATCATTAGTTTAATTTACTTGACATTTTGAAATCGGATTTTTTATACTCTTTTGCGTAGTGGAGGGAGAAGAATAAAAATCCCAGGTGGGGGAAAGCTGACGCAAGCATAGTTTATAGAGAAAAAAAAAAACGGATCATTAAAAATAGACAACGAGATTCTGAAGATGACATAAGAGCCGTCGGATGAAAGGGCATAGGGCGGTGCACTGCACGCTCTGTGGTCCCCTCCACAGAGGACGTGAATCTCCCCTGCCCCACGTGCCCGACATGTGTCGGTTCCTCAACTGGGAATTCCAAACCCTCTCCCCAATGGCCAAATCATATCTCTCCTTCACAGTCTCCAATTAACTTATTTTTAAATCTCAGTTCAATAATCATACATTAATAAAGTTTTTAAAAACAAAGGTTCTACTTGGCTAACAAGATATTATAATTTAATTTACTTGTTGATTTCTACTTATTTATTAATATGTTTCATAAGTGAATTAATGGACATGTAGATATCATTGGATTCAAATGAAATGCTAGTTAATACATGTGCAAATGTGTTGAGTCTATTGACATCTTATTTCCCCCAAATCACGGGTTTACAGAAAGTTAAGCAACTACTAATGATATCTTTAGTCTGTAATTTGTTTTTGTTTGCTAAATAGTGATAATTTGTCATTTGTTTTCGTTAGTGCCGATCTATGCTTGCTATTGGAGAAATATTCAATGATATCAATTGGTTTGGGTTCTATACCAGAGGTTGAAGTAAGGTATGGCGACCCTAAACTATATGACTTTTTCTTACTCTATCACTGAATGCTATTTAACCCAAATATTCATCATTTCTGATCATATCTACATGTCCATTGATAATGTCCACTAAATCTAAATGTACTGATTAGCATCATTATCAACCATGTTAGTTCCTCGATCATTGATTCTAATCTTTAAAGATTTTTACATTCAGCTGAATGCATCAGTGAATAATAGTACTCATACATCTTTTATGGTAAAAAGAATCTAAACGTTTTTTTTCTCTCTTTTGCCTAACTATCTGTGCGCATAAATTGCTTTACCACTGTAATGTTTTCAGCTACACCCTTGCTAGCTATGAAATTAATCAATCTGAAAGTTGATATCCATTAAAACGTTCAAACCGAAATTGTATATTCATTCTTACAAGATACAGTGATTAGTGAAGCTTCATTTGGAAGTTTCGTATCCATTCAATTATTCGTATGTATACTGAAATTGGCTTATACGAATACATAGAAACACCACGAATCAACATAGCGTTGGTGCGTGATTGCCCAAAAAAAAAGGTTTCTTGTCTTACGTTATTTTGTTTCGCAGTCACCAATGTTTATATCTAACATAATCCATTATTGCATGAGCTCTCTCTAGACTTTCACCCACCGAACCTAAGAAACCAAACTGAAATCACAAGATTGTTAGAAACAGTAGAAAACGAAAGGAGTAGGTTTCTGAACAATAAAGGAATCTGTCCTTTTTCCGGGGGCGCATTCGAAAGATTACAAATTACAAATGGCAAATCTATAAATATTTTATTTATTTTTTATCAATAGTTTCAGTATCCTAATTTTCGATACATAAATGGGTGATTCATACATATAAAGAAAGTGAATAAATGAATGGAAAATAGATTTAACCTAAAAGAGGAAGCAAAGAGGTTAAAAGAGGTAAGAAAAGTAGGTTCATACAGTTGCTATATTGTACTCAAATTTATTAATTTGGAGATACATAAATATATGTGCATTTTTTTGTTGGTAGGTCCCATTCATGACCAAAGTGTGGAGCACGATTTATCTTTGAAAATTAATAAATAATAAATATATTTTTGTCTCGGGATTTTTCGATTGGAGCATGAGAAAAAGTAGAAGGTGCGTTTTCGAATTATCATTGGCTAACCTTTGTACGTGACTGTACGGACGATGTTGATGTATTTCTAATATTATACGCTCTTTTATTGTTTCCCTTTTTTTGCTTCTTCTAATTCTTATCCGTTAAACCTAAAATTGATTTTACATATAAGTTTCTATAATGGCTCAAATCGAGTTTAAAAAAAAAAAAAAAAAAACTTGAAACATAAATTTATGATCCTAAAACTTACTAAAATTTACGTACTAGACATAGTTTTGGAAAACTCAAATTCAAATAACTCTGAAACATGTTATACACCGTTTTTATGGTGTAGTAGCATTCAGAGAAAACTTGTGACTGAACCACTACCAGATTTTAGCAATGTTTCAGTTTTTGTTTTAGGACATTTGAAAACGCCATGTACGCCCTCAAATCACAATATAACCATTAAGAGTGGTCAGTCATAACTGATAATGAAATACTTTGAAATACAATCTATTCATTTATACAATATGAAGTTTATAACTAGTGGAAAGTTAAGTCGGTTAGACTCACGACATTTTTATTTATTTATTTCAACCAGTTAGATGTGTATATATTAGTAACTATAATGTTTATAAATCTGAATTGGTTTGAAATTTTCCCTATGAACTTCAAATCCGGGTTACATATGTGTAAGCTAAAACAAACACAAACATATAAAGATAGAGACATTAACTCATAAATACACATCCACCAAAATACTTTCGGACCTGTCGGTAATATTTATTATATACATATAAGTTGGTTACTATAAAAAGTCACCAGCGAAGATGTTCATTTTTTCGAAATAAACAGTGTGTGGTCCTCCCTGTATGTTTATATATAAATCATTAGATTTCGATTAACCATTTTCTCTCCCAAATAAGGATATTTTCTTTTGTGCCACTAGCTAGACAAGACGTTCGATAAGCTAAATCATTATTGGATTTCTAAGTTACGCTTCCGTTAACGATTATAGAAAAATATAATGTTCTGTTATACTAGCTTAAAAACATAATTTCACAAAACGTTGAAAAATAAACAGATGTGTTTATATAAGTTGTTTTTTTTTTTTTTTTTTTTTTCTCTCAGTGCACTAAACAAAATTTTGGCTGTAATTTGTAAAATATAATTTGCCATCTATGTAGTTATCCTATTTTTACATATTGGATATCTTGTTTTCAGATCAACTACATGTGGGGCAATAGGGGTACTAGAGAGTATTTGTGTCCACACTTAATTCAAAAGATTTTTATCTAAGAGAATTATTATTATTATATTATAAAATTGATCTGGCAGCCAATTCCGTCCATTTAGATATTTATGAATGGAAAAAGATGTGTTTGTAAATATTTCCATATGTATCAAAATATGCTATTTTTGGTCGTTCTTAAGGCTTTTTTTCCAAAATAAGTAAAGGATGAGGTTTCAAGCGACCATCATATTTGCGACACATATTACTATTTGCTGCTATTATTTTATTATTTTTAAATACTTTTCAAAGGAAGAGAAAGAAATATTGTTCGACACCATTACCATAACTACAACGAGAAGAGGATCTTTTTAAGGAGAAAGCAGAGAGAGAAGAGAAGAGAAGAGAAGAGAGTGTGTGAGTTTTGTCTTTTGTTTCTTTTATTACACACAAATAGATGAAACGAGGAAAGCTACTTCTTTTGCTACTTCTATAAAAAGGTCCTTCCTTTCGCAGAGAATCAAGTTTGGTCATCTTCTTCTTCTTCTCATCTCCCTCCATTAATGCTCATATAGTCTCTTACATCTCTATCTATATAAACACAACAATCCTGCCTACTTTTTATTTTCTGTTTGCCTTTTTCTTCACAAGCTTCCTGGTTAGGTTTTTTTCTTTACCCTTTTGGCCATCGGTGAGATCTCTTTGTGATATATTTTTGTTTTCTTGTTTTGCTTTGTAGTCTTTAATTAGTTTGATGGATCTAAAACCTCAGATGGGTTTGCTTTCATTTTGTTCGATTTGATGTTTTGTTTCTTCCAATTCTCATGAAAAGATTGCATTTTTCATCTTTCCATTCATTTTGAAGCAATCCATCTCACAAATATGTAGATCAGACTATAGAAAAAATTGTACTTTAGATTGTTTTGCTTTTTGGGTACTTAATCTCTCGTTGACTTAATCAGTCTGCTCCTCCCACACACAAAAAAACAAAAAATAAAACAATTCCCAGAAAGAAGAGAAAAAAAAAATTTCCTATTTCGGTCACCTCCAATTTGTTTGAAAAGTTATACTCTAATCTGAGTCTTAAATAAAATGGGTTGTTTTAATTTATATGTGTGAATAATAATCATCTTCACTGCAATTAATTTTTTTTTGTCTTTTTTGTGTGAAAGGGAAAATAAACAAGGAGTAAGAGATGGTGAGGGGAAAAACACAGATGAAGCGAATAGAGAATGCAACAAGCAGACAAGTGACTTTCTCTAAGAGAAGGAATGGTTTGTTGAAGAAAGCCTTTGAGCTCTCCGTGCTTTGTGATGCTGAAGTTTCTCTAATCATCTTCTCTCCTAAGGGAAAACTTTATGAATTCGCCAGCTCCAAGTACGTTCCTCTTTTTCTATAAATTCTCCAGAAAGAAAGAGAGAGAAAGAGGGAGGGAGAGAGAGAGAAAGAATAATAAGATCTTTCTTATTGTCTTAATTTTGTTATCTCGTGGTTTATATATATGGATCTGTTGACTGTTTGTGGAATCACATCTCTTTGACGTTTGCTTTGAGAGGGTGTTTAACGAGTTTCTTGGTTTCTACAATCTTAGGGCTATTATAAAAGTAGAATCAAGTACCATCATCTTATTTGTTTTTTCTTTCACTAGTACATCATCTTATTTGTTTTCTTTCAGTAGTACATCATCTTGTTTAATCGCCTGTGATGTCTCTCTCTCTCTCTCACACATTTAGTTTCTAAAGTTCCTAAAAAGTATCAAAGAATTCACTGGCAAGCACAGTGCACTTGTTAACATGTTTGATCTTCTTAGATCTTAATTAGAGATCATGATCACACACACGTACAACTCCTAGAGCTTTGTATATAGTTTTCTCTTTCTTGGGTTTCTTTCAAATATCATATTTATGTTGCAAGTAGCATTCTTTTGGTTTGATATGATATACAATCTGGTTAAATCAATATTAATCTTGGTATTGCTCTAAGCAAAACATGGTGATGATGATTAGGAAGTTCTTTCATCATTCATGATAGATAAATCACTCATGCTCATTCCTCATTTAGTGCAGTTGATTTGTATATTTTGTTCCTAGCTGTTTCTCTGCCTGATTTTGCATAAAAGTCAAGCCAGAACCTAAATGTAGATTGTTTTGAGAATGAGAAAGGATCTTAACTTGTATTGTTAGTTAGAAGGGAAACCAAACTTACTTTTGATGAATCATTGCTTCTGTTTATGGAAATGGCCAGCTTTTTGATCAGATATGTTTCAGACAATTTGTCCATTTGGCGAAAGTACTGATTTTTCTCGACCTAATAAATAATAAATTATTTCACATGTTTTTGGTTATTCCAAAATGGCAATGAAGAAAGTACAAGACTTTTCATGTCCTTAAGTCTTGTGTTTACTTTGATTAAGAATTTATTTTCCTTTTATGTTCTGAAAACGATTGGGTTGCTTTCTTTTTACATTGTACTAATTTAATTTCTGCTGATTGTAGTTTCATGTTTGATGTTTTTGACAGTATGCAAGATACCATAGATCGTTATCTGAGGCATACCAAGGATCGAATCAGCAGCAAACCGGTTTCTGAGGAAAATATGCAGGTTAATTATGATCTTACCTACCAATAATTTTTTTATTTAATTGAAACGGTATGTGTATATTCTCATTGTTCCTTTTATCAAGTAAAACAATCACAGTCTGTATATAATCTCAAAATTACATATAAGTATCTCAATGTCACTTTTATCAAATCACATGCAATAACATTTTGTGATATAACCAACAGCATTTGAAACATGAAGCAGCAAACATGATGAAGAAAATCGAACAACTTGAAGCTTCCAAACGGTTTGTGTTATTATACAAACTCATTAACGCTTGTATGAGTGTAAGAGTTTGATCATATAAAGTGTTTTTGTTTGTTTTTGTATCAGCAAACTCTTGGGAGAAGGCATAGGAACATGTTCGATTGAGGAGCTGCAGCAAATTGAGCAACAACTTGAGAAAAGTGTTAAATGTATTCGAGCAAGAAAGGTATTTTTATATCCCCACATTATTGTTCTCCTGAATCACTTGCACAACCATTCATAATTCTAACTTAATTACTGATCATTTCTATTAGACTCAAGTGTTCAAGGAACAAATTGAGCAGCTCAAGCAAAAGGTAAAAGTAGTTTTGATTAGTGTATATATGTATGCATATGGTGGAATATTCCAACTTACTAATCCTCATGTGCCTGCTTTTTACAATTGGAATAAAAAAAACTTTGCAGGAGAAAGCTCTAGCTGCAGAAAACGAGAAGCTCACTGAAAAGGTACACTATAAATATAAGTCTAGTTAGGGTTGCATTCCGTAATTTTATTCGGTTAAAATAGTAAAGTTTGTCTCTCTTTTTTGGGTTATTCGATTAGGAGAGTCCTCATTGATAGTTCTTCTTTGTAGATCTTTAATCATTAGATTAGCTGTTTTAAAATCCCATAATGTTCTGAAGATGGTCATGACCTTGGTCTATGTATCATGTATTGTTCATTTTTCTTTGCATCTCTTAATTTTTGTGTGTATGTGTAGTAAAATTATATTTTCATTGCAGTGGGGATCTCATGAAATCGAAGTGTGGTCGAATAAGAATCAAGAAAGTGGAAGACGTGATGAAGAGAGTAGCCCAAGTTCTGAGGTAGAGACGCAATTGTTCATTGGGTTACCTTGTTCTTCAAGAAAGTGAAAAAACTATCCACTCAACAAAAAAATGAAACTAAGTAAAAAAACAGGTGTAGCAGTGAGTGTATAAGAACAAGTAACAAGCCTCTTTAAAGCTGCTTCTCTTGTTGTCTTCTCTCTCGCACTCTCTCACTCTCTCTTCTTTAATGATGTTCTGCTAAAACTGAAATATCTGTGTTATGTATCTATGTTTTACACTTCCCTCTGTAGAATCTAATTATGTTTCTTGTTCATTTTCGAGTTTTGTTTTTATGTATAAATTTAGCCTTGCCCCCTCGAAGTTATAGCAAAGTAACGATAATATGTGTTGGGATATGTACCAAAACGAACTAGGGATGCAATACAACTTCTTCAAAGACCTAAATGTAGGTTACAATCGCATTTAATTTGGTTCCAACAGAACTGATGATACGCAGATCTATAGCTTACTTTTAGCTCAGCCTTACGATTCCTAACGATACCAAACGAATTATAGAGCATACTCACTAAATAGGTACACTAAGTCTCTTGGCTTACTTCACCAAAACTTGGCCACTAAAATCTTTAATCAAGAACTTTTTTTCTTTTTCTTCTTCGATTCAAAAAGTTTCATATTTATGAACAATGAACTTATATAAACGGAAACCAAATCAACTTAGTTTGTTTCACTCTCTGACGTCCAAATTCGAATTTGTGGAAGGTTCCTTGAATTTACAAAAGTTAGGTGTTTTTTCCTAAGAATATTTTCAGTGTATTTAGGGAACCTAAATTTTGTTGGGAATTACCCTTTAAATATTTTCCCAACCAAAAATACACTGAAAATATATAAAATACACCATCAATATCAGATAAGTATAAAATACACCATCACACCAAATGTTTTAGAGACTGATATTGGTTTGTGATTTATAGAATCAAGTTACTAGCAAAGGCTATTTTTCAAATTATTTATTTTAGAATACCTTTTCTAATCATGAAAAAAAATAAAAACTCCAAGTGAACCCACTTATATTACTGTAAAATTATATTTTAAAAAGCTAGTTTTGAGAGAGAATACCATTTTAGTACTGATCGTGATTAAAACAAAAAAATTACATTGTCTCTCGAACTTAAAAACAGTCAAATGTAACTTTTATACAAAAAGGAAAAAAAAGAATAGGGCTTTTAAAACGTAAAAAGTCTGAGAAGAAAGCAAGCCCTTTAACCAAAAAAAAAAAAAAAAAAAAAAGTCTGAGAAGAATAAAAACTGTATCAGCCTACCTAGTCACCGCCCTTGTTGATATTCCTTTTAGTAATGTTGTTTAGATAACAGATTGTCAGATTCAGATACACATGAAACGAGCTATACAGTTTATATTGCTGTATATAAACAGCATATGCTTTGAACATTGATTTTGGGCCCATAAACTTAATTTGCAAGGGCCTACTTGTAACAAGGCTTACTTAACGATAAAAGCCCATTAATTTTTAATGAGTCATTATTAAAGGCGAAGCTTTTAGTTGTTTTTTTCATAAAAAGAAAATTAAAGAGTTCTTGAAAAGACGGATCGGTGAGGTTTTGCCAAGCAAACTAGAAGAGCTCTCTCGAAAGTCAAATCAAGTACACAGCAATGTGGGCCCAACTACATCATTGCTTTCTGTTCCAAGGATACTACGTGACATGTTGTGATTCGTTCATATTTAATTACAGCTTACCTTAAATGTTGTTTTGGAGTGTCAGTTAAAATTTCATTATTCACCCATTTGTTTCGGAAGTTCATTACTTTACTACGCTGCAGTCTTTGCAGATAATAGTTTCAGATTCTTTTCGAAAATGAGTGTTAGTAAAACCCAAAAAAAGGTTTAAGATCAGCTGAAAACAAGAGTAAAATTGTTTAAAGAGCCACATGCGAAGAAATTCACACGAGGTGGAAAATATATATCGCACCGGAAAATGACAAAAACCTAAGACATAATATAAGTTCCTTTTTTTTGTTATAATAATAAATAAATAAAAAAGAAGATAAATATAACGACTTTAGAGCTGAGATTGGCGTGACCGTTGCATCGTGGTCTAGTCAACAACAGGTCAAAGTACCCAACCTTGGACGAAATTGGTCCCACATGCCTCGTTACTCTTGGATCCCGAAGACCCTTCACCTTGTACGTAGTAACGTTGTTGGAACCTGTTAATCCAAGTACCATACTCTAGTCTTATAATCACAACATATAATTTGAATGTCTATACATTGTCATAAACGATGAAAAGTGATAAATAGTTACCCTATTTGTAAAAAAGGTTCGGTGTTGCAATCCATTGAATCATGATGAGAAGACTGAACCGGAAATTCGGGATTGTTAGGATCACCGCCCACCGATGCCGCTGACGAGTTTGGCCACAAGTCTTGAAACATTTTGAAAGCGTGACCTTCGGTCTCAAACTATATATTGACAACAAATTAAAAAACTATAAACGATATTTATTTCTAGACATTATACTTTTGCGATCTAAAATGATCAAAACCTTAATCTTGAGTTGTTTATTTATGTCTCCGAGTTGCCTCTCCTGCGATTTTAAAAGTAGATTGATTGGTGAGCATAAATGTGTAATAATTTGGTTTGCAACACTAACAATTGTATAAAACTTGCCTTTTTCCGAAGATCTTCCATTTCTTCCATCATAACTTGTGTCTGCATATATATTAGTTGCATGGTCAGTTATAATATTATCTACTTTTTAAAACAAAAAAGTGGTTAAGATCATACAACCTTGCGCTGTCGAGTCGCGGTAAGAGCGGCTTCGAGCTGCCTCTCCAGCGTTTGCAGTTCCTTCACACTCATTTCTCCAAGATCTTCTCCGAGCAAATGCCTTATTTATTAGCAATCAAACATACATATCTATTAATTGTGAGATTGGCATATACATAACAGAATATGCAAATAGTATTTAAAGGGTTTAGAAATCTATTGTTAGACCTATTAGTGCGAACAAGAGATTCGTATTTGGATTTAAGCTTTGTCAGCTCCTGACACCAGCTCTGCACCATGCATATAGATGATACATATAGTGAATTTCATAGTAACAAACGAATTTAGGTGAGGAGAGATCTGATTAAAATAAGAGACATTTATTGTACATGTATACAAAGATATACAATATACTTGCCTGTGTAGACTCTTGAGGCTTATTATTGCCCAGAGAACAGTTGTAGCAACGATGATACCGTTCGATTGTTCTTTCAACTGATCTACAAATTCAATAACAAGGAAAAAGAAACATCTCACGAGAGCTCATTGGTTCAATTATGTATTATAGTAATATATTCTTAGCTAGATCTGACACGCAGGTCTAAAGGGAAAACCCTAATTTGGGAAGAAAACCCATTTACACTTTGACAGCTTCGAGATTACTGAATCAAAGGAATCAAAATCCAAATTTTATTACAAAAGCAAAGTAGGACGTACGGACGACCCGTTAGCTCATAATAATGGATCCAAGAAAGAGAGAAAGAGAAAAAAAAAAAAAAAAAAAAAAAAAAAAGAGAGAGATATTATAAGGATGAACCCTAGTTACCTTAGGATAAAAGACACAACCACTAAAAAATAAAGAATACCCACAGGACAAAAACACGATCAGATCCTGGAATCGTACGATGTAGCCAGTAATAAAAAAAACCATTTAATCATCAATTTCAGTACAGAATCTAACTTTATCGAGTAAAAAGAGCTAAAATGATAGATTAAAAGGAGAAAGGTGTGTATTTTACCCAACACTACCGAACTCGTAGAGCTTGCCACGGCTAGAGAATATGATAAGAGCAACTTCAGCATCGCATAGAACAGATAGCTCATAAGCTTTCTTCAATAAACCATTTCTTCTTTTTGAGAAAGTCACTTGTCTGTTGATTTTGTTCTCTATCCTCTTCATTTCCACTCTCCCTCTTCCCATCTTTCTCTCTCCTTATTCTTCTTCTTCTTCTCTTGTTAACTTTTCTATAAGTATATATCGAAAGGAATATATGTATCGTACACGATAACGCTGTTTTAATTTTTATTTTTGTTAAAGGAAAACGTGTTTTCATATATAAAGTTATAAACCCCTCTTTTAAATTTATGTTCTTGTTGTTAGGCTATTATGGTGAATATATCTGTTATTAACTATTTCCCGTTTTTTCGACTGTCCTAAGTATGTGATAGTGTGATACCAACAAATGAGATATTTTCTCTCTCTATTTTGATATAAATAATCAAACAATTCAATAAATGTGGCATCAATATTTGATGGAACAAAATGATAACTCTGTCCTTGTAGTTATAGCTAGATAGCTAATAATGGAAATCTGCTTCTAACAGTTGGACCATTTGAAATTTATACTCTGTTCTTTGCTTTTCCTAGAGCTTGAAATTTCAAATTCAAATTCTTTTTCTTTTTTCTTTTCCAGATTTTATGGATCATGTCATGTCCATGCTAAGAGTGTATTTGTTTGTGTAAATGAGGAGTGAATACTGAATGTTCTTATAAATAAATAGACAAGTGTGGTTCTCTTCTGGGGAAGAATAACCGTGACTAATATATTTGGTTAAAATGTCTATTTAACCTAAAATTGAACGAAGTTAATTACGTGTGAAATGAATGCTGGTTAATTTTTACTTTTTTGGAAAGTTAAGTTGTCAAAACAGGGAATCGAAATTCATCATTGTTCTTGAAGCTCTCATGCAGTTAGTTAGAAATAGTAAAATGTTAGCTAGGTCAAAAAGGTTTTAAAACGAATCCCATGTTATGTTTTTGAAATGATTTGAATTTTTTTTTTCTTAAACAGATCTGATATTATACACTAATAAGATACCGAAGCTCTGCAATAAGTAAAATTAAGTTTTACGAAAAAAAACAAGTGAAAATAATCATGAGCTTACGTTTATCGGAAAAGAAAAGAATCATGAAATCATACGTAAGGCCTCTATAATTCGTACTGTGGGTCTTATTTTATTTTTAACCTGTCAGTCAACATGTCAGTGTCTCGTGGTCTTATTCAAAACTGAATTCATACTCATCATCTCCACATATATAGAGAAATATTATCTTCCTCCGAGGTTCAAAATTATTTATATATCTTCGTCCAAGGCCCCATAGATGGAATCGTGGAATTTGAAAACAACAAACAAAAAAATGTTACATTTGTATATATATCTTGAACTACAAAACACCTTTACTGATTGTGTAGTGATTATAACGTTATCATGGACGATGGAACTGTTAACTTGTAATCCAGCAGTTTTGTCTTATTTTTTACATTATGTTGGCATTTTGACACATTGCTGTTTTTACAGCTGTTTTAGTTATCGGGATCTCAAAAGAATAAAAACTTGTAAAACATTAGTGGAATTGGTTTTTTTTATAAACATTTTTTTTCTTTTAAAGGCTTCTTTATAAACAACATATTAATAGTGGAATACGTACTTTTTTCGAGTTTGGTTGGTATCTCAATAACAATAAGAGTCGACTATGTATATAAAAGCAAAATCAATAACTGGACTGGACACTGACCCAAATTATCCTCGTAGTGTCTAATCGAAGAAAATAAAAATGGAAAAAGTCGTTTGTGTAGATGACATCAAACCATTTATGTTGGGACGAGTTTCATTGAACATGGCATCATGGTGGACAAAATTATAGAGCTCTACTATTTAGTATTTCCTTTTTTAAAACAAGCCAATGTACATGAAATTTAAATACATATCCGATATATCACCAGTACTTTATAGATATTTTCATTTAGAGACAAAAAAAATGGAGAATATCAATTAATTTGTTTATTTATAAAAGATGTGAAGGAAAAGGAATAGGTGGTGGTGGTGGTTAGGGGCATGCCAAATACGGAAAGGGAAGCAAAGAAGATCGGGCAGTCTTTGTAGTTTCACACTTTTCATTTTTTAGTAAAATTCTTTACTCTCTCCAACTTCTTTTTTTCTTTCTCAAATATAATTTCCTTACCAATTTTTCTCTCCTCACAACTCTCGTGGAAACGGCACTGCAGCTTCATGTGAGGTGTGGGGTCATTGCGCCTTATCTTCTGAATGTTACCGTCTTGACTAATCAAAACAATCAATGACCCCATTTTTGTTATCTTTAAATACATTTTTTGTTGTTCTTAAGAATGAAACAAAAGGAATTGATAAAAGAACTGTGTTTTTAAAATATATCTTCATCATCAGTTTTGTTAATTTTGGTGTGGAAAATGTCAAGTTCGGAGCCAATGAGCCGCCATAATTGTCCCTTCTAATCAATTTACAAATCTGTGTGAGAAGAAAATATAAAAGGGCCTTGACAAAGAGAAATCAATAAAATTTGGAAGACCCATAATATGTACAAAGGCCCATTAAGCTAAATAATTGTGGGCTTAAAGCAGCCGGAATATCAGTTAAGTCTCGTTGACACTAACTTCGTCGGAGAGAAATTTCTGGAGAGAAAGAGAGAGAGAGAGAGAGAGAGAGAGATAATGGCAGAAGCAGCGACGAGAAGACAAGGCGGTTGGAGGCAACAATTGCCGCCACCTCCAAGAGGCGTTAACCAATCTGCTCTTCCTAAAACTGAACCTGTCGATCGTGAGAAGGTTAGTGCTCGATTTCCGGCGAATCATCTTCAGAGTTTTCTAGGGTTTTTCTTCTTTCAATTCACTGATTTTCTTTCTTATTGATCTTCGAAATCGCAGACATGTCCCCTGCTTCTTCGTGTTTTCACCAAGGTATGTTGATTTATCGTAAATTGATCAATCAATTTGGCTGCTGCTGTGGTTTAGTGTTTTTGAAAAGAGATCGATGTCTTGTTCATTCGATTTGAAGATTTGAGAAATTGACTTGCAAAATCGAGAATTGATGATGGAAGCTAGTTTTATGCGTTTAGCTGAGTCTCTACTGTATTTCCATTGCAGAGTGGTGGCCATCACACCAAGGAAGATTATGCTGTGAGAGGCAAAGAACCAAAGGATGAAGTTCAAATTTACACATGGAAAGACGCCAATCTTCGCGAGCTAACAGATTTGGTATGTATTTACACTAACCATGTGCTCAATTCAACAATAAAGCAGCTTGCTTTAGAGATGATTGTTTGAAATATGACAAATTTCAGCTTAAAAAGTGATTACTTCACACAAGCACAGTGTTAAAATTACGTTTTCATTGCAGGTCAAGGAAGTCTCTGTAGCAGCTAGGAGAAGGACTGCAAGATTATCTTTTGCGTTTGTTTATCAAGACAAGAACGGTCGCTTTACTGTCAGACAGGTAACATTACTCTTCTTCACAAGTTTGATTCTGTATCAGATAGGATATAAGTTATGAACATTGATGAAGTTTCTAGGTTTCTCTGCTAATTAGTTGCATAGCTAACGATATGATTCAGAGTTTTAGCAACAATGGCTCAATAGTGTCCTGAAATGTCTTTTGTTATACTATGAGACATTGTCGAAACATTAGCTAGTCACTACAACACAGTTATTTAGTTTGTTTTATATATTTTGTATCCAAGGACTCATGAGAAGATGCTGATCTTGTGATTCTTCTTGTGAATTTGATAAAGGTTGGTCAGACGATGTCTTATCCTAACCGGAAACAGCCAGACGACAGCAAAACGCTCTCTGACCTTCACTTCGTGGTAAGTTAAAACACTACGAAGATAATCTTTTGGATGATACGATCACCTTAATCAAAATCTGTTGCCCAAGTAGCTAAACTGCAATGATTTTATCATCTTTTTTTTTGCAGATTGGAGACTATCTGGATGTGGCAATTTACTAGGATGAGGTTTCTGTTTCTAGCCAAGTGTGTGTGCACAAGGAAAGAACACATTCATGTTTGTTCCCATTTCAAACTTCGTTTAGACGCATTTATGTATCTTTGGATCTGGTTTGCACTAATGCTTTAGTAAAATATCCCTACTTTTTTTGTTACTCGTTTTTCTATCATAAAAAACCAAAAAAAAAGTAAAAGAGCAAACATTTTATAAACAAAATCAAAATGACACCTATTTGTCAAAAAAGAGAGAGGAGATGAGCAAAATGGTCTCATGTAGACGTTTTCAATGAGCCCATTTACATGCATGCCGGCGAATCATCTTCAGACTGTTATTTGGGTCTGAGGCTCTTTAATGATATGGAACAGATGGATTTTGACTCCTTGAGTTACATGAAACTTAGCAACCAAAGGAGAGCCTCCTTGTGAGTTGTGACTTGTGAGCATTCTAATTTTTGTGTTTTTTTCATTTTTATTTGAAAATTCATTGTCTGGTCACACAATAACAAAAAACAGACACGTTTCATCTTTACGTTCTTACCCATTTCAGATAAAAGCTTCAACATTTTTTTTGTTTGGGGTCGCAAGCAAGAATCCAAAAACAACCAAAAAAAGGAAGAGAGCGAACCTAACCATAATATATATACAAGCTCACACGAATCTGATTCAAACTTTTGAAAGTTAATTGTGGGCTTGGCTATTATTATCTCCAGGGAGATATGGTTCGAAAAGCTTGGCACACGGGTTAGGATCTTGATGCATAATCTTTGCAGCTCGTTCGAACTCTTCCCTCAACACTCTGATACTAAACTTATCCACGACCCTGCCAAGATCATGGCTCGTCTCAAACGGATCCTCTATGCATATCAAGTGCCTATCGTTCCCCACTCTTCTCGTCCAGTCCTTCTCTCGCTTCCTGCAACACACTCAGAGATTCATGTTTCCACATTGTTTCACAGCAACACTTGCTAAATCAGAAAAAGTTTAGTGTGTGAAATTTACTTACCCTAGTATGGAACCAGTGCGGACGGATACAACAGTATTGGCATAGTCGTGACCATATGCCCAGTAATTGAAGAATCCCCAAACCAGCTCTGCTATAGTCTCCCTGTTACTAGATCCGAAGTTCACGAGTCTATCAACGCTATCAAAGTACGAGCACCGGATATTATCAACCCTCACTGAGTACGTTGGTTCCATTTCCTGCACCAAGTCCAAAAGCCTTTCAATCAAACAGCAAGATTCATTTACATTACATTACATAACAGACAAGGATATAGATAGTATTACACACCTGTAAGCAAGGAAGAATTGGCGGCCTACGCATCTGTAAGAAGTGAATGCACATCAGAACGTACCTGCAAAGTTCCATATATAAGTTTTTTGTGCAATACCGAAAGTAACTTCATTTAGAACTATGGAGGAGAAAGAACTTACGCGTAGCTGGAGAGTGTTCCTTGATAAGTTTCATTAACTCTTCTAGACTTTGCCCAATGTTTCACTATGAAAGCCAACTGCCTAAGACGCACATCTATCCGCGCATAATCTCGCAGGAGCTTTGTGTTCACAACAGCCAATACATTGTTGATGCAGATATCACACGATATACCAGTAACCGGATCCATCAGCTTTGCTATTGGAACCCTGGCTCGTGTCAGCGCCTACACAATAACATGTAACCAAGTATATAGCCACAAGATTCATATCCATACAAAGAGAAGTAGTAAGTACCTAATCAACATTTTCATATATAAGAAAAAAGAGTTTATTGTACCTGCACATTTTGGAAATTATCTGCTTCCAGATTCTCCGCCAGCTTTAATAGCATATCAGCTTTGTTGATATCATCATCTTCGATTGCAAGGCAGACATCAATGTCGCTCTTTGGGAAACCAAAAGAGTTAGCACATGAGCCGTAAAGATACAGCTTTGCATGAGGCCATTCTTTGGCAACTAGATTCTCTAGCCGCGCCATTAGTTGTTTCTGCTTCTCCAGCTCCTCTTCCGCAGGAATCAAAGACTTGTACACTGCCATGAAAGGAGCGTCATGCCTACGGATGTCATTTCTACATGCCATATTCCTTTTAACCATTCTTAACCTTTGGCCAAGCAGCCACTGACCCCGATTGTCCACTCTCGATTCCTGATAACAAAACGCAGACTTAGACTTAGACAACATTCGCAACCTATAAAAAAGCCTCCTTTCTAATGTGGAAATAGATTTCACAGAGCTAGTGATTCGTTATATCCTATATTACAAAGCTTACACACAAACTGAAACTAACCTTTTCACGACATTTCTTCTTCTCATCTTTGGCATTCTTATCGTCAGTTTCATCTTCAAGCAGTAAAGATTCAACAATATCTTCTCCAAAGTCCTCAAGTTCATCATCACCAGGGCCAAACTCCCCATTGCCTTCCTTCTTTCCCTTACTCAACTGCCCTGCTTCTTCTTTATATTGACCTCCACCACGAGCTTCCTTGTTCAACATCGAGAACGAATCCTCAGCATCAGCTGCGGAAACAGAATGTAGATTTGTACTCATAGGTGGTCCAGGATGATCAATCTGTTGACCAAGATTGAACCTGCTCTCGTTCTGGATAGATAATCTCCTTAATCTATCATCCTCAGCACTTAAATCAACACTTCTCTGAAAATTACCAATCACTCTATCACCATCCTTACTTCCCAAATCCCTATCCCATCCCCGTTGGTTACTCGAGAATCCAGGAGGAGGAGGAGTAGGATTAGACTTGACACCCCTGCCGTTATTCCCAATGGGACCCCAGTTTCCTCTTCCGGCGAAACCTCCTCTGTGTTCATGGTGGTTCCGAAGATGAGGCAAGTTTGGATCCGTGATCGAATTCGGCACAACGGATTGGGGATTTCTCATATTGGCAGAGCTCAGATTAGAATCATACTTCAAGTTCCCATTAAGTAACCCATTGAGGCTTTGAGCAGCATCTCCGGAGAAAGACCCAAAAACAAGCTTCCGGTTCTCTGATTGCGGCGGCGGCGGAGGCTGCGGATGTACCATCGACGGCATTGCGTGATTTCCAGTTCCAGTAAGCCCAATTGCGTGGTTTCCAGCTCCAGCAAGCCCTAATCTATAAGCATCTTCCGCGGACACTCTTTGATTACCGTCGAATTGGTTCGTGAGGAAAGGGTTAAGCGGGAATTGAGAAAACCCTAACAGATTGGGTGAGAGATTAGGAGGTGAAAAGGCGAGGGGCCAAGGAGGAGTATGCGTACCCGGTCGATCACGACCGTTGGACGGCCAATTCGACGGAGGAAAGTCATTCACGGTGGGACCAACTGCTGCAATGGCCGGATCGAGAGCGTATGACTGAGACTGATGCTCGGGTCTGTTGTTCTGCTGGTACGGTCTTCTATGCAAAAGCGACAACAGAAACTCTCCGCCGTTTTCCGAAGGTGGAGCTGGAGAGTCAGCCCCACCGTCCGCCATGGAGTATAGAGAAATAAGTTATTAGCGAGGAGGTGGAAACACTTTGAGGAAGACGAAGTTCTCTCAATGTTGAATGACCCGATCTCTTAAAGGTGACGATCTCATGTGTATTTTTATATATTCATCCTATGGCCCACACATGATATATTGACCGTTCGATGTTATAATTTTTTCACAAGTTTGACTTAAAAAATCGAAATACTAGGTTTAATTTTGATTAGAAAGATTTAAAAGTGTAATCTTAGATTTTGATTGGTAGACACTGTCATTCAAATAACGGAAAATACGAAATTATGGAATAGTTAAATTATTAAAGCAGAAAAAAACAATATTTACATATTTAACATTTTTTTTTTGGCAATACATTTGCAGAAGATCATAACAATGTTCAATGTAATTAACGACGACGAAGTATCGTTAGTTGATAAAATCTCTGATCATATTAAGAAGAGCGACGGCTCGCCGTGGATCAACGAGCTCGATTCCATGGAAGCCGGCATCGTCAAACCGTGCTTCAACCTTTACTCCAGCCGTAACCAGCAAATTCACGAAGTCTTGTTGCCGATCAACCTCCGTGTCTCCGCCGTAACCGATGACCAGACACCGTCCCAAACGCCCCACTTTCTCCTTCTGCGGCAAATAACCCAGCGGATTACAGTACCTGTGATCCCGATCAACGCCTTTCGGCAAAGACAACTCCCACATTGCGTCGATCGCCGGCACCGGCATCACCGGATCGGCGAAATTCTTGATCTCCGATTTCGTCCTCGTTTTGCCGCCGAACAACGGCTGATAAAACACGAAGCCGTCGATTTTCAACGGCGTTAAATCGTGGTCCAGCGATTTCAGCGCTAATTGGAATGCGATGTTAGCGCCGTTACTCGAGCCGCAGATGTAGCACCGTGAGAAATCGGCGTAGTCCTTAAGCCAAGGCTCTCCGTTAGTTGAGTCAACGGACTGTTGTTTGACCCAGAGCAGAGCGTCTAATGCGTCGTCGTATTGAGCTGGGATTCTATGCTCTGGAGCTAAACGGTAGTTAACGGAGACGATTATCACCGTTAATTCGCTCGCCATCTGAGAGCAGCCGCGGTTGTTCGCCGGGGAGTTGGCTGGGTAGAGAATCCAACCAGAGCCGTGGAGATGGAGGATGATCGGGAGACGAGCGACGGCGTTGTCGTTGGAAGGGAGATTGGTTGGTCGGTAAATCCGTACCGCTAAACCGGTCTCTTGGTTAATGGTGACGTCTTTGGAGGCGGCGAGCTTTCCCGGTGATGGTTCCGGGTCTGGATTAACCATCGGGTAAACGAAGTGGCGCGTGCATGAGCCATTTGGGTTGATTGTGATGTTGAGGTGTTTGTATGGATCAAATGATGGACGAGTGTCACCACTTGACATGGTTTTTATTTTTAACTGCGTGATCAATGGTTTATTAACGGTAAACTTTGATTACGAAGCAATGTTGGGAGTTCTTTTGTTTTATTTTGTTGTTGTTGTGTGTGTATTTTTGTTTGTTAAATGGAGCTTAAGATGTGATTAGGATGAATGCACGGACTAATTTGTGGTCATTATTTTTTCGCATTTTAACGATGTTGACTAATTCAAGAATGTTTTGATATCGTGTCTAAATGAGGAATCGTGTTTTACATTTGCTTGTGTGTTTGGCTGAACAACAGTCCTCCCAACTAAATTAGATGAAACTTTGATTCAAATAACTAAATAGCTACAAAATGACAATCTATTTCTCTATAAGTTGCATGTACGTAGGTGGTGAAACCGTGAAACTATGGTTAAAAGTTGGACACATAATTAAGTTCCAATAATGTAATTTGTTCACCATAAATATTAGTAGGATTTTAAAGATGTAACGTTTTGATGGCGAGTATCATAAATTTACATGTTTGCTGATCAAACGTAGATCACTAATGGATGATTAGACACGTTCACTGTTATCATCTAATCGGGTTTTACATTTGGATAGACACAAAGCAGCAGCATGCAGTACATTTTTAGGCCACACATCATAAACCTGAAATATTTAGAACTCCAATCGAGTGAAAACAGTGAGAACTACATATTAATTGCAGGAATTATTGATTATTAGCTAGATAAAAGCATAAAATATTTCAGATCGGACCACTACTACATGTTGGACGATGTAACAGTTGGTGTTGTTGTCGAAGAAAGACTCTTCATGAAGGCCTCAACAGTGTCGTATAAAGCCTTGGCTTTGGTCGGATCAAACAACTCACATGCGTGAAACCCATCTTTGTCAAACTTCGTCTCCACGTGGACTCCACGTGCCTTGAGCATGTCCGCCACGTGTCTCTGTCGATCAACCAACGGATCGCCACCGTAACCGTTAATGAGAGTCGCCGGGAAACGTCCCATCTTCTCAATCTCCTGGGGCCCACTACTCTTGATCGGGTTGCTGTACACGTGGTCGCGATCTACGCCCTCCGGCAAACAAAGCGACCAGAGCAAGTGAGTAGCTGTTAACGGACAGATCCGATCGTCTTTAAGACGTGACTCCGAATCCGACGGCTCAACGCCACCGAAGAAAGCTTGGTTCATTATCAGCCCTTGGATCTTCAACGGAGAGAGATCAGTGTCGACGACACGCAGCGCGACGCTGTAGACGATGTTTCCTCCAGAGCTCGAACCCATCACGAAGCATTTGGAGAAGTCGACGCCGTCTTTCAACCACGGGTCGCAGTCGCCGCCGCTGGTAGCGCCACGAGCTTGATCGCGGAGCCACAAGATTGCTTCGACGCCGTCGTCGTACGCCGCCGGGAGACGGTGTTCCGGAGCTAGACGGTAGTCGACAGAGAGGATCACGGTTTGAAGACGATCGGCCATTTTGCTGCATGATTCATGGAAAGGAGCAGAGGCGGCGCCGTAGAGGATAAATCCGCCGCCGTGGTAGTAAACGAGGATCGGGAGTTTGGTTTCCGGTGGAACATTCCGGGGCTTGAAGATTCGGATAAAGGTTTTGGTGGTTGGGTTTAATGGGATGTCTTTGGATTGCTCCGTTGGGGGCAGTTTGGGAAAATCACGGTGTCTCGTGAGAGACCCATCTGAGTTAAGTGAAATGTTGAGGAACTTGTATGGATCGCTTGAAGGTGGTGGAGCTTCCATGGATGGCTTCAAAGAGATATGTTTCTGTGGTGAAATGTGTTAATATGAAGAAGAATTGTGAAATGAAGGTTGAAAAGATCAACGTTTTCATTTAAAGGTGGGGACTTTTTCATTCAAAGTTGCAGTTGGGTTTGCCTGAAGAATCGTGTGGAATTAGCAAATATCTCTCCATTAATAGTGGCTTAGATGAGACTGTGTACAAATGTACTGTCGATTAGATTGACACCAGTCTTAGATGCAAACCTAACATAACGGCTAAGATATTTCTTTACCACATACAGATGCGTTACATTTTTGTTCTTGACGTCAATTGGAATTTTATATTGTCCAAATTAAGATGTTAAGTATTTGCAAGAATCTAATGTTACGGAATCAAACAGTTTCTACAACTTGCAAATTTAAGGTTTTTAAACTAGACAATCTACTACGCTTGACTGAGCTTAAAACCAAACCGGAGCTTCACCGTGCTTTCTTCCTTGACTTAAACGGAAAACCCATAGGCGGCGACGGTGAAAACTCAAACGGCAAATGTGGTGGCTCAGCCGCACCTGAAAGCATCTGAACAATCTCCTTCATCGTCGGTCTCTTAACCGGAGATCTTTGCAGACACAACAATGCAATAGTAATACAAAGAACCGCTTGCTCTTTCTCCAAAGAATGAATAGATTTATCAACCAACTCCAACAATTTACCATTGCAAGCCAATTGCTTAGCCCATGATATCAAATTAGCCCTCTCAAACTCCGACATAGGCGATGCAGTCACCTGCAACGGCCGTCTCCCGGAGACAAGAACCAAAAGCAGAACACCAAAACTATACACATCGCATTTCTCAGACAAGACACCTCCACCGCCACATTCCGGTGCAATGTAACACACCGTACCTCTCATACTCGGCGTGCTGCTTACTCCACCGCTCTTCTGAACATTCACATCACACCACAAACCAGAATCTTGACTGTTTTTCTTACCAATGACTGATTTTAGCTCTCCGCTTAACCCATCCACCCACCAATCTATACTGTTCCTCTTCTTCCTCTTGCAAGGGTTATGACTCTGATCATGAACAGAGGCGGCATCATCACCATCGTCTCTGTGAAACCAAGAGTCAATACTTGAGATTGAGCTTAACCCTCTTTTCTTCTTCTTCTTCTTCTTTTTCCTCTTCTTTCTAGTGAGCTCCTCGCAAAACTCTTCCTTCCACCACTCTCTAGGCTTTCTCTTCTTCTCTTTCTTCTTCTTCTTAGTGACTGATGATGACCCATCACCATTTTTCACCCACTCCTTGTTGTTATCACTCTCTTTCTTAATCTCACTCCCGATCCATTCCATGACGTAATCCTTCACACTCCCTGACTCAATCCCTCCTCTGCTTCCGCCATTGTTGTCCTGCTTCCACCACCAATCTCTCCTCGAACCCACTTTCTGCTTACTACTACTCTCCACACTCATCTGCTCCAAACAGCTCTCCGAAACACTCCCTTTCTCCAAACCCACTTCCGGAGACAACCCCGTCACTGCTCCCGAAGACGCTGTCAGGACGCTAACCGCACAAGTCTCCGGCGAAAGCACCGATCCCGCCCCCGGAGACGCTCCAGTCTCCGGCGAGAGATTCACAGCGTTACCATCTTCAAACACAGTAATCACGCTCTCCGTCTCCTCCAGAATCGACCCATTATCATCACCAACGTCAATTCTCTTCTCCTCTTCCTCAATCAGAATCCTAGTATCGTTGCCACTAACTAAATCGTCCGACTTTACCCTCGCGAGACCGAAATCTCCGATTTTGGCTTTGAAATCAGAATCGAGAAGGATGTTACTAGGCTTAATATCACCGTGGATGATGGGCGGATCGCAACAGCTGTGAAGAAACTCGATCCCCTTTGCGATATCCGTCGCAATCTCAAATCTCTTGTTCCAATCCATAAGCTCCTCACATTTCCGATCCAAGAGCGCGTCTTGTAAGCTACGATTAGCCATGAGCTCGTAGACGAGTATCAGCCGCCGGCCACGGCGATCGGAGGAGAATCCGAGGAGAGAGACGACGTGTGGCGATCCGATTAGGTGAGAGGAGAGAGAAAGCTCGTTGTGAAACTCACGCTCGCCTTGTAGAGACCCAGCGGAGGAGTCCATGACTTTGACGGCGAGGGAATTGCCACTGGGGAGATCAGCTTTGTAGACGGACCCGAATCCGCCGTGGCCGAGCTGAGTCGACTCGGAGAACGAGTTTGTTGCGCGGCGGAGCTGAGAGTAAGAGAATCGGCGGCATTGGTAGTGTTGAGGAGACTTGGAGATGAGATCTGAAGGAGCCGTACGGTTACGGTAGAGTTTCCGGTAGAGAAGTATAGTGAAGAGGATGAGTAGAGCTCCGGTTAAGATCAGAGAACCGGCGATGATAAGAGGAAGAGTGTGTAACCGGTGATGGTTGTTGCTAACCGCCGTCGGTTGCAACGGCGCGATATCAGGCGGAGAGTGGCGAGATGGCATTTTTGTAGATAATAGAAGTAACAAAATGTCTCGTTTAAACCGAAGCTTCCATTGAAGAAGAAGGTAAGGTGATGATAAGTTTTCTAACTGACAAAAATTATTAAATTTTCTTCAGCTACTCACTGACGTACGTAAATTCGGAGAATATTTTTGATTATTTTTGAAAAAAATGAAAATGAGGATAACAAAGAGAGATGCTTGTGTGACAGGAAAGTGACGTGTCAGGTAATAAATGGGGATGTGACTGTAAAAATGTGACAGTCATGTGAGGGTATATTAATTTGTTTTGTCGTTTAGTGGGGACCGGTGAGATAGTCACCGAGTCGTGAGGTTTTTATTAAGGAGCGTGAGGGAACACGCGGTGTTTGAGGCGCGTGAGAGAGAGGTTCACGAGGTATTTCGGGATATTTAGTTCGAAGGGACCCACGAGATTTAATCGGCAAGGGATGGTAAAAGTCAACATCACTCGCTTTTAAGATTTGCGTTAAGTCACGCGCCTACGTCATATGAGTAAGGTTGAAGCTAAACCAGTGATGATTGATATTTTTTCTTCGATTTTGCTAAAATCACCCTGATGAATATGTTAATCAGTTTAGCTACGAGTTTAATCATTGGTTTTGACTATTGGCAGCTTAACGTCTGATTAAGCGGGATATAGTTTTGTAGTATAATGTTTCCTTAGAATCTGAATCTTTTGTATGCAAACGTGTCGGTGACGTCAGCGAAAATAAGCTTTTTCTGGTGATGGGAATTTGACCTTTTCATTTATCGCTTTGGTCTGAATCTTATTGGATTTTCTTACGTATGTGGGTTTGGTTTGGTTTGTTTGTCTTTTTGGGTTTCCCCTTTTCCGAGTTTCCTTTATGCCACCATCTCTTAAAATTTAATTTCTCTCAGAGGGGAAAAAAAGGTCAAAGCTACTTTTAACATCATTGAGAGAGCTCTTCAAAAGGAGAAACAATCGTAAATCCACTTCATATTGAGGCCATTCGAAGTGGGGGGATATACTGATAATGTTTTTTGTTAATAGGGATAGATTAAAGGGGTAAGTTAGTAGGGGTTTGACTTTGGTAACATCGTTAGAAACTTGAAAAGGGAATCTATGGAAAACATAAAAAGGCAAAAAGAAAAGCGACAAACACAAAGCCTTTTGCAGATTCAGATGTACTTTTTTCATGTATTTGTTTCAAAAAGAAAATGGAGATTCGATAAGAAGAAGGAGAAGTAGTGATGAGTAATACAAGAAAATTAGAATTGCTCATGTGAGTTCCACTCATTTAACTTCCTTTTTAAACAAAAATTATTATGTAGCCGGAAACGTTACAGCCAGCACTTGTAGGGGTCCGTGACTGTGGTCCCCAACTTCACATAAATTAAGAGTTGCAAATTTGCAATGCTCTATTGTGTGTTCTATTGTGTAAACACGTACAAACATAAATTAAGAGTTGTAAATTTGTAATACTCTATTGTGTAAACACGTACAAACATCAAGATATGCACATCCAGCAGCTTAACCTAACAACGGATCGGAACAAAATACAGCTAACACGAGATAAAGAGGGCAACGTACACCTAACTACACGTGGTTAAGCTGCCAAATAGTAATTAATGTGATAAATGTTGCAGGCTGGTGTCTTGTTCTCCCATGTGTCATTAATATAGTTTTAGAATCATAGTAGTACTTGTCCTCGTTTAGTTTTGACATTTTTTCCATCTACAATATACATTTTCCGGATTTAAATATATCAAGTAGTAGCACATTGACACATGACAACACTAATAGTATAAATCATTAGTTATTAATAATCACTATACTACATTTTTAGTCATTCGCTTAAACACTTTAATTTGGTTTACAACAATTTGGTACGTAGTTAACTTTCCAACTTTCCATAACTGTGCATGACAAGAAACAAACTTCTAGAACTCGTAAGTCTTTCTAGGTGTTTATAAGCAACAAGAGAAACATCACACCACGCAACTAACATCGATGTAGGCGAACTTGATTCCCCCAATATCTTCTTTTAAAAAAATAATTACTTCGAAAATATGAATATAAAAATGCATGATGGAGTTATATTTTTGTAGCCATTCTCCAATTTCTTCAAGCAAGAAGAGGAGATACAAAATAAAAGGGGTCGTGCAAATTAAATGGACCTCTCACTAACTCCGGCCATGTCTCTGCCCCTCTGTTTTCTCTTGGCAATCTTATTTGTCTTCCTCACCACCGCAAAAACGCGGAGGAGCTCCGGCCGAGGGTCACTTCCGCCTGGTCCACCAAGACTGCCTTTGGTCGGAAACATATTCCAGCTCGGCTTTAATCCTCACCGTTCAGTTGCTGCCTTTTCGAAAACGTACGGACCTATAATGAGTTTGAAGCTTGGAAAGTTAACCGCTGTGGTTATATCTTCACCAGAAACAGCAAAAGAGGCACTTAAAACACACGAACATGCCTTGTCCGCTCGGACCTATAACGACCCGCTTAGAGCCTTTGATCACCACAAACATTCCATTGTCTGGATTCCTCCGTCGGATCATTGGAGGTATCAACTCTATCTATGAACAAGACTCTTTTTGTGACTGAAATCATTTGTATAAACCAACAAAAATAAACCATAAAACTATAATTTTGTAAAGAGTTATTTTGCGTTTTCATATCCAAGAAATCAAAATTTATACATGAAACTAAACCAAAAGTAAAGAGACACTTTTAATCACAACAAAGTCCAAAATTAAATAAGCCCCGTACTAATGGATCTGTACTTTGAGACAAAACTTTGTTGAAGTTCTGTTTGTATGCATCTTCAGATTCTTGAGGAAAACATTAACGAAAACTTTGTTGTCGCCGCAAAACCTAGACGCTATTCAATTTCTAAGGATGAGAAAGGTGGAGGAACTTGTGAGCGTAGTAAACCAATTTTGCGAGAGAGGAGAAGCTATTGACATGGCTCGTGCTCTCTTCGTCACATCTTTCAATATCATCTCAAACGCTCTGCTTTCCGTAGATTTGGCCACGTATGAATCTAACTCGTCGTCTTACGAATTCTATGACGCGGTGGTTTACCTGATGGAGATCTCTGGGAAACCCAACGCAGGAGACTTTTTCCCGTTTCTGAGGTTTCTTGATTTGCAAGGAAGCAGAAAAGAAGCGACGCTCTGCATTGAGAGATTATTTAGGGTTTTCCAAGAATTTATTGATGCAAGGATGGACAAAAGAGTGACTCAGAAAGAGACAGAGCCTAACGAGGCTTCGACTATCGATATATTAGATTCTCTCCTGGATCTTACACAACAAAACGAAACAGAGTTCACCATGAATGATATCAAACACATGCTTCTCGTAAGTCTTGCAAAACACTTATGATGATAAAGATTCTAAAATACTTTGAGCAGTACCGTGGATTTGTTACCTTTTTCTTCTTCTTTTTTGTGACAGGATTTGTTTGTTGCGGGGACAGATACAGTCTCTAGTTCAATGGAGTGGGCAATGTCGGAGTTAATTCGTAAACCGGAGAAGATGGTCAAAGCTCAGAGTGAGATACGGCAAGTGATAGGTGAAAACGGTGTCGTTCAAGAATCTGATATCCCGAAGCTGCCTTACTTGGAAGCAATTGTGAAAGAGACTCTTCGTTTGCATCCTGCAGCTCCTTTGATCCCAAGAAAATCAGAATCTGATGTCCAAATCCTCGGCTTCCTCGTCCCTAAGAACGCCCAGGTTTATTTCCCTTTTCCCCCCTCTAAGTAGCTTGGCATGCACGTTAACGTAGTCATAGCTTGTTTTTGTTTACTCTCGGTCTGAATCTGGATTGTTTTACTTGGTTTGATGATATACACCTAGAACCAACAGGCTAGAA